CTATAAATTTCGCATAAACAAAATAGGCATAGTGTACGCCCTCGAAACAGACTATAGACCAGACTTTATAAACAAGGCCCGTCACTCAGGCGCGAATTTTAGAACCTTATTTCCATTTCTTACACTTAGCTTACTTGGCCTACAAAGCGCTAATCGATGGCTAACCTGAATCATCATATACTCGGGTGCATGATAATATATTAACAGTGTTCGTATTCAATAACAAGCCACATGCTATAGATATAAACATAATTACTCCAAGTTTATGGACCCCCACAAACGCCCGAAAAAATACAATTAAGTGCCGGGTACAGTTGATGACAAAACGAAAGTGAGGGCCTTATCTATAGACCGACATCAAAGTTCAAGTATAGGCAGGTATATATTAGTTATTTTTTTGGTCAGTTCGATGAGGGGTGTCGAAGTGGGTGGCCATAAAAGCTTGTAAACTAATTCTGTTGTTTTGTAGCTCATAAATAAACCCCTAGACTGCTTAAAAAAACAAAACAGCAAAGTACAAGCGGCCTTAAAAGGTATAGAAGACGGGCAACAAAGCCTGTTGTTTGAGGTCTAATTTTAGATGATAATAGCTCAGCCTCCGGAGGCCAACCATTCCCACTTTTCCCCTGCTATTTTTCAGCCGTGCCACTTGCCCTGGCTTTTATTTCTGCTCACGTCAGTTGTCTGTTTTTCAACGAGAATGCCCTAGAAGTTTTCACTCAAGCCTGCCTGTTACACGGGGAATTATATTGTTATTTTCGAGGTGATACTTTGACTTTCATAGAAATTAACTTCCAAGCCAAGAATCAATTAAGTTTTATTAATTCTACTACTTTCAACAAGTAATATATTTTATTAACTCATACAATTTGTTTCACTTTGGATAAATATAAAAACCTTCAAAAGTCTGAAGAAAAGACATAGTATACGTATAAAAAGTATACTACTAAGTTTTCTATGTATAAAAACCACTCCATTTGAGTGGGAGTGAGAATTGCGTGTTTGGTTATTGGGGCAGGTTGCAGGCCTGGATTTCGGGATAAAGTGGTGGGGTGTTGGGCCTGACATTGAAACGTCATTGAAGGCCACGTGCCGCTTGTCGGCGCTCAATGAAGTGTGGGCGGATAAAATCGCTTTTCTTACCCATCCTCATGTTTCATTGTCAAAACGTGTTTATCAATTCAAATATGGCCACCTCATAAACAAGTTGAGTGGTTCTAACTTCCGTTTTTGCAACAGGCTGTTTGGCTGTGAAGCGGAAAAAAACGCGCTGGGGGGGCTAAGGAAAAGCCAAAGCTAAGCTGAATTGAACTGGGCATTCAATTGTTTATACTGCAAGTCAGTGTCTGCCTCTCTGTCTTGCTCACAGTCCACAGTTTGCGGGAACAATATAATGTACATAAACGCAAATGCTTAATTGACAATTCAATGAAATGAAATTGGCTATTAGATAACGGGAACTTTGCGCAGTTTTGCATTTCAGAGAGATCAGGTTTTTGTAAAGTATAAACGAAATTGTATACAAAATGCTTATATTATTTTCTTACGTTACATTATCAATTGTGCCAGCTAGTATTATATTCTGGGTCATAATTAGTTATGCAATATGTGCTTTTCATGGAAACTTAGAGAAACTAAAAGAATTAATTTTTTAGCAAGTCAATTCTTTCAGTTTAAAAAATATGTTTGATAGAAAGAAACATACACATTTTTCAAGGAAACTTCGAAAAAAGGGATTGAATATAAAAACATTTTGAATTTTTTGTCACCATTTTAGGAAGTTGACAATTAAAAATAATTTTCCATAATGCTTCCATACAGACCCACAGATCTTATAGATTATTCGTTTGTGATTACTTAATAGCTTTTTGATTAGATCAGTGAAAAGTAACCCGCTAGGGTTCAAGAACCCCCAAATAAGTAAATTACTCACCAAAGTCCATGAACTGCTTTATCGAGAGGGGAGAAGGATTAAATCCAGAGTAAAAGTCGAGCATTTTGGCCAAACTCGCCATCGACGAGGAGGCGGCAGAAAATCTGACTGGAAACAGGCGCATTTTGGGTTGTGTTTTTCTGGCTCGCGGGGGATTACGTTGCTGATTAGAACTGCCGGTCTTTGGGCTTTATCTTTAACAACTTTGTTTGCCACTTCAGATGTACAATATATATTATTTCACGATGCGATTAAGAAGAAGAGCCTGCCGGTGTCCTTTCGCTCACCTTCGCTTTTATCGCTCTCTCTGTCTTTCTCTCTCTTCGCAGGACGTTGACCGCGCTCTCGCTTTTTTTTTTGAAGAGGGGGAGTAGAAAAAGCGGTAAAAACAGCTGGCAACGTCTCAAAAACTCTCAATAAATCAATGGATCGCTCTTAGTTTAAACCATACAAAAGTGGTAGCAAAAATATATGTTTGTTTTTTTTTCGTGTTAGCTCTGTTCTTGGTTGTTGTTGTTGATGATTTTATGATGAAGGGCGGGGGCGGCGGGGCGCTGATTCTTCCTCTTCTCCTGGTGCGCCATAAACGTAGCTGATTTGTACGGTATTTGCAGTGTTTTTGTGCTCTATTGTCTCCCGGTTTTCAGCTGCAGTTATTGTTGGCGATGCGATAATAACAATTGTGGCGCGGTTGACGCGAACGGTTGGGTTTTTGTCTGAGAATGCTCCAGCAGAGCGCTTTATAGGTGGAGGACCATCGATGGCCAAAGTCGAAGTCATCGATGTTGTTAAAACATCGGTGCTATCGATGTTTGGCAGTGCGTTATCGGTATTTTTCCATCTCTAACGAGTATTAAAAAGCTCACTATAGCTCATAGGCAATCAGATATTTTTTTCACTTTTATTAATGAATTAAATATCTCCCTTTCCTTTAATTTTTGACTTGATTCCATCACAAGACCAACTCAATTTAAGGTGGAGAAAACTAATTCTAATGGTTTAAAACCATTTTTTTTTCAAATTGATAAGACATCGATGTTTGCCGCCAAAAAACATCGATTGAAATATTCGTGAGAGTCCGCTCTCAGCTTTTGACATTCGCACTGACACGGAAAAATTTGGAACGAGCGATTGAATAATTTTTAAAGCGTTTGAATTGGACTTCTAGATTCCAAAACTTTACCAAATTAAATCCGATTCCAACGTGGCACACCTCTTAGGATTTGTGATTTACTTCTCTTAAAAACTGCATTGAAATTTGTCTTTTTTAAGTTGTTCAAAATTTTGACCCATTTTCATGTTAGTTATTACGAAGTTTTTGATGACTTGACAAAAGTGGTCCCAAAATTTGACTTCTAGATTCCATAACTTTACCAAATTTAATCCGATTCCAAAGTGGCATACCTCTTAAGACTTGTATTTTGATTCTCTAAAAAACTGCATTCAAAATTGTCATTTTAACGTTGGTCAAAATTTTGACCCATTTTCATGTTAGTTATTACGAAGTTTTTGATGACTTGAAAAAAGTGGTCCCAAAATTGGACTTCTAGATTCCATAACTTTACCAAATTTAATCCGATTCCAAAGTGGCATACCTCTTAAGACTTGTATTTTGATTCTCTAAAAAACTGCATTCAAAATTGTCATTTTAACGTTGGTCAAAATGTTGACCCATTTTCATGTTAGTTATTACTAAGTTTTTGATGACTTCAAAAAAGGGGTCCCACAATTAGACTTCTAGATTCCATAACTTTACCAAATTTAATCCGATTCCAAACTGGCATACCTCTTAAGACTTGTATTTTGATTCTCTAAAAAACTGCATTCAAAATTGTCATTTTAACGTTGGTCAAAATTTTGACCCATTTTCATGTTAGTTATTACTAAGTTTTTGATGACTTGAAAAAGGGGGTCCCAAAATTTGACTTCTAGATTCCATAACTTTACCAAATTTAATCCGATTCCAAAGTGGCATACCTCTTAAGACTTGTATTTTAATTCTCTAAAAAACGGCATTCAAAATTGTCATTTTAACGTTGGTCAAAATTTTGACCCATTTTCATGTTAGTTATTACGAAGTTTTTGATGTCTTGAAAAAAGTGGTCCCAAAATTGGACTTCTAGATTCCATAACTTTACCAAATTTAATCCGATTCCAAAGTGGCATACCTCCTACGACTCGTGTTTTAATTCTCTAAAAAACTGCATTCAAAATTGTCATTTTAACGTTGTTCAAAATTTTGACCCATTTTCATGTTAGTTATTACTAAGTTTTTGATGACTTGAAAAAGGGGGTCCCAAAATTTGACTTCTAGATTCCATAACTTTACCAAATTTAATCCGATTCCAAAGTGGCTTACCTCCTACGACTCGTGTTTTGATTCTCTAAAAAACTGCATTCAAAATTGTCATTTTAACGTTGTTCAAAATTTTGACCCATTTTCATGTTAGTTATTACTAAGTTTTTGATGACTTGAAAAAAGGGGTCCCAAAATTTGACTTCTAGATTCCATAACTTTACCAAATTTAATCCGATTCCAAAGTGGCATACCTCTTAAGACTTGTATTTTAATTCTCTAAAAAACTGGATTCAAAATGGTCATTTTAACGTTGTTCAAAATTTTGACCCATTTTCATGTTAGTTATTACGAAGTTTTTGATGTCTTGACAAAAGTGGTCCCAAAATTGGACTTCTAGATTCCATAACTTTACTAAATTTAATCCGATTCCAAAGTGGCATACCTCCTACGACTCGTGTTTTGATTCTCTAAAAAACTGCATTCAAAATTGTCATTTTAACGTTGGTCAAAATTTTTACCCATTTTCATGTTGGTTATTTCTAAGTTTCCGATGACTTGGAAAGAGATAATTTGTTATTTCAACGTTGTTAAATTTTTGACCGATTTGTAAGCAGTTATATAGTGCCAGAAGTTATATAATCAGTTTAAGATTTCTTAAGGATTATTTTTTATGACAACAGCAGACAACAACAGATTGGAAACAAATAATTTTGGTCAAAAGATAGAAAATCTGTAATCTAATCCAATTTAATAAAAAAGAGTTAAAAATGCCGTGCATTTCTAACAAACTAGATGTATTTTAATAATTACAATTTTTAAAACTACTCGTGAGCGATTTTCTTGAAATAAAATATACAACAGTTTACATAGAAATCCCAAATTTTACACACTGTTTTTGTTTTCTTTCCAACTTAACAGAATGGTACATAATAATGTAATGCAAACGACTAAAGATAACTAGTCAAATTTTGTAGGATGGAGGAAATGTGTTCAGCAAATAGTGCCTCCGTTCTGATCAGCCGGCTGGCTCGCGCACACACGGAATGAAATGCAGCAAAGTATATGGTTGGTTTTTGCTTTGGAATACATGTTTTAAAACAGCCTCCGATCCGACGCCTCTGCCTCCCTTTCCGTCCTGGCAAGTTTCTTCACTCCGGAGCCGAAGAAGTGGATTCCTCGGTCCCATACCACATCTATTCCAGAGAGTCTCGGGTAAAATGTCGTCCCTCAGTTCTTAATAGAAAACAGTTGCGCAATCTTTGAGGCGTGGCACTTGAAAAAATCGTATCCCACTTTGGCGGCGCTTTTAAGAGACCCTGTGTTGTTGTGACTGCCGGATGAGGCGACTGTGGTGGTGGTGGTGGCAACAGCAAGTTCCCCAGCTGAGGTAGTCGCCGTCATGGGTTGGTGGTGTCCTCCACCCAGCAGGCTTTGCGGAAACATGCGCCGTAGTACGTGGTTGAATCCGTTGGAGGCCTTGTTACCATTGGACTTAAACCGCTCGATCCCAAAAGCGCGAATGGCCCGCGAAAATCCAAACACCTGCGAGCTGATGTAGGCTCTTCGAACGGCCAGGGTGCTTCCGTCCTTCTGCTCGCTGTAGATGACGATTTCATCGACTTTCTGCAAAAGAAAAATTAACATGTTACTGATAAATATCTAATTATGGAGGATATATTAGAAAATTGTAGTCTAAAACACCTTTGCGGTAAAATTTACCAGAACTAGATTAAAATGATTGTACTTATGCACTTTATCTAATCAACGTTTTTGTGGTGGTTTGTAAATTGTTTACTAATTTATGCTTCGACATTATGACAAACCCTAGTAGGTGAGCAAATTAAGTTAAAATACCCCAAGTGACCACGTATTTATAAAACTAATTTTCAAATTGTTAAATATGCTGATCAAGGTTTTTACCATGTCCTAAAAGGTGGTTTGAATGTATATTGTCTGAACATAACCTAGTAGGTATGGGGCTACTTGCCATAATCTTGGTCATGCCCAGGTTCCTGGTGAATGTGGTGAAGGTCTTCTTAACAGGGTCCAGCACGGAGTCCTCAACAATCTTGACCGGCACATTGTTGTAGAATCGGGCTCCCCACTTGGGCACGGGATTCGTCTTGGAGAGTAGGCGGCGGGAGAAGAGCTTGCCATCGCGCACCTCCCTCTGGATAGTGTCCTCGGTGAGGACGTGGGCGCTGGACGGATTTGGGTAGCGGTTCCAGTAGGCGACCACCACGTTCTTCCAGCTGTAATCGAAGACCGTCTCCGTGCGACAGGTGGATGCTGCGACAACCATTGCGAAGGTTGACCAATGAACTCGCCGACGATTTTAAAAAGTGAAAGCCGCCGTGTCCCTGAGCTAAAAAGAAAAGCGATAATCAATTGCAATCGCATGTTCCCGGCTATAAATAGACTTAGATCGATGGACGTACCTTCGCGAGGGGGTTGAAAATCGGGGGTCTTACGGGCTTAGAGCTCCAGAGTGCAGTGGGTGTGTGTGGATCCACGTTGATTCAGCTAACGCTTTTAATTGCCCCGTTTTTGGGCGCCTACTGAGAATTTTGTTGTGTAACTGCGTCACAAACTCCGGCACAGGGTGCTTCGGGTTCGGGTCCGCTCCTCCGATTTCTGGCTGTATGCTGGCGCTATCCGGCTCTTCCTTCGTTGCCTCGAGCTTCAGTTCCCCCTTCTCCTGGCGGTACAAGATTTCATTGCACGGGTTTTGCGGGGTTTAAAGCCAATTCGGGTCTCCAATTTGAGCCTGTTCAAAGGCCATCCGGAAACATCTGCTCGCCGGTGTGGCCAGAAGGTACAAGTCAGAACAATACCAAAAATACCGTTGTGGGAAAATACTAAACTGTTACAATCGTTCAAAACTGAAATGTACAATAAATTTTAAATTCAAACAACAAATTTAATTAAAAAGGTTAATTTAAGGAAGTATTCATTTATCATATTAAATTATTTGTGTAACTCAATCTAATTAGTTTTTGAGTTTGGTTATGGAAATCTTTTAACTCTGCTTTTCAATCGCAATCTTTTGTAACAAATACAAAATAAGCGCAAATAATCGTTTGAGATGTTTAATAAGGAGTAGCAATGTTTAAAAAAATCGCCATACGGAGATGCCAGATAATTCAAATCTCTGTTTGGATTTTTATGATATGACGCAACGGTCATATTAACACCTTCACTTTGCTACCAAAACAAAGATAACCAAGTAATTTAAATAAAAGTAAAACAAAATGTCGGTGGATTGGTTCGGTTATGTGTATGCTGCCACAGTGGCCGCCGGCGGAATTATGGGATTCGCGAAGGCGGGTGAGTTGAGATCTCCCTGGTCATATCGGTTCCCTTTCTATTGTGCAACCTCATTTGATTTCTAAGTTCCATTCCGTCGTTGGGAGCGGGTTTGGCCTTTGGAGCCCTGCTCGGCTATGGCGCCCATCTGAATTCCCAGAACACTCCACGCCCTCTGCTCCAACTAGGCACGTCCCTATTCCTGGCCGGATTAATGGGCGCCCGGTGGAATCGTTCCGGAAAACTAATGCCTGCCGGCATAGTCTGCATGCTCTCTGTCGCAGCTTTGGTCAAGAATGTGGCCACCTACAATCGCCACCTGTTGCCCACCCCTACAAAGGCTCCCTAAATTCCCAACCGAATGGGCACATAATGCTGGACTTGCCAGGAGACTTTTACCTTAACTCTTCATTTACATACTCTTGCTAATTGCTGTTTTTATTTAGTTACCTACAGTTGGTGATTGGACCTTTGGTATAGCGCTGTGTCACTTTCTAAGCTAGTGATAAGAAACTGTACTTGCTACAAATAAAGTTTATTATCTTTTCATTTATTATCTTGCTGGACTTCATACTTACTTCTTTTTTATTGTTAGAATAATTAACAGCATAATTTTAGGCACTTCCAAAAATACCAAGCCCGTTGAATCCAAAACACGTTTACTATTTTGTAAAAGTAAATTTTCTTTATATATATTTATTCTTACAATTATATTTTGTTTTTTGTGTGTGTGATAAATGTACAGTTTCATTTATTATACGATGTTCAGTTAACTACAACTAAAACTTAGCTATTACATTTTTTGTTTGATGTATAAAAAAGAGCATTAGGCTAGGTAAACGTAGAGTGATGATTTTTTTTTTTAGAATTTGGATTTCTAATAATTTTAATACAATAATGGAATGAACAAATTAAGTTTTCTTGTAGGCAAAGTGCGGCAAGGTAAGTAAGTAAACAATTCTCGACCTTTCAAGCAATTTTCTAAAAGAAAATGATAAATATTTTGTTAAGTAAAGAGTACAAATTATATATGTTTATCACATTGGAAAGTGGGATTATTATTAATTTTCCTTTCGATTGATTTGTGGGTCAAAGAATAATTTAGGTTGTCTGCCAAAAGAGCGTGTGTAAATGAACTTTTTACAGAATAATATGTACTATTTTACAAGAATTTGCATTAAATTAAATTACATAATATATGCATGTACTGAACATAACAAGTTTGTTTTGTTGTTTGAGTTGCATTTAACAGACAATATTTTAAATTAGTTGCGGCTAGAACTAACAACAAATCAATAGTTTTTCATACAGATAATAATAGTAATAAATTCTAGCTAAAAACACTTTTTAACTGCAAACATTTGTTCCAATTTCGATGGCAGTGACGTCTGCGTGCCAGTTCCAAACGTTCCCCAATGTTGCTGCGTTGCACTTTCACTAGAACGGAAACAGCTTCCAATTAACCACTGCGAATTTCGGGAACGGAACGGAAGCGGAAACGGGGGAAACAAAAAAGAAAAACAGAGAAAATTAGTGATAAAGCTAAAAACTACTCATTTCTGGGGCGTGCAAAAACAATGAGCTATTTATTGGGGTTTATTTTGTATGCAAATACGATATATTTTTGCAGACGCCGGCCATTTTGATTTGTGTGGGTGGTTGTGTGGTATGTGCGTGTATTCCATTCCATGCGTTTCCAATTGCCAAATTACTTTATTTCACTTTTGCCATTTTGCTGTCTTATTTTTAGTATGCAGAATGCGACTTTGAATCCATGCCATTCTTGTAGATCAAATATTATACTTAATTGCTACAGTTATAGATGTTTCTTTTGGTTTTGCCATCAAACAGTGTGTATGCATGTGTGGTGGTGTGAGAGAAAGAGCGTGTATGTTTGTATGCTGGTATGTGTGTGCATGTTTCAATGCCAATTTGTTTCTATTTCGATTTTATTGTTTATTAATGTGTGGTGGCGAGTGTTCGATGCAATTTTGGAAAAATAGAGCGAGAAAATAACCGCGTAAAAAATAGTGGAAATCAATTTTAATCGATTTTAATAGAGGGTGGTATGAGAGATTTTCTTCAAGCATGCTTTATGAGGTCTGCGAATGTGTGAATGCGAATATCCTAATCGAGGTCTGCCTGCTTTTCGGAGACAATGATTACGTTTCGAATCGGGTGGACTGAAATGATATACTAAATTATTCGTAGGTTCATGCCAAAATTAAAGTTCAAGAACTACAATTTGGAGCGCTTTTAAAGCACCTCCACACTACAAAGTTAAGAATGATCGATGCAATGCCAGATGCCAAATGCTTAAAATACGAGGTAAATCCATGTTACAGCTAAATGGACCATTACGCATGAGTTTCGGCACTTGCATTTCGTTGCTTCAACCTCAACAACCAGGATTATATTTATTTATTAAAGGGCAGGCAGCGTAATAGATAAGAATACTACTAAAACTATCGCGCATCCATGCTCTACTGTAATTCGTAGCATACTTTAGGGCAAAGCTTTAGACTACTAGGGGGAGTTAAGAACCCGATTTGAATGCTGGATTTGGTTTGGGCTTACCGCACGTAAGGATAACGAATCGGTAACAGTTTCGATCGGTTTGGCATTTACTTGTGTGTGATGTTTGTTTAGTGTAAGTGGTTTTGTATTTGATGTTGTTGGGGGAGCCCTCGATGGTTGTGATGTTTCGTTTTCTCAAGCAGCATTCTGGATCTGTGATCAGTGTTTCGTTCTGGCTAGCAGTAAGTAGTAGCTTATGATAATTGGTATCAGAGTTATCTGCCGCATCCTCAGATCGTTTACATGACTCGTGTGCGGCGTATGAGTTTTTGTGTTTTGATTTTGGGTTTCTTGGCGGTTTCCGTGGTGCTCGACGCATCACCGTTATTGTCCAACACCGCTGGCAGATTGTTTGTGGTGTCGCCAATATAGTTTGTCACATACTGTTGCTGTTGTGGCTGACTACTGCTGTTACTACTACTGCTACTACTAGTTTTGTATGCCTTAATACTACTCCGATTTGGCGTACGTTTCAAAAAAGCGCTGCCATCTGGCTGCTGATGCTGCTGTTGTTGCTGCTGTGCATGTTGCTGCTGTTGCTGCTGCTTGCTGGATGTTGCCGAGCTGACTGACGATGATACGGAGGTGGTTGTCGTGGTGGCCGAACCACTGTCATGCAAGGCTTGCAGTTTTTTAAAGTACGCATCGAGAAATGATGTTGTTGTTATCGGTCTGGCGGTGGTCGTTGTTGCTGATGTGGGTGTTGCTGATGTCTTGGCAGCACTTGTTGCAGACACAATTGCTGTGGTGGGTGGTGTGGGGAACTTACGTTTTTGCCGCTCAATCGCTTCATTGCTCTGAATGCCGGCAGTCGCCTCGTTCTCCTCATCGGGCAGCCCATCCTGAAGTTGCTGCTGCTCCTGGAGATGTTGCTGCTGTCTCTGGTTCTCATCCTTGGCGTTCGGTGGCTGTTGTTTCGCCCCGTTGTTGCTGTTGTTGTTGTTGCTGCTGCTACTGCTGCTGGTAACACTATAATTTGTAAGGCGTTTTTGTACCAAAGGGATTTCAACTATCGACTGTTGTTGTTGTGACTGCTGTTGCTGTTGTTCTGGTTGCAATTTGGTAGCATGTTGTTGTGTCTGTAGCATGTGTAAATAGTATTCGATTTGTTTGCGTAATTCGTGTGTATAGATTTGGAATATGTTCGGTGTTTGTGTGGTTGTTGTTGTTGCAGTAGTTGTTCGGGGCTTGGGTGTTGATGTTGCTGCGGGATCAGCATTGGTGTTACTGCTGCTACTGCTGCTGCTGCTGACACTGCTGCTGATGCGCGTCTTGACCAGCACACCATTATCCTGCATCCATTGTCCTTCGGGTAGGCTGCGATGCAGATAGCCAAATGACTTGGACTTGGGCTTCACAGTGGTTGTTGTCGTCCTGGTTGTCGTGGTGGTTTTGCTGGTTGTCGGCGACGTCACAGCAGCGGCGCCAGCGGCAGAGCTCTGCTCGATCTTGTTGTCCTGCTGATTGGCCTCCTGCTCCTCGCTACTTGTGTTGCCCTCATCCTGATCCTCATTACTCTCATTCTCGTCCTCCTGGGACTCGGTCTCCTCACTACTACTCTCAATATCTTCCGCTGCATCTTTCTTGTTGTTGATTTTACTATTGTTGTTGTTTGATTGTTGTGTTTTTGGGTGTGCGTATTGTTGTTGTTTTTTTTCGAATTGGTGTATAAAGGTGTAAAAGTTTGGATATTAAAAAATTTGCTTTCTGAGTGTTTTCGTGTACTTGGAACTCAAAAGTTCCGTGTGTGTTTTTTGTTTTGTATTTTTAGTAATAAGAGAACTCTTAGCTTACACAACAAAACTACTGGAAAAACAGTCTCTAATTAAGTTACCTATTTTACTGTACTCACTTGTAGACTAAACGATAGTTGTGTCCGTAATCGGGAATGATATTTGAAGGCAGTGGTGTGCAGCGACCATCCAGACAGTGCTAAGGTTTGAAGGAGATTTTCGGGTTAGTGTTTTTTTACTTTTGGTTAAAGGTTATTAAAAAAAGTTATTAAAATGTTGTTGTCTTAAGAGAGAAATAGTTTCAAGATAAATCTTGATCGCGTCCGTTTAAAGGTGTAAAGGTTATTTGGAATGATTGAAGAAGATAAAACGTAGAAGTAGTCCGGTTAAAGGAACAAATGTCCGCTTAAGAGAATTTTAGAACGAAAAAGGAGTTTACTGCCTGTCCGTTCAATGGAATTTTACCCTCATAGTTTCCCAACTACTTACATAACCATTACCGCAGGCCGAACCCTCAGCCGCTGGTCTGTAAGCCACACAGTATCCCGTCTGGGCGTCGAAGCAGAAGAGTTGGGCACACACTCGCTCGTCTTTGAAGCAGGCATACGTTCCCCGATCCCTGCGGCACTGGGCGTCCAGCGAGAGCAGGGTTCCTGGCAGCGATCGACCCAGAGCGCTGTCCTCATGCGGGGCATTGTGCAGGCAGGTGGCCGTATCTCCACTGCGAAAAACATCCAAGTCATTAAATCATCTCACATCTTGGTTTCTTGCTCATCACTCACTTGAGGAAATGATGGAAGCTCTGCACCGTGCAAGCGGACCATCTGAAGCCCCGCTCCGTGTGGCGCAGATCGGACATGATGTAGCCATCCTCCCAGCGACACCGCTGGGCACCTGGTCCACCCAAATAGCTTGGCGGCGGCGAACCGTCATGCACCGCTCCCAACCTGAGAAACGAGCATGGGACACATTTTGATTGAGGGGGGAAAAATGTTAATTGATTAATTGCACACCGAATGATGTCAAACGGAAATGCAAACGAGTTTCAATGACCAGTTTACAGCAGCGGAAATTATTCATGTTTTTATTAGCTTGGGCGCCAAATGAAATCGGATTCGGGGCGTTAAAGAGTTTGGCTCTGGTGGAAATAGTGCGACAAAAAGGTTCCGTTTGGGGAACAGTGAATGCAAGTGTAGAGATTAACAAGTTCAAAATTTGTTATTTATAAATTACAATTTGAGATAATAAGTACATTTTATAGAAAAATTCATTCCAAATTCTGCATGTGTTATACATTTTTTGAATAGTTAATCCGTAAAATATTTTCTTATGTTAAAGTCATTTAAATCTTTGGTACTTCCATGATAAATATATATCAATTGTAGTTTAATCTTTAAATCACAATGGTAAATTAAATTAAAAAGCGAATTTTATCTGTTAAGATCAACCTAAAAGTGTTTTTTCTGAGTGCATGGATAGGGTCATGTGATCGAGGTTACTTACAGATGTCCGACTTCATGGGCAGCCACGATAATGCCGCTGAAACCGCCGGTGTCTTCGATGATGGCCACGCTGTTCACCTTCTCCAGTCGCTTGTTCACAACGCATGCGCCACCGACGTAAGCGAAGCCTTTTCCGAAAGAAAACACACGACCGAAATTAGGCAATTAGTGGGTTGTTTTTCTCAGTTGCATTTTCTTTTTTGTTTCTTGTCCAACAGGAAGTTGACAATTTTTTACAAGTCGCCATCGCCGTTGCAGTTATTAAATGAAAAATCTAATGTTTTTTTTCGCAACTGAGCAATTTGTTTCTTTTTTTTTACTTTCAAACATTGTATTATAATTTTTTTCTTTACATAATAACTGTAACCGCTGGGAGAAGCGGGTCGCTTTAGTGGTTGTGATTTGATGTGAGAGAGCAATTAGTTAGTAGGTGCATTTTAATGTGTAAATTTAGTCACAATTACCATTTCTTAGATATAGTGTGTCTGTAGCCCATAAAGTGTAGCTTATCTGGTAGTATTTGTATTGTTAAAAGTAGACCAATGTTAGAAAATCCAAAACCAATTTTTGAGTTATAAAGTCATGTTGAACTAAAGTTACTTATAATTACAATTAAATATAAAGATCTCACAAAATTCGATGTTTCACATAAAATTTGTTATTTTCTTCTTTCCAGATTTTTTTTTAAGGTTTTAATACTTTTTTTTTCATAGTTTAACCGCTGAAACTGAATAGTAGATTTTTGTTTAGATATTATAGATTTATTTAAATGGGTTGATGTTTTACAACAGAACGGCTAAGAAAGTTTGATAAACTTTTTTTTGTGTATGCAAATACAACAATACAACAAACATTTTGGTATAATAAAATAAGTTCAGACATTCCGCATATTTTTTACAAACCTCTCAAAAAGTGCATAAGTACTTATGCAAAGAAATCAGGAAATTCTTTTACATGCATTACGACACTGTTTTAAGAGATTTGTGAAACAGTCATTGATGATTATAAAATATGTACACAAAAGTAGACAGATCGATGCGAGTAGAAGAGATTGCACAGTGCGCACTGATCACAGAAGCTTTACTGTACAAAAGGCAGATTTGAATAAGTTCTTAGGAATCAGAAAGGAAAAAGTACAGTTCGAGGAGAATGGCAAGATGGCGCATGCGCAGCCATTTCCTGTTCTTGTTCTTCTTGCTGTACAAAAGGCGCGTGCGACACAAACAAAGACACATATATTATATAGTTTTCAGATCTCAGAAAGAGAGAGGTGGAGCAGCAGTAGATAGAGAGGGAGCGAGGATAAAAATAGAGACAAAGAGACGTGCATGAAATTCAATTAAATTTGCTTGATTTGGTTGATGATGGAGCGACGCATTTTTGGGTTCGGCGGTGGCCGCCTTTAATGTTATTTATTTTTAACGCGTTTGCTTAACTTCTGTGTTTCTTTTTTGTATCATTTTTTCTTATTTTCGCATTTATCTGTACAAATGTTGGCTAACAAATTGCCAGCTAGTGGTTGGGTCTTTACCTGCGGTACCGCGATTACATTCACCATAAGCGGAGGTGCGACGGCACATATCAAGTCTGCGGGCGAAAATTGTTCAAAAATGCGTAGAAATTTTAGATTTGGTTTCGATCGGGGGGTTTTTAGCTTCATTTAATCAATTATCCCCTCTTGGTGTTTGATCGATTTTGTTTTTTGTCGTTTTGTGGCCCAGCCCAATTAAATATCTGGCAATTACGGGCCAATATTTTGGGCTGCCTGCAGTTTTAGAGTAAAGAGCAAGAGAAGAAGTAGAAGAATCCTGTCTTCGGAGAACCGAAGTCTTTTTAAGGCTAAAAAAACTAAATATCTAGTCTTAAGAAATCAAATATCTACTGGCAGAGACCTTAAAGTAAATATAATGCAAGAATACATAATTATATCCAATAAACTTTCAAGATAAACTAATTGGGTTATTTTTTCCATATGGAGAATCCAATAATTTAGGCGCATAAACCACAATTTAATACTAAATCTTGATGTAAATGTTTGCTTCAACCAATGAGACCTTAAAGCAGATAAAATATACTAAATAATTCAACCGGTTGTATGCTTTATGGCCCGATCCGCTACTCAAATTAGTTTAACGCTTCGAGATTAACTTTTTTCCTTGGCTTAAATGTTGTAAATTCGGTGTTTTTTGTGAGTATGTGTATCGTGTAATTGTGGTAGTAATTTATTAAGACCCACACGCAGTTTTAGTCAACTTATTCGGTTTTTCTTGGCAGTGTTTCATGTAGCTCGAGTGGTGCAAACTAAAAACTGACTAAAATATGTTAAACACCCGCAATGACATTGGTTCTAGGTGTTTATCTATGTGTAATGTATGAGTGTCGTGAGTCTACGTCTAGGATTTGATTGGAATTTCTTGGAAATCTTTTTACCCGCTGTGCCCTTGGTGCAACGACCTCCTTTTCGCCTGCGACACATATCATACCTAGACACAAGTAGACATTATATATAGGTATTGTTGGAAAATCTTTGGTAAAGTGGAAAGGTTTAAAAGGGTAAGAGGAGTAAAATCGCGCGGAGAGAAATCTGCTGTCGATACTGCAACGAGAACACAAAACACAAGGTGGTAACAAGGCCAATTTCCCGCACACTCACTTCGTTATGGCCACTGCAATATCGTAGACGGGCAGTCGACGTTCCCGGAACAGATATTTTCCCATGTCCGTAAGAGCAGCAGCCGAATCGATGGCATCCCGACCCACACGATTACGTTCCAGATAGGGAGTAGCATCACGACCCTGAAAAAGATTACAATTTTAGGTTACTAGATGAATTTGGTACAAAAAAACACCGTGAAATTATATTTTTCTATCTAAAGTCTATAAGGGGTTTTTAGCCTAGAAGGTATAACAATAAAATACTAAACAAATCAATAAAAACTTTTTAAAAGGCACTTAAACTTAATAACCATGTGGCAACCAACGGGTTACCTTCCCATTCCTTCCTTTGATCATTGCAAATATTACCCATTAAGTCTCTCCCTGGCGCTGGCATTTATGGCTCATAAAGCCCCATTGAACCCTGTGACCCACATTAGAATACAGTAGGCCGTCATCAGGTAGTGAAAATTGCAAAATATTCGACAAAATCGCCCCAAGGAAGCTTTCAATGCGATGATGCAACTGATTTGGCATTTGAATGAATGAGACGAAGCGAATGAAAAGAGCTCCGAGTGAAATATTTATGGCCCATTCGTCGGTGAAAATGAAGCTGGAAACCGAAGTCGAAACGGAAATCAAGTGAACGTGAAAAACGTGCTGCTAAAACCGAGCCTAGCGATAAGCCAAGGCATCAGATGATCGTCATTAGGTGCACATAGAAAAATGATATACCTAATTAGGACAAAAATCTCATTGGGATCTAAAACTTTTTACTCAGAAAAATTAGATCTTAGATTATGATCGTTTGAAATTGGAATTTATTTAAAGATCTCTATGTGGTTTTCAAACAGCTATGAATTGATACCTGGTATATGTGAAATTAAAGACAGAAATAAAGTTAATTTATAATTTTAAGGACTTTGATGTTACTTATTAATAATAGTATTTATTATCTTGATAACTTAATTTTTTCAAAGTGTACAGATGATGTTCAAGCCAAGCAAAGTCAAAGTCGTGTGGGTTTCCTTTGGAAATTCGTTGCTTTTTATTGTTAGGCTGCCTTACTGAAAAACCAGTTGCAATTGTGCGTTGCATAATTGGAGCTGCAGTTGCTGTTGCAGTTGCAGTTGCAGTTGCGATTGCTCGCTGCAGTGGCAATTTCATCAGCTGTGTACATCCGAGGGCAACTTTCAGCACTCGTAAATCCACGGGTACGTAAGCACTCATATCGTGACCGAAGGGGCGTTTTAGATTTACCGAAGTGACAGCTACATAAATTAAAATAACACAATTGTCAATCACTTTGAGCCCTAGGCAAATCAATATGTTAATACGGCTTTAGAGCTAATCTGTGTGCCCGAACCAGTTGCAGTTTCTACTTCCAGTTTCCACCGGAGGTGCAGGTGATAAAACCAAAGTTAAGTGACAAACCGCACTCGGTTGACACATTTGATTTGCAGCCATTTGCCAACTGGAAAACAATCTCGGAGATACTCCGTCTCTAAGCTTTACTTGTATCTAAGCTGGCCAACCGTAGTTGAAGTCGAAGTCTTTTGATAAATTACCAACTAGTCGGACAGACAGCAGATGTCTAGGAAATGAACAGAGTCTGACAAAGTGATCTGAAAATCAACAAGCAGCGGAGTTTTGAAATCTGTATATTGCCAAATGAGATGCAAAACCTATCCGCTCGATTGGGTGTATCTGTATCTGAGCCATAATCTAAATCTGTAGCCATCCAACATTAACAGTCCGCACTCGAAGTCTATCCGTTTCGTTTCTGCCTCATTCCTGTCCAATTTTTTTGGACGACCTGACAAAATGATCATTTAAAAGTGCGGGCACGTCGTTCTCCAGAAAGAAGCCAAAATTCAAGTCGTTTTTTTTTTTTTGGTACTTTTCGATAGACAAAACTATCAAGAATTTTAAATGCTTCGATTGTGGCCTTGGGCCGAGTGGGAAAGGCAACTGGCTTAGATTGGAATCTACGAAATTACAAATAATTATTGTGGAATTGCATTTTGAGTGGTTTATTAGAGCAGTCTCTGTCTTATGTTGAAGATGCTTCACTCAAGTTGTTTGCTGATGAGCTTGATTGGAGTTGTAAGTTGTTCAAAGGCGAAAAGCAATTGAAATTACTCATGGTTTCATTTGAAAATTGAGTAAATATTGCTACTTTCAAACTATTATTTGTTTTATATTACGTAAGTTTAGAAACTGCTTCCTTAATCCAGCCGGCATGCAAACTAATTGTTTTGCGGCTTATTTCTTTGCCCAGATCTCAACCTGTGCGATTCCCAGCCGCGACCATACATGGCCATCAACGTCACACAAGTTGGCATGGGAAAGACAAACCTTAGACAGAGGTAGACCACCAACAGACAGGCCAGCCAGACAAATAGAGTGTCTCCCAGACACAATCCACAATCTCCCCAAACCACTGGACCATGGATGACCTGGCACATCTTTGATTACAGATTGCACAATGCAAGTGGCAAACTCTGCAGCGCTTACCCCTCAACGTTGCAAGCCAAAAATAAAAAAAACATTTGTCAAATAATCGGCGTACAAAAAGGCAAAAGCAAAAACTTATCAAAGAAACTGTCAGTAGGACCTAAAATGTAACCAAGCCACTAAAACCGGGACCGGTTTGCCTTTCCCCCAAAAATTAAAAATAAACTAAAGCTTCGCGACAGTTTTGCAATAGCCTTTTGTGCGTAATTAAAAGCAAAATGTTATATTTTAATTTAATTTTCCAGTCACAACTGGGGCTCAGGTTTTCAGCTCCTTTCCCTGGGCCGGTCACATAAATAAATCTTACGGCTGCAAAAAAAATAAAATAAAACTGTCAATGCAATTGCCTGTAATTTCTAGCATTTCGCAAGGCTCACTAAACTATCCAACAGGGTGGTGGGGTGGACAACCAAGGCGGCTCACACCCACTCGGACACACACACACCCACCACCCACCACCCTTCCGCCCCCTCCAATGACATACGCTTTGACTTTCGGCGCCCACACAGCGGATAAGTCGGACTTGGGCGACAGGCGGCCGGATCGGGCCACCACCCACAGAGTCGACAGGCTTTTGGGTCAAGATATGGGGGAATACTTTTCAATTTCCAATACCCTCAAAAGCAGGCATAGTAAGCTGATGAAGAAGCTGCTTCAAAAAGCTAGAAGAATGTCATCCCAAAGCCTAACAAATTAAGTTTTACCTAAGATTAAAGACAATATTTTAATTGCTTTTTTCTGTAGGTCAATCATGTTTTCAATCATGTTCAATCATGATTTTCTGTTGATATTTATACGCTTTTACCCCTTTTCAATATCTGACGACCTGCTCAACTAAAAACATCATTACGAATTTAACATCAATTTAAGCTCATATTTTTTATAACAATATATAACTAATGGTTTGATAATCCCAATAAAAAGCCAAATAATTTAAGAAAATTATTTAAACTAATTGTTCAATAAAATGTTGGGACTTTATTAAAAACAACTCTATTAAAACGTCTCACAATAAAATATATTTGAATGGTTTATTCCCCTGATAAATATTTCAGCATCATCATCTTAGCTAATACCTCTGGCTGATGTATATCTCGATTTGACATGTGAATGACCAATTATTTTGATTTGTGTTTGAGTAATAAAATAAATAATTTACCAAGAAATGATGATGATGGAGTTGGCTAAAGTGTAGCTGGTATATGTGTCAGTGGAACCAGGCTGCAACAAGTTGAACCATTTTTCAAAAAAGCTATTTCTCGTTAGGGTGTTGAAGTGCCCCTCAATTGCCGGCGACTTTTCCGGCTTTTCCAACTGCGCTACTCCGTCTCTAAGCTTTACTTGTATCTAAGCTGGCCAACCGTAGTTGAAGTCGAAGTCTTTTGATAAATTACCAACTATTTCTCGTTAGGGTGTTGAAGTGCCCCTCAATTGCCGGCGACTTTTCCGGCTTTTCCAACTGCGCCCCTGGCCAGCTTTTTATTTGTTTATTTATTTATTTGTTTGCTTGTCGCTCTGTCTGAGCTTCGCTTCGCGTTTCCATTTGCATTATTGCAATTTATGTTTGTCTGGCACTTGCATTTTTGGCTACCGGCACTCTATATACCACGGGCCCATATGGATGTGGATATGGATATGGAAATGGAAATGGATATGGGTCTGGGAGTACGAGAAATGTGCCCTGGGGGCAACACCTGGCCGTGCCCTATCCCGAACTTTTTTGGAGCCCAACTTCGTTAGCCAAGGAATTTGTTATGACAACTTGCAAATATGAGAACTGGCAAAAGGCAGCTAGACTTTTGTATCATTCGGTCCGTTGGGTGTGTCTCTTATGCATTATTTGGCATTTCTGTGGCACTTTAGATAGAGTCGTTGAGATAAGAGGCGAGTGGAGAATGTCGATTGGCGCTGAAATTGGGATAGCCCCGGCTCTCAATTACCAGAATTCTGGCGAGGAATGGGAATGAAAACGCGACTCTTTTCTTTGGCTCCACCCAAGCGGATCAATTAATCAAGTGGCTTGAATTCCTTGGGCTGATAGCACTGTGCAGGTGATCATAACAAGCCATAGATATAGATTTATAAAGCCAACACTATATATCAGATCAGTGCGCAGATCAGAATTGGCGTGGGGGTAGCTTAAGTCGGCTACCGACTTGACTTGAACTTTTATCTGTGACATTTAATTAACATTTTAATTAATTGCGGGCAACTTTCCGTTAGAAGTTAAACAACCGGCCCCTTTTGTCTTTGCTCCCCTTTTTCCTTCTGTCTGCTACAAGTGTCGAACGCATTGGCGCTGCGCTTGCGCCACACACATATTTCAATGCGGCCAACTGCGGCAACGTTGCGTATGCGCAATTTATTAGGTGCGTATCGTGTGGCGAACATGGAGAAATATGTCAAAGCTCGACGGCTTGTTACTTAGTATTGGGTTTCGCAGTGGGATTTGGTCTTAAGCCTCTTGCTAAATATAATTTGATGATTTACTAACATTAATTTCTCACCATTACCATTCCATTCTTTGCCAATAACTTTATTTTAATTATTTGAAAGGGCTTTTATGAACTTCTCTCCAACAAATACACCCTCTTATACCCATTTATACTAAAAAACCATTTAATATTCCCCTGGCAAAGTGTAATTTGAGTGCTGGCCACTTGATTAGAATTTTTGATTTAGCCACGGTTGCCTTTTAAAAGTAACTGGGTTGGCACTCGATCTCAGAGCTCATTGTTCTGCCTCTGCGGAAAAAAAAATAATGATTTTAACCAGGCTCGACTTGCAGTTTTTAACGCCTTCGGACCCCATTCGAAACTCAGTTGAGTTACGCAGTTTATGGCTTATTAATGCTTCAGCGTTTTGTTGTCATTTTGTTGCGGCTTATTTATTTATTTTTCGAGTCTCAGTTAGAATCAATTAATTGAACAACTCTCGTAGATCTCTGCAGTTGTGGGCTAAGTAATTCTCTTAGTTATTTGTCAATGGGTGATTAATTTATGTGACTTGGGGATTTCGTGCATTTGCTAGCTTTTTGTTTTATGAAATAAACGATTGGCTTTCGGTGTTTTGTTGCTGGCATTGGGGTCAAGTTGTTTTAGTTTTTTTTTTTACTCGAAAAATTCGCACTCATATTTTATGGTTTAATATGTAAAGTGATCGGCACGAGCTCCTGTTGACCAAACAATTTATCAGCCCAATCTCTTCCGATAAAGTGACGCAAAAATTCAATAAATTCGTTCAGATTTCTTGTTTTTCCATTGCGTCGACTTATCGGATATGTGTATCCAATAATTTGTTGCCCAATTCAAATTCTGAGTAATTACCCGACTTCCATTTCTCACTTGGCCGCAGCAACATTAATTAGCGTCGCAAAAAATGAAAAAATGTTTAGCGACGGATGCTAAGATACATTATGTACCCGTATCCACCAGATACGCATTTTGGCGACTCTGTGTGTGTGTGTGTGTGTGTGTGGGCATAGAAGAGGAAGTCTAGTGTGCTTGTGTGAAATTGGGCAAAGAGGAAAATAAAAACATGCCAGCCGAAAAAATCTGATCTGAGTCAACTGCCGACTGCAGTTAGCGTGGCCCATTAGATTATGTAACCACGGCCAACACGCAGTTGCAGCAGGCGCTGTTGCATTATTTATGCGGTCTGAAAATAATTTTTTTTGCCTCCACTGTTAGAGCCAAAAAGCCAAAGCCAAATAGCAAAACAGCCAAAACCAAAGCCAAAGCCAATTGACGTACTTAGGGTAACCCGTCGACATCGTTGTCTCCTCGATGTGGAGTTGTCGTGTGGGCAGCCAGCTTGATGCAACTGTTGTGCAGGTGAACCACCATGAGCAGCCGCAGATCCCAGTCTGTGCCAATTTTCCACTTTCTTGGCCCACTCTCTCTTGGCCAACGTCGACAAATGGCTTCCTGAACCAACGCCAAACTGATTTGTGTGAGAAAGTCTAACCGAAAGTCTCTTCGGCCCGCAATATTGAGACAAAACGAATCCACGATGCTATAATGTTGTCAAAGTGTTTTATGGTTTTCACTTATGCAATCAAATTAGTTGAATGTTGATAAGTGAAAGATGTTAGCTGGGTTCAAAGAGATCGCTCACGACAGCAAAAATTGATGTAAGCGGAAACAAAAGATACATTTTAATGGCCCTTACTCATATTTCTTTTTGAGGTTCTAATTTATTGGTATTGTACCACCTGCTTCTAAATATATTTGACTGAGGCCAGCTTAAAGTAGTTTTTATGATTTGTATAATTATTTCTTTGAGGTTTCTACAAACTAGTTTAAAATTGCTTTTATGATTGCTTTATTTATTACTTCGAGGGCTTTAAACGCTGCACAACTAATTTACTAAATCAGCTGAATTCGGTTTATAACCAATTTAAAGCATTTAAAATCATCTTAAAACTCATTTCAGGATATCTTAGCCATCCCCAAAACAGTGCCAGAAGGTTAAAGCCAACGATTTTTGGATAACTCGATTCGCGTGCCCATAAAATATTTTAGTTGCTAATTTCTAGAAAAACATTTAGCCAGGCTCAGAGAGCAGGCACGAGTAAGCGCTCTTGGTAAAAAACTTGTTAAAATTTGTTGGCCTAGCTTTTTGTTTGCTATGGTCGAGCAAATAACCAAATTGATTGTTCACATTTTTTCTAACGAATCGAAGCGCATGCGTTGCATGTTTTTCTGCCAGTTTTTCCCTGCCAGATTCCCAGATCGTGACAGTTCATTTGGAACTGAGTTGCTTGGGCTAGCTTGCGGCTACTTGGGTTTCGAAGGAGAGCTGCCCCGATTGGCAAGACCCATTTTGGCCAGGGGTTAAAGTTTAGCTTCCAAAATGGATTACTCAATTAGCCAAATGAAAGTTGAATTGCTGCGATTGTGTAATGATCTGCCTGGAGGGGCATTAAAAGGAGGTGGCTTAAAGCACACAAAGAAAACGAAAAAACGGAATTCTTAAAGGCTACTTTTAATGACTATGCCAATTAAAAGTGCATTTAAAAGAGTAGTGCTTCCTTAGATTTTTAAAAACTAATGTTTAAATAACCAAATTGGGATAGTAAAGTTTAAAAAATAATTTAAAGAGTTCACAATGTTATCAATAGGATTTTCCTGGCAATTTCACATGGGAAAACATTTTTAAACTAAAAATTCTGTATGCCAAAAAGGGATTCCAAATTTTAAAATGCCCAAAAATTAATTATTAATTTTTCTGTGTACTTACCCTTGAAATAATAATGCCGGCAATACTGATGCGTATTCTTGGCCCCTTCAGCAGACGATAGCGCAGATCGACTCCGTTCCAGAATGAGATGAAGTAACGTTTGACCTGAAGTGGAGATATAAGTTATGTTACTTCAAGTTTGAGTACAATGCACGTTTGTCTTTGTCAGACTAGTCCATCACCATAGGACTTTCATCTGAGCCGCATCTCTGGCTATTCTAGGTATTCAACTAGAACGCACCCAGATCAGGCAAACAAATAAATCTTGAGCGGGAGTGATGTGCATAATAATTAAATTGTATGTTTCGGCATCTCTTGGTTGAGAAGCTATAAATAAAGAACTATTCCTGAGTACTGATTTAGAACTTGAGCATTTGGTTGAGGCTAATACATTTTAAGACTTGGTTGTAAGTTACAAAAATAATTTATCCGCTTAAATTACTTTTCTGATATTACTTTTTCTGGCCAAGTTGCAGCCAGTGCTCTAATAAAATATATTGCATTAATAAATCCCCAATTCACCCCAATATAATCCCCTTTGGGGACTCGAGTCTCATTCACAACCAGACCTATCTATCAATACGAGCATATGTCTTATGTCTCGCATAATATCTACACATGTAGCGACGGAGAAACCAACAAAAAACAACTTTTACAAATCCTCAGACTTTGAAATCCCCTCCGGGTTGGGTTGGGTGCGACGGCATCGCATTGGATCGCGGTCGAAAATCCGCACACACGCAGAGACAATCCCAATCTCAATTCCAGCTGTCTGCAATTGCCGAAACAACTTCATTCGAGGCACCGACTTTTAATTTCTTTTTACCATATTTTTCTCCATTTTTTGTGGCCCTGTCACGCACACGTACCTGCAAATTATCGCCGCCATGCAGCCGATAGCCATCGTAGTCGACGATAACCAAGACCTCGGGATAGATGATGTACGGGGCCTGGCGGCGGGATCGAGTCCGGGATTCGGCCACCTGGGGTTCCGTCTCCAAAGCGCCTTCGTCCTCGTCGTTCAGATCCTCGAAGTCGGGACTTTTGGGCGCACTGCGTCGACTGCGATGCTGGCGGCGTTGCAATCTCTCAAGATTTTCGCTGGCCAGCAGATCATCAGGTTCCATGAAGGCTATACCCGACAAAAAAAACGGAGGAGAGAAAAAAAACGATAACCGGAAATGGCGAATTAAACAAAAATTAAGTAAAAATCGAGTGGTGGAATGTCTTTATTATGATATAAGAAGCTGGCAAGTCAGGTAGCCGGACATTTAACTGTATTGGGTATAATTTTTTGGGGCATTTCGGCAAAAACCGACAGTGAAAAAATAAGAATTCGGCGGGTGAGAAATACCAGGTATAAAATAAATAATTTTATAGTGATTATCATTGGAATTTTGGCGCCACCACAACGGCAGCAGGGGTAAATGCATTCAGTGAAGGGCGAATTGTTACATTGAACTCTTCGGCTTTTGTGATTGCATATACTTCTTTTATATTTTTTTCGAGCAGGAAATGCTATCGGCATCACGTCGATCTGGGGACCGAGATTTATGTGCCATGGCTTAGACCGGGGTTTCGTTTCTATGGCTTTCTAGAGGTCAATGCGCCCATTAAGAACGTAGCCTGCTTCTCAGGGGATCGTATTTTGTATCTCACCAAAGTCACTCAGTTGGTCTTCTGCTGCGGATGCCTCTCTTTTGTAGATGATGTGATGGGATTCCTCGGGATTGGGACTGAGTTCGTGCGGCAAGGGCTTGATCACCAGATCGTGACCGATGCTGCCCTCCTGCAAATAGAGAAAGGAGAAAATGACAGATTAGAGCTAATTAATTGGAGGCACAGCTTGCATTAGGGTGTATTACATAATCGTAGAGGATTTATGGAAGTATGTTCTTTCGTTGGCAGACCAATACCAATTAATACAAGCAGGCATAATAGCATTAAATTTCCAACGGACATTTGTCAAACCACTGACACCGGCGAACTCCATTTCGGGCAGACATTTTAAATAATTTATTGAACTTTTTTTTCTACTCAACATTCTTGGCCAGCACTCGGCGTTATGAATAGCCATATGAATATGAGTTGCGTTTGAATGACGCTGGCCAAGTCATAAAAATTAGCTGCAATTTGCATAGTTGAACATTTTATGCAAATGATCTGCGATCTAGATAAGCAATGTTTCCACACTATTCTCGGTCTCTCGGTTCGTTTTTATCGCCTCTGTAATTGCAATAATTATCGGAGTAAAACAGAGCCAGCAGCAGAGGTAACCTTGAAAAAGGTTAGCTACTAAATTGTTTGACTGAACATTTGAGACACCTAAATGCTTTCAATTCAATTTGCTTAAGATTTCGTTTCAGTTTTAATTGGCTTTTTGTTTATCGATCATCGAACGAACACCCACTTGGCACTAGGCGTGATCAGGGCTAATTAAGTCTCGGCAATAATGCTATAATTAAAATATTAACAGTGAGTAGAGCTGTTTGGACAGTGGAGCTACTGCGAGAACTGGCCACCAGCTGAGATCATGTTTAACATAAAATCTATTACGGAAATGGAACTGTAATTGTTCTTAAGCTGAGTCACTTGCAGATAAAATTTATCTAATGCTTATACCGACTGAAATCTATGGGAATTCATTTAAGTTAACTGATCAACTCAGTGTTCCCATGAAAGTGTATGGAAACAGAAACGTTACAAATCAGGCAAACAAATGACTTAGGCAACGAACTTGATTTTGCTCTCAATATATTTTGAGCATTTATTGAAAATGCCGAAAAAAAATCAAACAAACCAAATACAAAACGGCAAAGTTCAATGTCCTCGCACACGCGACTTTACTTAAATGTCAGCAACAGCAACAACGACATGTGCCATAAACAAATTGCAGGCAAAGCCAAGCAACAAATTGCCACAGATGACATGGGCCAAACAGACTTACCACTGAGAAAAACTACCTAGTTTTAATAATATTTGGATATATAAAATATTTAAAATCTGTTTAGTCCTTGTACAACAATAATGCTTTGATTTTTTCAGCTTTGAAATATATACATATCAAATTTAATCACAATTTAATATGCATTTTCTTGCGGTGTGCATATGCAAATCGAGTGCGATTGGAAATTGTTGGAGCAGCCTCTCACTTCACCCGTTGCAGCATCGCTGGGCACTTGAATTATGATCAATATTTGAGTTAGCGACACTTAAATGGCTTTTGGCACACAGTGCGTATGATAAATGTGCGCCATAAAAGCCTGGCATTCACATTGAAAGTCAGTTGACAGCAGAGAAGGTGTCAACAAGTTGAGCAAACAACTTCATTGCTTACCTCCGATTTCTTCACATTTCACTGAGATAATCATTAATTCTGAATTTGCACCAACACTAAACAACATTTATTTTGGCTACGAATTTAGTTTTATTTGCCTTGTTAGCAGATCTTTTAATTTACGCGACTGGCTGCAATTTTTCTCGGCATGTGGCAGTTAACCGAGTGCTAGTAACAAATTTTTCGTGTTCCACTTTAGTTGCGTTTTCCGCATTTCCACCAAATAGCCAGTAAAAAAAAAACGTAGCCAAGGCGTTTTGGGCGTGTGCTGTGCTGATTTCAGACTTACTTAACGTTTGTTTATTCAACTAAAGTTTGTCTCGCTTTTAGAGTTCTGGTACATGTGTTATGTAACTGCCCAACTGTGATAGGCTGTAATTTTCCAAACGCCTTGCCTTGAACGCAATTTATGCGAAAAAAAGCAATTAATAAATTAACTGAAAACAATTTATATGCTTTGCTTAATTTGTTGAAAGTTTGGTGGAGTAATTGCCTGTTGATTGTAGGCGAAATAAAAAGCTTTTACTTGGTATTCGGAAATGGCCAAACTCTCGAAACTTGAAAGGCAGTAAGTTTTAAGCATGTGGACATAAATCAAATGGAACTGGGGGTTTTTTAAATCGATTAATTTAATTTAATTTAAGGTAGTTGCTTTAAGATTTACTTAGAATATCCGGCCATATTTTCATAAATCTTTAATATCATAATAGAAATCTACAACCATATTTCCTGCTCTTTTTCCCATAGCATGGCCAACATTAACATCCAAATATCTTAAGATAATCATGGACCTTATAATTTTCCGCCTGTCGGCAAGTGCTGGCATGCCAATTACACGTTGTCCGATTTCAGATGGAGCAGGGGGATAAAAGCATGGGGTTACGAGGGGGAAAACAGCAAATTGCTTTCAAATCACGCAGCTTACACACCAAATATCCATTGGCTACGAGTATCTGCTTTCAGCTTTTAGCTCTGGCCATCGGCTGGCCCAAAATAAAGTTGTCCGAGTTGTCTTGTTTATGTAATCACCCACAACACGATTGTTATATCTGCAGGAGCAGAGAGCTGATTTGGAATTACATTTACGAGTGCTTTTTTTCAGTTACGGTTTCTGGCGGCCTTTCACACATTACTACGAACAAGTGCGCGTATCTGTCAGATACAGATAGACAAGTACGATAGGCACCTGCAGAAACGCCCAGCGATTGCAATCGACCGACAATGAGCTTGATTGATTTGTGATGATATTTTCGTTCGCTCTTTCCTTTATTCCTTTATTCAATTAAATGTAAATCATTTTATAATATTCCTCCACAATGATCGCAGATAATCAGCAAACGTCGGTTGGTTGCATAATGTGACACGCCACAAAAGAGTTCACTGAACCAAAAATTTACTTACAATCAAAATTAACACCTTTTCGTATTTGTTTTTCAGCTGTTATTTTTTTTATTTTTTTTGGCTCTGCCCAGAGCATCAAAGCGTTCGAATGTGCAAATACCAAAAAATTGGCAGACACCGAAACACAGGAGCGGCAAATAAAGCAATACAACAAAATCACTTTGCGGTTTGTAATTTTGGGAAATTAGCATAATTTGTGCAAATTCATGACACGAACATTCGAAGGAGTTGGAGCGGCGATCATCATTATAGTCATGACTATTGCTGTTTGCTGAACTCGATGGTGTTACTGCCCAAAGCTGCCAGAAAATGGATGTTAATTGGAAAAGAAGTCGTCTGTCTGTCTTATGCGATGAATGTGATCCCCCAAAAATCAAATTCAAATGCAAATGAAACAGAAAAATTATTTACGTATTTGGGTGTCATTTATATGAAAATCTCACACGTTTAAAGTGCTAAGCAGTCGCTCTAAAAACCTTGATTTGAAGCAATAATTATGCTCTTTTCGATGCGGCATCAATGGAAATGCGTTAAGGTGTGTGCCTTCGATGTTTTATATTTTTTTCGGTTATCATCTTGGTCAAGGTTAAATCTAATCGGCTCTTAAGATCGCTGTTCAATGCGAGTGCATGTAGTCGTAAACTACGGCACCGACAATCGACAATCGACAATGGGAACAAGAACGGATACTAATACCTTGATAGCGAGTTGGTATGACTGAGAGATACCTGCCGTGTTAACAGTTTGTTTACATAAAGCAGCTCGTTAAAAATATTCCGAGCCCACCTTCTGGCAGCCCACTCAACTATGGATTCTGTGTATGTATCTGTATCTGTGGCTCCGGCTGGTCAATGAATATTTATAAAAGAATAAAATTCAGGCGAACAGCACAGTGGCCACCGCCCATGGTCAGTGGCTTAAGAACTTGGCCCACACAGCGGTTCTCGCTCGACTGCAATCACAAGCAATCAAAATTAATTTGCTCACAAAATGTATCTGCCACTAGAACGCACTTTGCCATGTCTTTTTTTGGTTCTTGTCCATTTTTTTTCGGTATAATTTGTTGCGATGTTTGGTGCGTCGATGCAGCAGCAAGTTCAATGTGAATAGAGTGAGGGGTTAGGGGGAAATCTTTCAAGTTGCCGCTCCAATAACTCCAACCAGATAGTAAAGTATCGCCAAGTGGGTAGGTAGCCAGGCAGGCGTATGGGTAATGCCAGGCCTAATGAAGTTCGAGTCGCATGTCAAAGTCAAGTGGAGTCGACATCAACATCACAATCGGGTTTGACTGACTGATCGCAGGTTATCCTTGCACTTAGAAGTGTCTCAGAAGTGAAGGCCTCCCAAGGTTGACCGAATGGGTGTGTGTGCCTACCACTCAGATACCAAAGAATCAATCTTTCCATCAATCTTATCTACATTTCTGTAGTCTACCATCTGAGTGCGGTTTTGCATTGTAAATGTTTGATTTTTGTCTTTCATAGATGATGCATATTCATCAATTTTATTTGGATTTTATTATTTATCAGCTCTATCAATCTGATATAGATTGCTGCTGATTGGTCTCAATTTCTTTGTGCCTTGATTAATGGTATTCCCCTTTCATTTGCCATCGATTAATCCGCTTAATTGAAATTGGATCCCCTGGCGGACACCAGAGACCCAAATTGAATCCCCATCAGCAGGTAGGCAACTACCAACTTAAGCTATCTTAAGCGTGAAAATATAAGACTCGTGCTCAGCTCTTATTTTTTTTGGACCCCTTCCCGAAATTAAACTGTGATCGCCGATATGTTTGTGTATGCCTTGACGTAACCGATATGGCCGTTTATTAAAATGCAATATGCAGTTTAAGTCTTGGAACGGCACCCGCCAGAAATGTTGTTATCATCTGGTGGCTTGCCACACCGCGCAGCACCAATTAAAAAACATTTTTCACGAGGAAATTGCAGCCACAACCCAGAAAAAATGGGGAAAAAATGTGCATTTTGATTAAATAATATGAGCAGCAGGGTGTAATTGAAAAACGGTTGACTTGGCGGTATTTAATCCTTTGTATTCGGGGCATGCGTGCCGTTCATGGAGCTGAGATCGTGATGGATAGCGGCGTGTTGCTGCTAGTAGCCATCGTGTCACGCCGCCATCTCTTGTTCCCGACTTATAGTTTCCCGATCTACAGATCTGCATATGAGCTGCTAACCAAAGTTGTCGGCCTGCCGCCTGGCACTTATGAATATTGGTAACACGCTCGTTGTTATGTCGACTCGATTTAGTTTCGGTTTAGTTTTCCTTTTGGACAAGTGAGCCTTGCGGCTATCGAGTAACCAAAATCAAAACCCGAAAGACTTGGGCAACAAACTCGTCAGTTGGGGGTTGTGTCGTCCGTCTAAGCCAATATATATATATTTGCAGGGTGGGGTATTTCATACCAATTTGCAAAACTATTTTGCATTAATTTCGCTCAACCCGAAACTCATTGCACAATGACCAGAGCCGGATCAAGTGGCTTGAAAGTTTCGGCTTTAATCAGCCAAAAGTCGAATCAAATATAGCCATCAAATTGTATAACATTTGTAAATGTCGCCGGCGCATAAATTGCAATTCTCCCGCTTGAATGTCAAGCCAACTTTGCCGACTTTGGCCCATAAATTGTGCAATTTTAACACTTGACTATGATGATGATGATGATGCTGCTCCGGCAAATGCAAATCAAATCAGCGGTCAGCCAAGTATTTAGATATAGAATTTCCAGCCAAGAAGAGCAACTATCGCATTTACGAGTATATGCATAAGCATTCAGTGAACTCTTTGTAAATATCAAGGCTGACAATTAGTTGGGAAGGTGAGAAGACTTTGGCTGCGAAGAAGCTCTCTTGAGACGAATAAAAACTCGTTTGGCACTTTGGACATGAATGTTGCTTAATGATGACGCCGCGATTGCCGTCTAATAGAGTTGGCCAAAATGCTGAGAGCCGTGTCCAAATGTCGCCTGTGCTACCTAATAATTCTGCTTGTTGTTTCCATTGTTGTTGCCCGGCCGTTTACAGATTTCAGTTTGTTCAAATGGCAAGGCACATATTGATATTTCCAATGCTGTCAAATGTCAAGCGGCTTGAAAAAAGGGCAAACCGCATTAGCGGCTAGGGTGTGACTGATAAAGTTCAATTGGGATTAAAAACGAAAAAAAATGGATAATGTCTAAATATTATTACTATTAAGCAATTGAGTAGCAGTTTCGCTTTTATTTAAATGAAAACCTTACAGTGCCATCGTAATCAAAACGAATGACTTAAGACACGAACTCAGTTTTTTTTGGGAATGAAAACCTTTTTTTTATTTAACTGTTTATTTATTAAACAGAAACTAGCAATTGTAAAATGTGTAAGGAAATTAAAGATTTTTACTTTCGCATTCCATTTAATTTAAATTCGTTATAAATAATTATAAATATCCAGTCTTATTTTATTAGCAATTAAATAAGTGTAACTAATTTCCTAAGCAGAAAACAATTAATGATTACTACGAACTCACTTTAATTATTCCAATTTGGCTTAACTAACTGAAGATACTTTTACCTGCCTGTGCACCTTACCCAAAGGTTTTTTGAAAGCTCATTAATAGAGAGATGCATATTACGAGTGCTGCACAATAGCTCTTACGTAAGCCACTCTCTCGTCATGAAAGGTGGCTGAAATGCATTTCATGACTTTCGTGGATCTGTTTTCATGGCCAAACTTTTCAGAGCAGCGTGTAATTAGCAGTCGAGACTCAGGCATCCGATGCTTACATCACCTGCAACCAATTCATCAGTGGCCGCACGCATCGCCTTTTTGGATTTGACTGACGTTGGCCGCAATTAGCATTAATCAAGCTTGCTTACCAAACCCCCCTCCCCGTAAAAAATACTTTATTTATTCAAGTGCATAAACAAATGACCGTAAACATTAAAGGCACAGAAGAGTAAGACAAAAACCCAGAGTTATTATTACAATTTGTTTGGCTTGTCTGGTTCCCTTGAGCTCGTTTCGTTTTGATAAATTTCCAGAAGGGGAGGAGAATGTAATTGGCTTAAACAATTAGCCATCTCCAAAATGAATGTCATCAATTTTTGGAACTATTCGCAAGGCAAACAGACCATTTGGATAAGACTCAGAAACTGAGAGTAATTGGCCGTGAAATTAATATTCGCATGTAAATGTTTCGCTGTGTGAGATTACGAGTCAATGTCAACATTGATTGGGTCAAAATTGGATACATTACCGCGACTGGCAGTGGGTGGCACACATAATGGACACCGCACTGAAGTGGATGCTCAAGTCCAGGTCGTCTAAGGGCATTCGGAGCGACCTTCAACTTCTGACATGTACATATTAAATCAAATTCGGTTTTCGGGTTTCGTTTCCCACACAGCCTTTGATGATGAATAACCGTGCTTATGGGATGCATCATTTTCAAGTATAGCAACGGATTGTGGGAATCGTTTTGATCGAAGTTCGTGAAGAACCTTTAAATTCCAAGCTCACTAATGAAGTTTATTCAAAGGCTGCAAGACTATTTAAAAAATACAAATTCGTTGGAACCGCCAAATAGTGCGTGTAAGTCTACTCTTAAGTAAGCTGTAATTAAATTAAATCACCGACAAAAACAACGTGGGCTTGAAATTTCCTTTGAAAATGTTTTGCAATGGGCTAAAAGCAGTTCGTGTCTTAAGTCTTTCGAACAGTGGATTGGCAAAAGATATGTTGGAAATTAGTAAACAATTTTATGGGAGAGCCTTTATGGTAGTTTTCCTGTTAAATATTTTGGAATTGAATTGCAAAATTGAATTTATGGAGCGGTTCTTTAACCTAGTTGGCTTTTAAGAGCCAGCTTCGACCCACTGTAGCTAAATATTTTAAATATTTTCTTTGAGTTTTGCCAGAGGCAGCAATTATTTGTCGTAAGACGCACCATTTAATGGTGGAAACCTAATTAAACGGCCATAAATAAGGCAATGAAGGAGGAGGTGCCAGCTTCTTAATTTGTCGGCATTGTTTGAATAGTGAACCGAACACCCGGGCCAGAAGTCTTACGCAATTGTTGGTGCCTTTGCCATCTTTGACTTCTTGTTAATTACAAGTTGGCAGCGGTATCTTGATGTGCGAGATGTTTGAGAGCCCGTCCGTTTAAGGTCAAGCCCGAAGCCGGAAGACCCATTGGATTTGGCCAGCGCAGCTGCGTCTTTTGGCCAATTGCGAAACTTTTCGCCGGCTCTCTGCACCTCGAAATGTCAGGCGGCAAACATTTTTCATGCTCACATGTGTGCTGACTATTTTCTACATATTATTTATGAATTTTTCTGTTTGTCGGTCGGTGCAGCGGCGCACTTGGCCATAACAAGTCGGTCAAGTCAGACCGGGCCAGACATTGCTGTTTGACCTTTTATTGGCTGTCTGTAATTATTATCACAAATACATTTTTTCCTATCCAACTTTAGTTTAACAAATTAAATCCAAGCAGACGTCCGAGATGCTCAAAAAATTGCCAAAAATAAAGACCCCGAATAAAGCGAAGAGCCAAAGTTGAGGCCCCAAGACTTTTGTCTATGAGTGGTTGTTTATTGACCTTATTGTCTGCCAATATTTGTTGGCCATTTTCTGATTCCGCCGCTTATTTGTTTGTCCGTTTGGCTTTGCTGATTATTAATTTGCTTGAATTGTGACATTTGGTTGTGCAATTCTCCATGCAGGCAACGCTCAAAAGGTTTCTTTCTTTCGGTTCTTATTCCCATGAGACCAACTTGATCTCAATTTCCACCCGCCATGAAAAAGAAAAGATCTCACACACAATGGCCGGTAATTAAGGCGGACTTCCTCCATGCCAAAACTTGTTCCTGCATATTGAGTTCCATTTCCGCTCGGGTAATTGCCAATTGTTTTAAAATTAAGAGTCATCAGAATTTATCTGATGCTAGTTAAATAGCAAGAGCAGTATAAAAATTGGATATTAAATTAAAGCATAAACAGAAATGGCACATAATACCGAGAGTTATGGCAACCTTGATAATTGGCGGTGAGGAAATGGTATAATAATTACATCGGGGTGGGGTAAAAATATTTGCGGTTTATTGAATTAAAAGAGTTAAACTAAATTCAGCGATTAAGAATATTCTTTGGCGGTTGGAGGTTAAGCAAACTATTTGCAATGGCCTCAAGGTATCTTTTCTGTTTTTAAGCATATCTAAATACGTAAACGATTTTATTTGTTATAAGAACATGAACGTTTGTGGTCTTGTGCAATATATCTTGGCATTATCGCCCATACGCCATCACAATTTTCACTCCTGTCAAATTGGTCCAAGGTGGTCAGCGACAAAAAAAGTGGGTGATGCATTGATAGGGTATATATAGCTGTCGATAAATCTCAGAACCAAAAAAGGAAGTCAATAGAATTGATGATCATTAATGGCAAATAGCTACCTGTCACCTAAGAAGTGACATATAATTATATGAATTAACCGAAAATTCTAAAATTACTTTATAGAAATCAACCAAATTTAATTGGCACTTCTTTGAGGTATCAATTAGTCGACCCTGAATTTTTATGTAGCTGTTCACGCCGACCATTTACATTTACAGCTGCCGATTGGCCCGAACGCTTTTGCGGCGATAAATTAATGCTTAATCAGCAGAAATTGTCTAAATCCGCAAATTATCCGCCATCGTTCTGAATATCCGATCAACGGGCGTTTAATTGTAATGCCCGCCGCACAGACACACAAATTGAAATGTGCGACAGCCAGCAGTTAACATGGCCGGCATGTCCAACTCCGAAACTGACCATAACAATGGCCGTCTGTCATAACAAGAAAAGCCACAGAACAGAAACAAGAACAGAAACTGAATCAGAATCAGAAACTGCTGAAACGGTAACCGAACAACGCCAAGAACAAGCATTAATGGTCTGTGCTAATTGAAATTCTTGAGGCACGTTCATTGATTGCACTACAACGCAGTGACCTTGCAAGGTGGGTGGGTGCGGGGGTGGGTCTATTGATCTTAAAGCACTTACCATTATCAGGTCGCCGGTTTCCATGTGGCGCCGCATCAAGATCGCAGCCATATTCTTTTCATCCTGAAAGACCTCTCCTACATCGTTTTTGTGGTGCTGCAAGAAACAGAAAGAAGGTAAATTAATTATTATGAAAAATTGCAGTTTCTATTTCTAATTACATATTAAATTATTTTAGTATTTACTAATAAATTTGCTTGGATTTTAAGTAATCAGATAACAATAACAGGTAATTTTATATTTATTTATTTGTCGACATAATATTGTTCAATTGCAACTATTAACATGTTGATAGTAAACATTAGTCAAAAAAAAAATAATAGCACAGACCAAACCGCCATGATTTATTTTCTTTTAACTAATCTAATTCTAATTACATTTGCTAACAGTAGCCGTAATAACTATAAGACAGCTTTACGGTGGTAAAATATAATTTGTATTAAAATGCAATTAAATACCCATTTTACATTTTTACGGGTCTAAATTCCGCACATTCCGCGAGATGTAAAACAAATACATGGGACTAATGCCGCAGCTGGCCATAACTGAAATTTAAAGCACTTTTCGTTTTGTTTCATTTTTTTCGGTATAACAAATGTATATTTTGTGGGCACCGCAGCTGAGTTGACCAAGACAAAACGCGTGGTTAGCGGGTAAATTTAATTAAATGCAACTTTGGCCGACTAGAAAAAGGTGGCGGGGGGATCGGTGGGAGGACTACTTGGTCACTTAGTGAGGAGCGTGGGGTAGTCGAAGCTGTAGCGGTAAACTGAGCTTTGATTTATGCTCGTGGTTGGCAAATGTGACGCCTCAGCATGCACGTCACTCATACGCCGTGTGTGCCGCGGCAGACTTTAGACTGACCATGAAAATAGTGCTGCTGGCCCGGCTTAAAGCTTAAGCTTCTGACATTTGGCCAACTGCTCTAGTTTCGATTTAGTTTTTTTTTTTTAGTTTTTCCAGTGTCCAACTGTTTTTCAATCCTGTGACATAGACATTCGTTTCGGATTTTTCTTGTTCTCGCAATTCAAGGCAGCCGCCGAGCAAATACCCCGGGGATATTAGCCTAGAATTAGCATAAATTTTAATTTCAACGGCTTATCTTTAGTCCCGCTATGGTCAAACTAATTAAATTAATTGCCGCTGCGTAACCTGACCATTCAATTCAATTCGATTCGATTCAATTGAATTGAGTTCTGTAATAAATATCGAAATAAATGTAATCTGACACTTGACATCAGCCATAGCATTTGGCATTGGACCTCGTCCGAACCTCAAAAACTTGTCGTGCCGGCACTCTATCAAATTACGAGCATAAATCATAACTGCCCGCGTCCAAATATACAGTTACTAATCGCAGTACGCTTGATCGGAGCAATAAATGGCAGTACACATATGTACTCGTATGCATCACTGTAAGTCAGGTGCCAAAATCCAACTCAAAATTAGAGTCAAAGCCATTAACCTTTAGCTTGATGAGAACTGTCGGGTCGAAGATATATTTACGTGGCCTTATTAAAAGTTTGATTGGTCTTAAAAGAGCCCAGTTCAGGAAACCTATAACGTTTATTCCATTATATGAACAATTAATTTTATTCTTACGAAAATCGCAGCTGTGATAAAAAATACTATAATATTATAATAAAATGTATCATTAAGCCATTTAGTATAAAACCAAATACTATTTTCTATTGTAAATTTTTATATTGGCCAATGTACAGCAACTTTAACATGATATTAAGCAAAATATTTCTCTGAATAAAATAATTTTAATTTTAATAAAAAAATATTCTTATATTCTGTATGGTCTTTTTCAATTTTATTTTAATTTAATTTTTAATCTTAAATTTAAAGTTGATCTAGGTAATAAGTCACTGATTTCCTTTGTTTGTATAAGAAAAAATAAAATTTTTTCTAAAATATTTTTAGTAAACCAGCAATTGATTAAATCTAATTCATATCCTTTTCGTGCTAGATATCCCTTAGAAATTGGCTTTGAAAAATATGAGAAAATATGTGTCTGTTCCCCAGAAATTTGCCAGAACCGGGTAATTATTTATCGCTCTGATCGAATTACTGAGCTGTCCAGAATGGGGCGGGGCTTGGTTAAGTTGGCTAAGTGACCGCCAAGCGTGCGGACACGCAACAACAGCAACAACACACTCAAATTTTTCATGTGCAGCAGGCATTTATGGCTTAATTCGTTGTTGCTGTCGTTGTCGCTGGTACGTTGTTGGAGCGTTGTTGTATTTGCTAGTTGGACACGGCGACCTTGTGGAAAAATAAGTTCAAAGCAACAAGTGGCAAGTGGCGACCCCCACGCCACCACACGTATTTCGTATTTCGGCTGCCATGAATCCGACTCCGATTCCGAATCCAAATCCGAATCTGAATCCGATTTCGATACCGATGCAGAGACTAAAAACAGCTCGAGTTGTCAACGCTTGGAGCCTGGCCAAGTGTTTTGGCCATATAGTATTTATGAACTGTCAGTTGGCCACTTACGGCACTGCTCCGTTTGCTCTTGACTCCACTTTGCATGGACCAATTGACAATTGCTGTTCTCATTTTGACTTATTTTGTTCTCTCCATCGGTCGCAATTTTAATTAGTTGACTTGCAAATTGTAAATTGTTAGCTGTCGCGCATTTTTTTCCTCGACTTTTTCACTTCGATTCCATTTCCATTGAACCTAACCATATATATATTTGTTTTTTATTTATGGCGCCGTAAATTTTTTAATTACAAATGGCTACAAGACATTATGCAGATCTCTTTGCGGAGATTAGGCTCTGACCGGAATGTTTTGTATCTTTTTGTTTGGCTGCAGCTTTTGTCTTACGTAAGAAGCGAATTTCTGCCCCAAGGGTTTTGCTTTGATTTTCGCCTATAATTTTATTCCTCACTCAGCCTAAAACACTTTTACTTGAATGGTTTTTGTTTGACTAGAGAAAGGTTGTAGAAAGGACGGGCTTTTCTTTCTCTGTTTGTAAAGTTTTCTGGGCGGCAGAATCTTTGAAAGTGGTTAGGAGAATTAAAAATGGAAAAAGATCAAAATATATATTTATATATTATTTGGGATCCAAAGGATCTATACAAAAATATTGAGAAAAGTCTTTCCCATTGAAACCAAGCTTCACATCAAACCCTTTCAATGCTTCACATCAGCACTCTGCCTCCGAAATAGTTGAAAATGAAAGTAAAAGCCTCAAGACTTAACAACTTCCTGGCTGAAACTTTTTAGCCCATTTTCTTTGGCTCTTTCTTTGGCAATTTTGTTATGCAAATTAAGCCGAAAAGTTGAAAGAAGAAAGACGCAAATGACCCGGAGCGACGAATTTGGCAAAGTGAAAATTAGCCTCTGAACTCTTTCTGTTGTTTGGTGGCGAGGCGAGAAGAAGGTTAAAGCATTAGTCTCAGGCCCTTAACCTGGCCAAAAAGACGATAATTTGCCATTGTTCGAACGAAAGTCGGATTTTTCGAATGGAATATATCTGCGATGAATCCCACACGCTTTCAGTGAGTACGCACCGTAAATCCACGAGCCATTTAGCCAAGTTAACCGACAATTAACGCATTAGACGACGTGTGGGCGTCGCTTTTTGTTGGTTCGTTCCATTTGTTGGTTTGTTTGCTCGCTGATTTGTTTGGCGTCGTTACGCATACGCCGCATTGGCCGCATTCGAGCTGCGCATAATAATAACTTTGGATTTATCCATGCGTGTGTGTGTGTGTCGGCTGATTTGCTTTGGCAGTTAGCTTGTTTATTACGCACCATTATGCATTGTATATGAGTCGCGTCGAACTGGATTTGTTGTTAGCAGCTAGCAGCTCGCCTTTGGTTTCAAGACAATGCCAAGGCTGGAGCTTGCCATTATTTGTCTATTATTCGGCCAATTATGTGACCCATTGAGTTGTTCGAGGAACTGGGATCTTTTAAGCCGATTCAGACACTTGGATAGCTTCATTGATAAGTCAGCTAACATAGTTCCTCGTTTCAAGCCCTAATGGCTGTAAAAAGGGAGCGAACAAGCCAACTTGTTGCTGGCTACAAAGCAACAAGCCGCTCGGCGTTAACAATAACTGCAACATGAGCATAACAACAACCACAGAAACTGTCAGGCCGTGGCAACAACTTTACGGCATTATGCAACCGATTGCAGCCGCACAAAAAACGCGCCGGTGGGAGGGAGATAAAGAGTGTAGCCAGGGAAATGCAGCCCGAACTGCTTTCTAAGCCGCAACGTTTTCCTGCTACCCCTCATCGCCGTTTTTTTTTTCTTTCATTTTTTTGCGGAATTGCAACTTGCATCGCCCGCGCATTTAAAAAATAGTTAGAGAGAGTGGGACACAGTGAGCTAATTTCAAATTCATTCAGCTGCCAAATCGGCCAGCTCATTAATCATGCTTCTCCGCCGCCGACAACAAGTTGGAATCGTTTTGCAATGACAAGATACAATTTTGCGTCTTGTGAAACGAGTGCAGCGGCAGCAAATGTGTGGCATGCAGCAAAGGCTTTTACAGTTTCATTACTGCAGACACACACACTATTTTTTAATTATGCACTGCGCGCGTTAGCACCCATCAGAAATGCATTTTGAAAACTTAATTATTTTGCTTTCAGTTTTCCATTCGACTGGTTGGTAGGAGATATTGAATGCGGTTTGGGGGGGTGGAATCACTAATGCGCGCTCCATGCCCGAGTTCGTTGCCTAAGTCTTTCGTTTGTGGCCCGATTTTATGGTAATGGTCGAACCTCAGAGTCCCGAGCGGGCAGGTGGCCAAGCCTCAGCCAAAGGGGATTGTTCTTCCCACCACAGTCATGATCCACGAGCAATTGGTCATAGTCCACTACTGTCTGCAGATTGCTATCGAAGTACCTTTATATACTTCGTGTAAACCCGGATCACTTGCCTTCTGTTTTATTACTCAAACCAATAGGGAAGTAAAGCCAAGAAAAACAATTAAGCCCCTAAGGTAATAAGCTATTTTGGTTCTATTACATGTTTCAAATTAAATTGAAATTGGAAGGGAGCTTACATTAGTTATTAGGTTTTCTACAAAAATATTAACAATATTTTTTACATTTACTTTCTTTAATGCAAGTTTATCTTCAATACTTATTATCCATCCATCTCACTTTTCAAATTACTTTTAGAAAACCTAAATTAAATTTTATTTTAAAATTGTATCTTTGTTTTTAGCAAAGAAAATCGTTGTTGCCTACAACTTCTCGTACAAAAATCCCATTTACTTGATTTCCCGTTCCCCTATTTGGCCGTTTCCATTTTTTCAGAGACCTGTGCGACTTTTGTTTTCATTTCGCCTTATTTCTGGCATTTTTGCGGCTGCACTGACCTTTGTGCGGAGCCTATCGCCTTCATCGATTGAATGCGGCAGTGGGAGTGCCGAGCAACGCCTTGTGTTTGCCTTTTAATTCCTTGGTATGCCTTGGTATTAAAGTAAAACTTCGAGAGTATCGGGGTGAAAAAGACAGTGCTGGGTGTAGCTCAAAACAAGGTTTCCACCTTCATAGTTAAACAGAGAAATTTTCACCGCAAGGCAAAAAGTGATTGCACTTCGTAATGGCTATTCAGTTTTTAATTTAATTTTAATTTCCAATCGAAAAGCGAAAAACGCAACATTTTCCCTCAGCCTTAATAGTTTTTGTCAAAATAAAAAACGAAACGGGGTCAGTTCTTCAGACCCCGGTATCAATGGAAAATTATTTTTCGGTACTTTTGCGGTTGGCAAACAATAAAGCACAAAAAAGATACAGAATGTCAGAAATTAGAATAAATGTTTTTTCATAGCATTTTTTGTTTCCTTTGACTGCTGTTAGAAGGTCTCTGACAAAGTGCCGCCAGTACCAAAAAAAAATATATAAAAAAAATCGACATAGAAAACACTGAAATTGTTGTAGTTATGTGGTCTATATCTTGAGGCCATTTGTTTGTGGCATGAATCCAAAAAAACAGAAAACAAAAATAATTGCCAAGTCATACGATTCAAAGGGGGAAAATGCCTTTGCGTGGGTTACTCAATCTTGCGCAGAAAATGCCCAAAAATACTACAGCAGCTTATTTCGGTTTTAATTAAAAGTGACGACAAAATCCCCTAAGAAATGAAAGAAAAGTCAAACGAATCTTTCCGCATTTCGTAGTGCCAGGCTTAAAAACTGAAATTATCACACATAAATCACAAAAAAGGCAAAAACAAGAAACAGAAAAACTCCAAAGTTGGCAAAGTCCAAAGACATAAGAGTTCGCGTCGCCGAGTTCATTTCTTTTTCGGCTGTCGTCTGACATGACATTTCACTTTCATTTCCGAAGTGTTGTGTCTTGCATTCAAAATTATGTTGTGTTTGCAATCCGCCCTCCTCCACCGACGGTAATATCCGCCGAATATATAACTCGTAATTTAAAGTGCGATCAATTGATTGTACTTCGTAGGCAAGAAACACGCCCACCACAGCGGCCACAAAAACAACAACATGAATAATGGGTAAATGGGAAAATTAAATTATATATACAAACAAGCCATGAAAAGGCGTTCGACGCCAAAAGAAAGTGAACCTTATTGGTAATTACAAAAAAGTCACGTTCATGGCTCAACTCAACTAACTGAATTTTGTAGGAACTTGTGGGTGGAAAGAGTAAATATTAATACTTTTAATCCATTGTTGTTTTTGATCCGAACACGAAATCTAAAATTGCCTAGCATTATTATACTGCTATGAAAGGTAACGAAAATAAAAAAGGTTAAGCCTTTAAACCTGTTACATATTGCAGTCTATCTGTTAAGCTGATTTCCGTCCGTCCTTGACTTTAAGCCAGATTTTCCTAAGACCGCGTGATTATTTTTCCCACTCACAATAGCAGGCGAGCGTAACAAAGAAATGTAATTAAATGTGAGCTCAAAAGTGTTTTTTTATAAATAAAAGAAAATCATTTTATCACGTGACCAATCATCTTTGATTAGGTACGAATAAAAGCAAAAGCAGTATTACACGCAAAAGCAGTAACAACATTTAGATGCCATCAAAGTAAAGCGTAAAGTTGTAAAATAAAAACAAAGCCAAGCAAAACAATATATAAAAGCCTGAAAACGAAGCGTTGATAAATGCTGAAACAAAATATCTGCCTACCTAAAGCGGAAGTATACCGAATCAACAAATCAGAAAACGTACAAAGGCAAAACGCAACAAAAACCAAAGTAGTAATTTTTTACACTACCCATGATGTAACCAATGAAAGTGCAGTAAAAGAAAGACTTATAAGGAAAATATGTACAACAAAATGCCAATTTAGGGCAAGAAAATATATGGCATAAATACGAGAGCCAATCAAAAATGAATATAGTATCAGTAATATAAACTAAAATGGGCATGAAGAGAGGTTACGTTGTTTTCTGTTAAGTAGGACATGCATTTTTTGATGAAGAAATAAAATTAGGTTTATTGAAAAATATGTTAATAATAAAGCAAGCGTCATTAAATGTTACTATTAAAAAACTTAAAACAAACTGATACTTTGATGGGCGTGATTTATTCATTTTAGTTTATTATTTTACTCTTTGTGGGCGACCTTTTTAACCATTGATTGGCCTAACCTAATCACCTATAATCTTTATTTACATAGTAAATGTATTTTCCTACGCTCAAACCTATAATCTATTTTTAAAATGTGACCCACTTTATCATCTGAAAACGAGCCATGGTTATAGTTCTAAATTTATAAAATTCATTAGTAATTTAGACGATTCCCTCCCAATTTTAACAGCTTAAATAATCCTTCTTTTGTCATAATTCTAATTAGTTATCTCTTAAGTTTAATATAAGTAACAAATGCCTTACCTCTTCGTGGACGATCTCCTGAAGGTCAAGGCCGTGGGTGGCGTTCGGCTCGCTGCCCACCGTCCACATGCGCAGTTGGTGGGGCGCGCCCTTGAAGAGTCCTTGGGTGGCGCGCAGGCTGAGGTTCAGGTGCTGGCCGAAGGCGCTGAAGGACACGTTGTGCGACTTGATGGCACTCACTTCCGGCCCGAACAGGTGATTGCCGCCCGAGGACATGGCCTCGTGCTTCAGCTCGCTGTAGTAGGCGTTCTTGCTGAGATCCTTTTTCACGTGGTGGGGCGGCAGGGCGGCGTTGACCTTTGGCCTGTCGCCGATGCTGCGCCGCCGCCGCTGGTGGCTGGGGTTGTTCTCATGGTGCAGCAGCTGGACGAGCTCATAGTGGGGCACTGCGTCGTGGGTGTCCACGTGGAAGACTGACTGCAGCTGCTCCGGCGACATTTGTTTGTGCAACTGGAAATGGGATAGGGAGAAAACGAATTCAGGTTAGCGATCGCATGGACAAGTTGCCCTGGGCAATGACAACAATTTGTAGCAATTGTTAGATGGATAATTGAAAAATTATCAATAATTCAATGCAATAATCGAGTGTTTGCCAAGCCTTGTTGGTGCTCTCTCTCTGGCGTTTGCTCGGTTCGTGTTTGCATTGGACCCCTCAAGAGCTATCTGGAGATTAACGACTAAGCCAGAGCCAAAGCCAAACGCGGCTGGGTTTTGAGTATCTTCGCTAACTGGGTCAGGGTCAATTCGGCGTTTGATAGATTTATTTATTGTGTGCAGACACACATGTATTTAACCATTTCCGAATCAAACGAATCGAATCGAACAAGAAGCAGAAACGAATATCGAATAGCAATCTTATCCAAGTTGCGTGTAAACTTTTTCTTTATAAACATATTGTGTGTTAGCCATAATTGCGAATTTCAATTAAAATCAAATTAATTTTATATTGTTATTAATGGACTTTTAATCTGTGTGCTATTGTTGGTGCTTATAAATAGCCGTATTCTTCTATTCAGTTTGCTAACACTTGTTGAGTTTCTTGGGAATTCCAACTAGGGTTTATTTTTATAAATGAAGTAGCTTGAACTTATTTAAATTCATTCATAAACTACTCAAAATAATTCCACAGTTAGCTTGCCATTCTTAATGACATTCTACATCAATCAATGTTGAGATTTTTTTGGTTCTTCCATTGCATTTCCGTTTTATTTATCTGCCAAATCTGCATCTCACTTGCAATCCAATCAGCAGCAGCAGCAAAAACAAGATCTGTTACAGGGTCAAAGCTAGAGTAGAATTTCCTTAAACAACGTCTAAGACGCAAGCGCAAAAACAAAAGACTCAGGCAACGAACTTGCTGTCAGCAAGCGGTCGGCAATTTAGGCAAATTTCTTGCATTTATTTTGCCCAAAATGGCCTAAAATGAGTCAGAAATGGAATTACAGCAAATGACGACAGCACCGGACAAGAAACAGTCGAAAAAGAAGCAAAACAAATACAAAAAAAAAGCAGACCACGACGAAGGTAAACAAGATAGCGAGCTGTCTTGGCCAAAAGTACAAGATTCACTTTTACAGTTAGGACCCCGAGGTGCTGACTGATGATGACACTGCCGGGCATAACCGTAAGCCGAGCTTAATAATTCTTTTATAATTGAAATCCATGCGGAGAGTTGGCGGCAGGTGAACAGACCCCGAAAAGAAAAACCAGACGCTGGCTCAGACGCACCGGACAATGCCAAAGAGTTTTTACTTTCATTTGAAACGTGTTTTCGACCACAGACAACAGGAGCCAGCTGTTGGGGTCGCATTGAGCAACTTTTGCCATCGCCGTCGCCCCATTGAAAGTGAAACTGAGGCTTGAGAAAGGAAAACAGACGCAAACAGCTACTCTTTCGATGAGGCGTTGAGTTTGCCACTCGAGTGCAATTGTTGCGACTCGAGTTGATTTCAGTTGATTTGAGCTGAGTGGAGTGCAATCCCCGGGCTTTAGGGCTCTTTGCTGGCCACATTTGGAAAGTTTTGCACCTGCAGCAAATTACAATTATTCTTGTTCAGTTTCCCTCTCTGTATGCAAATCTCCCGGCGCTGTGACCACACCCAAACACCAATCAACACTTAGCTCTCCGGCCCTTGTGGCCAATTAATCGCAATTAAAAACAAATGAGAGGAAAAAAAAAACTACGATCAGCAATTACGAATTATGCAAAAAAGGCGGCATCCAATGAACAAGATCACCAGCTACGATTAGAGGACCAGGGTTGCCAAAGGTTCAAAGCTTCATAGCCGGAAAAACAGTTTAAAGACCGAAAATGGCTTGAACATTATGTAAATCATTGATAGGCATCGAAAATTACAACTTCAAAGGTGTTGAAAGAAGTGGTAAGTTCAAAAACAAAAAAAACCAAGACAATTGCGCATACCTAATTGTAGATAATCAGCTAGCTTTAAAGCCGCTATATTAATTACAGGCTTAATTTGAGCAATTAGTTTTTAAATTATATTTTTGGGAGTTATTTTTCTTGTATTCTTAAAAGGCTTAAACATTATGTGAATTAATCATCGAAAATTATAAATGAAAAAATGTTAAATTCAATTGAAAATTGAAAAAGAATATTTAATGTTCAAAATATTACTTAATAAATTGGAAATAATAATGAGAATATTTGAATGATTCCAACTAATAAATAATTATTAGTTTAGTCCGGAAACAAGTTATTGTGACAGAATATTATAATGATTCTTTATACTTAATACCACATTGCTCAAGACCTATAACTAAATGTAGTTTAATAAGAACTAAACTGAAATCAAGCAACTGCAACTAGAAATCCACCGGACCAAATCCAGCCCTAGCTAAAATTGTCATTTGATTCGATTGGTCGGCAGTTGCCATTAAGTTGCTGTTTACCCAGCTATTTGTCCAAGCTTAAGTTTGATTTTATTTTCGGTTTTCGTCGAGTGCAATGACGGATATTGTGAAATTCGCGCTGTTTGTAATTTGTATGGCTAGCTGTATTGCTGCTGGTCTGGTGCGCGGGCAATTACTGAAATTGTGCGAGATTACTCATACGCCCGGTGTATAACGCTATAACCGGCATGACGGCGACTTCGATGGCGGTGGCGGTGGCGACCAAGTGCAATCAGAGTCAAGTCAAAGTAAAAGGTGTAGCCGCAATATTAACGCAAAAAGTGTGCTTCAAATTGGCTCTAGTTGAGGCCAATACACTGTTTATGGCAAACTGCGGCCAACAGTGTGTTTGTTTCACAATTGTTTTCCCCCCTTTCCAGCCGGTCAAAGTCAACAGCGGCAGACGCTCGAAAGAGTGTCACTCGACCTTTCGCGCAGTCAGTCAAATACAAAGAAATTATTCACTCACAAAAGCCATGAACGGCGATACAGCCCTGCGGATTTTGAAGATTTTGGGACTTGTGTTGCGGGTTATTAACTATCCACTAAATAGCGAACTCGTCGGCGTTCGTCTCTTTTCCTTCCATTTCCTTGGGTGTGTTGACCTTGTCGCCACGGCTGACAAGCGGCGGAAATTAGCAACCGCTTCTGTCGGCGTTAAATTTTCAGGTTTTTACTTCACCCATTTTGGAATTTTGTGTTTATGCCAGCGATTAACAAAGTGCGAAAAGTTCAGGGTGTTACGCCACCTTCGACATGAGTTGTGTCTAATGCAAATGGCAATTTTCGGTTATTTTGGTAAATAGGGGTGATTATGGCAAAGGAAATAAGTACATTGACTAAAACATTGGCTTCATATTAACCACAAAAAAGGAGAAAATTATATTGATTCTAAACTAAAATCTTTTAACATTCCATTTAAAAAATCTGCATAAAATCTTAAAGTATCATCAAAACCTCGATCTCCGATAATCTCTAAATGGAAAATTCTTTAAATTTTTAAGCGATAATTTTAAAATTCTTTGTTTCCCACTCAAAAACTGAATGATTTTCTTTCGATTGCATAATATCTTAATCAACCAGCAATTACTCATTCGCTGACATTCCCCCGATTTTCCTATAACCGCACGCATTCCCACAAACACAAAAACAGCGGGGAGAACGTGACCCAAGAACCCAGACTCAAAAATGATTAAAATAAAACCAAAACCAAAGCTCAGGCCGTGACAAAGAGCTGGCAACTGCTGTAGACAAAACCAAAAAGAGTGATCAGTAGCCAAAAAGAAACGAACAGATCCCAGGAAACACAAAAACAAATCGTGCTACAGGCCGTTCTTGATTTCACAATTAAAGGCTTAATTTATTTGCCCGGCAATTGATAGGCCAGCAAACATTTTGATATCTCATATTTTTTCTGCATTTCTGACAGCACATAAAAACACAGAAAAAAAAAATAAAAACAAAAGCAGCAAACGCTGCTGACTCATTCGAATTCGAATCGATATTCTCGTGGTGTTTTGCATGTCTCAAGTCGGTTTTTTACATCACTTTTTTCATGCTTGGCTGGGATTTGAAGGGCCTCGTCAAAGTTGTTAGTGTTTCTGGCCGTTGTTGCTGTTGTTTTAGTTGTTTTTGTTGTTGCTGTAGCGTGTCAACTTTAATTGCAGTGGAAAACGGAGACGAAGTCGTTTATGGGGCACACTTTTTATGCCAGCGCCATTTATGAGACTATCGCAAGGCTAAAGGGTCGATGTCTCCGCCAAAGTTGACTTGCTCCGAAAACAACCCGAAAAATCATGGTCTTTATTTCAAAACTGTTTAAGCACTGGTTCTGAGAAATGTTTGTCCCAAAAAGATATTAAAAATTTATATATTCTATTAAAAACGGATGTCTAACAAGAATTCTTTTTCTTAACCAATCTAATGTAAATCGTTTTCCCAAACCAAAAGATAATCATCACAAGTAAAAGGCGATTTTTCGAAAATTTAGAAAAATATTTTTAGAGTGTCATAACCAATTGATTTATATTTATCCCAAAAGTAATATGCTATTGCTCGGTAAAGAGTGCTTGGAACTCTGCTAAGGAGGGAATTACCTCCAGACTCTTGCTAAACTGGGACACCGGATCCCGTCTGCTGTGGAAGACGAGTTTCTGGGCACAGAGCTTGTACAGCCAACGGATGTCCAAGTAATTGGAGCCCTCCATCAAGTCGCAAATAATGTCGATCTCCACACGCAGAAACTCCTTGTCCCAGTCGGATATTTGGATTTCGAGATCTGTGGCAGGCACCGGATCAATTTTGGCCACCCAGGCGGGCTCCTCGGGGCCCTTGTGGAACTCGGCCCAGAGGAGGATCTTCAGCAGGACTTCGCTGCGAATGCCGTGCAGCGGGAGCACAAAGTTCTCGTCCTCTGAATCCTGGCCGACGCGCAACATTTCTTGAATCACCAAGGAGCACTCGAGTAGAGCCAAGTCCACTTTAATAATCCTGCCATCTTTCGTCTCCAGTCGCACCATTTTGGAATCGAAATCTGCGCTCGATTGGTTGTTTAAAATATGAAACCTGGCAAAGTCATGGCCTACTCTTCACTATCCATAAATTCCCTCAATTAAATGTCAGTACTTGTATAACAGAAAATTTTTATATATGTTACTTGCATTTTATACTAAAAACCAACTACACACATACGAGTTGTATTATAAAACTGCTTATTATGGAATATAACATAAATGTAGTTGTAATAGTTTGATAGCAAGTTGAAAATAGTCTATTATTTTTTTCTGTGCAGGAAATTAAAAGCGGAGCTGGAAATCGAAATGAAACTACCTTGGACTAGCTTTAATCATGAAATTTTCCTCAGTCAAAGCCAAACCATAACCTCCGCAACAGCGGAAAACAGTGACAATGAAAGAGAAAGAGAGGAAGACGGCTAACAATTAACCAACGGCAGCATAAATTGGTGGCAATAAAAGTGAATATATGTAAGTAAGAAGAGGGAGGAGACAGACTGAAATTCACTTGAAATAATTACAAGAACTTTTTACGTCTGACCTTGGCCATAATTTTGCTGGCCGAGCTTTTTCTTCAAAACAAAACAAAACAAAAGCCAGCGTAAGCTGTGCTGTATTTCAATGCGATATACCCATACAATCGCAGTCAGAAACCTGGGCCATAGCACAATGCCAATGTTTTATTTCTAACGTCGTACGACTCTCTTCGACTCTCCGCTCTGTTTTGTAATTTAATTAATATACAAAAAATGTTTTTGTATTTCTTGAAATGCTAATTACGCACAATGCGAATGACAATGAAACCGCTGACTGGCGGCCATTTGTTGTTGGGTTTTTTAACCGTTAACAGCTGACTTAAGTTAAGTGCCCAAAGGTTATTTATATCGCATTGAATTGATTGATGGGTTCTTGGGGTCGAAATGAACGTGCTCCAAGCTGTTGGCATTGGAACTTGGCAAGTACTTACATCTGGCAGGGCCTGGCATATTGTGCTGGCCAAGAGGAGCGCTGTGATAAGGACCAATGTTGAGGACATCTTTCTGTGCAGGTCGCCTAGGGTGCTAAGGTTATCCTTAAAAATGCTTAAACTGTAAATAAATAGAAGGGAAAGAGTTAGTTAATGAGGGGTGTATAACAAAATAAAAAGTAATTTTAATGTAATTTACTTAAACTATCTCTTAAAATCTTTAAATTAAAAAACACATTTTTAGGTGTCTTCAATAACCCCAATCGGATCATTCATTAAATAAATTATTTCACTTAATCAACAACAAATTCAGCCGGTCAAATAATTTTAGTTAGGCAATAATATAAGAAGACAAATTGAACAGTTAACGGAAATAATAAAAAAACAAAGCAATTTCAGATTTCAATTTATTAATTGTAAATGTCTGTTAAAAGTCATAAAGTCATTGTAGAAGTCTTTAACCTGAAAATTATATTTATCCATAAAACAGTTCAATTAGTTTATTTTTCTTCTAGTTAGAATGTCAGTAATCCTGACACTCCAATCCATCCTTGCCCAACCTCTGCACGCAGTTGCAGCATGCAAAATATTAATTTCCTAAATAACATTTTAACTACCTCACATAAACATTTTTTCCCTGCCCACAAACCTGACTTGGTCATGCTCAAACGGGCATTATGTTTGTAAAACAAGTACAATAAGCATCTGTTGTTGCAACTTTAACGCTTGTTGTTGCTTCAATTAATATTTACTTTTATTTTTGTAGAAAGAAAAACCTAGTTTTCTGGCCCGCTGGCCGAGTAATTAATTATTGCATAAGGCCAAGAAGCAGCCTCGGGTCTGCAAAACAATCTTGTCCGGCCCTGTTGATTGCCGTTGTTGCTTCTGCTGTTGTTGCAGTTGCACATCCGCCCGGCATCGAATGCGGCTAATTGTCAATAATGATGCAGCGATGCGTGGCAAGAGGCGAACAGCATCCAGCGCATCCAAGCCGGCAACAACATGGCCAAACCTTTTGACAAACCAACCAAGAAAACAAACAGAACTGACCAACGGCAACAACGGCAACAACAGCAACAACATCAACAACAACAGCGACAGCGGCTGCTGCAATTTAATGTTGCAACTTCTCAGCGGCATTTACGACAAATTGCATGACATTTTATATCCCCGAAGGTTTTGCACAATTTGCATGCAACATGCTGCAAGATCTGCCGTGGCCCAGTTAAAGTCGAAGAAAGTCTCGCCGGCGAATCAATCATCATCAATCCTAATGAAACGTTTGCCAAAGCAATTGCCAAAAATGGGTGTAGCTCAGCCCAAGGGCAATGCCCCACAACATTTACTCATGGTTTTGCCACAAGTTGTAAGTCCCAAGCTACAAATCTTCAGACCAAAGAAAGTGCAATTTTCTCAATATACAATCCAATAATGTAATTGCAGGTGGTGGGCAGAAATGCTAACAAAAAACATCCTAAAATATATTAATATAATTGTTATGCTCACAAACTAAACCAAAGACTTAGAACACAAACTTGATTTTGTAGTCATTAAAATAAAGTAGTAAAATTTAATTACAACTGACTGAACTAGTTTCTAAAATGTAAGCAGCCACTGCCAACTTGGCCAAAGGCCACAGGTGTAATAACCCTCGTAAACTCACAAAAAGCCACCAAAGCCATCATATTAGCCGAAAGTGCAATTTGGCAACATTCAAGGTAAGACTTTCACCCAAAAAAAAAACGAAAACGAATTGAGAGCATGGAAGAGTGGTTAACGAAACCCGACTAATGTGCATTGGCTGCAAGCCAAATTATCAGGAAATTCGAATGCATATACATAAATAAAACTGAAACCAAAACGTGACGGTGACCGCAAATAATCTTGTTTATATTCCGATTCATATTTTACAATACGCACCAAATCAAACGAGAAACAGTTATGAGGCAAGCGAAGGCAGGCCAAAAAGATGGCAACTCCATTCAGTCTATCATTTGCATAATTAAGGTCGATTAGGGTCGAATCATTTGCCATATGTGTGCGCATGCATAAATCTGAATCTGAGCCAGCTCAAGGTTACGGCTATGGCAAAACTGTTTTTTGATTTATATTCAAGCTTGCATAATTCCCGTTCATATTTTTTATATAATTACGGGCCAAAGAAATAAATATATGTAGATAAATGAAAAGATACGCATCATCAAATGTCAACCAATTTCAAACAGAAGCTGGCCGAAAAGTGTGGAAATGGAATTGTGCCAAAAACCGCCGAAACGAGGAGACAGCAAAGCAAGTTGCATTGTCAGCTTCCGCATAATTATGCCGCTCGGCCATATATTTTACTTTTTCCCCCTCGTTTTTTGTTGTGGGTTTTGCTTTTACCATAAAGTCAGCGTCTGTTTCGGTTTATGGGAATTTTTTGTGTGTTGCTGTTGGCCTGAGTTTTGCTTTTAACTTTTGCTTTCTTAATGAATTTGCTGACACAACCCTCTGTGCCCGAGAGTCTGTTGTAAGCTCGTTGTCTCGATCTGTTTTTGGAGGGCGTCAGCGTTTTCGTTTAAATTGACATTGACAGTTGGCCAGCACTCCACCGTTTGGGCCACCCATCTCCGGATTGACAGACAATCCAAACAGCTGGTTTTTTGGGGGAACCTGTGTCAGCACCTGCGACGGTAGCTCTTCATTTGGCTTGATAATGAACCCAATTCCCTCATTTATTGCTAGCCTGTCTGCCAAGTGACATTGGCTCAAAGAACGGGCGAATGAGTAACGCTGGCAACCCATTTCTCAGCTTGTCTGGAGCCAAAAACGAAAAAAAAACTGGATCACACATAAATCGGCCCACATGTGACATAACAAAGTTCAACTGTGAACGTTTTGCACAAGAGATAATAAATTTTTCTTAATATTTCACCGACAATTCCGCTGCAAGTTGCAGACAACGATCAAGTGGAGGTGGAGATTACGTAAAATGTCTGTGACCTGAACTTTTTGCATTTGCTCAACGTCTGTGTGTTTGTGTGTGCTTCGTGGAAAAGGGCGAGCGAATCTTTTTGGCCATTGTTTTATAATGATAAAACAATGAATGTGGTTTGGGAACTTGCACCTTGAGTTTTCGGCTGTTGAAAGCTCCACCGACAACGTTGAGCTGAAGAAACAGCTGTGCAAATGGAGTTAATGAGGAACAGAAAGAAATAAAGTAAGTCCAAACGTCAAATACAAATATTTGAGTGAGCCCAATTTGAATTCTAGGTTCGCTGACATAATCCATCTAAGATCATGGCTTCTAAACTGGTTTCAGGCCGCGGCTTAAATGCCTGGAAATATTTGACTTAAACATCTGTTCCTAAACATATTATTCATTTATGTATATTAGATGGTTAGCCAAGACCATCCGACAGAGTTCTGCATACAACAAAGGCATGGCCAGACCCATGGTGCGTATACGTAACGTGATGAAGAAGGGGTTTATAAAGACAGATACATCACCAAAACAAGTTTGAAGATTTTTTTTCTGGTCCCCCCACAAAAATATTAATTAAAATGCCATTATAAAATGCGCAAATATTGAAAAATTGCAAGACACTGAAGAGACAAGCGAACAAAAAACCAACCGCACTACGTATACGTAATATGCCAAACTAATTAAATTTAAAGATGAGCCAGCAATGACAGACGATGGCAAGCGAAAAGGCAGAGAAAGAAAATAAATAAAATATTTGCCCAAAGAATATGCAATATCATAAACAACAAAAACATAAAATTGTATTTCGGAATTGAATATTTACTCCTGTTTTTCGTTGTTTCTGGCTTTTGCTCTTGCAATTATTGCTGCTCTTGTTATAATTTTTCAGCTGCTGTTACAACATGCAATACCGTTAACAACAATAGCTACAACAACAACCACTTGCACTGATTGCGTGCTGCGTCAGCGTCGCAGTCGGCGTCGGCATCGCAGTCGACGTTGCGGTTAAAGTCGGAAAAGCCGTAAACCGCATGAAAATGAAAGTGAAATTGTAATTGAAATTGAAGAAGACGTTGGCTAAAATGTTTTTGTTTAATTTTGCTTCGATTTGTGCAATTGATTCTATGGGTTTTTAACTTGACTTGCCTTTTATTTTTTCTTCGATTATTGCCTTTTGTAATGCAACCGTAAACTTTTTAAGTTTTAATGGTTAGCCTAATGGATTTTTCCTGTTAATTTAAAATGCCTTAAACGTTTCAATGATAGATTTAATTTTAAATAAAGCACCCCAATTAGTTCGGTAATAAAATCAGTACCAAATAATTCCAAGTATAAAAAAGTACCATTGGGTTTAAGATTGCTATAAAAAGTTAAAACAATAGGAAAGGTTTTAAATATTTGAGTCTTTTTTTAACACAAAACAAATTAATTAGAGAAAGTAAATGAATAGCCAAACTATTAATAGCTAATCGTCTTTTGTGCAAATTCAAATAATTAATTATGATTATTTGGGTAAGTCCCAAAGCTAAAAATCTTTAAGTTAACACATGATTTTTTACCACTTTTTAATAAATGAAAAAAAATCAAAGCCAAAGAAAAGAAATGTAAAACATTTATAGAAATGACAGTTTAAAGCCAAATATATTTTAAGTAAATAAAAAAATAACCTGAGTACATTGACTACCCTGACAAACTATTCCATGAATGTTAAACAAACTGAAATAGCAACAACAACTAAGTAAATTGAGTGGCTAGGCAACTGAAACAACACAACACAAATAAAAAATATAAACAAACAGGTTACTCGAGTTTCGTCTTCGTCGGTGTCAATGAAAAAGCTGAAAAGATCCCAAGAAACAACACTCGATATAAAAGATGAATTGAAAGCGAACTGAACTCCAAATCTGATGAATGATCGCTATCGAATGGCAAAAACAAATGGGAGGTTTTGAGGAAATCCAGACAAAGACCCAGAAGGGCTGTTGTTACGTGGGGTTCCAAAGAATATCAATAGCATAGAAAGTGGCATATCGATGGATATAATCGAACAAAGGCCGATCTGAAAGCTCAAAGCTCTCGCTTTTTCTCTCGCCCTCTCACACTCTTTGTTGAAATCAAAAACTGCAATAATTGCAGCAAAAATAACTAAAATACAGTGCGGAGAGCAAAGCGTGGCGGGCAATAATAACTGTAGCAATATTACAAAATCGCATTGGTCCGAGGCTCGCAAAAGCAAACTGAAAACTGAAAACTGAAAACACACCAAAAGCCAAGCTCACACAACAACAATGAGATAATAAGCCCACAAAACGGCAACAACAACAGCAACAACAAGTCGGCACGAAAAGTTGTTTCAGCGAAACAAAAATATAAAACAAAACCAGCTCAACTGATCTTAAAACTGGGAAACAAGCCCATTTTGTGGGCTGAACTAAAAGCAAGACAAAAGTCTTGAACACAATCGTATACATGTATATATCCCCCTCCCGAGATTTAAGATCCTGCTCTAGAAATCTTGTTTCCAGCTCTGAATTGTTATAGGGACAACTGTCCCTTACATTTCGAATGTTAATACACTTATTTCTGCTTTTTTACTTAGCACTCTCAATCCTAGATAAATCGCCTATATCTCTTTCATTTCCTTTTACTTAATTCACCAATTAACAAGTTCAAAACCAAACTCATATATGAAGTAAAAATTATGACCCAAAACTTGTCTGCAAATTAGTAAAAGCCAACACAACATGTTTTTGTTATATGAGGTAATAATCAAAAACCGAAGATCAAAGAAAATACGACTTGGTGTAGCTCTGCTGGACTGACATGTGCTGACTATTTTAATGATGGAAAAAAATTGAAAAACTACTGCTTCTACTAAAATAAATGAGTTCCTAGAATCTAGTGTTAAATATTTCGAACACGATTTAAGAATTAAAGAGATTGTGAAACAGAAATAAGTCGAATTCTAGTAAATTAAATTAATTGTTGGAAACCTGTGATAATTGAGAAAAAAAAAATGTTTAATGGTCAAAATTTAATTTTAATGTTATGACCCTTAAATTAAAATTTATCAAAAAATTTATATCATCAGTTATATGATATGGTATTTTGCATACCCCAAAACTTGACGCCATTACATTTAATAAACCGAACAAAGTGTAGAAACCCAGATTGGATAAATTATTTTCAGGTAAAAGAACTTTACAAATTTTTTTATAACGCAATAAACCAATTATCGAATTATTGTTATAATAGCACTTAAAACTGTTTCAAGTTTAATATTTTAACTTAATATCTATAAACTCACCTAAGTTGGTTTCTGTTTGCTTCACCAAACGGATTTTTATGGAATTTTCAAGTTTTCTACAGCACTTTCATAAGCGGGCACAGAGCACTATCATTATCGATGCAAAGGGCTTTGAATACTTCAATAATATCTTAAATGCAGTTTAAGGATGGGTGATTTCAACGATATCTGGTCCGAGTGCTGTTCTGAAACGCGCGGCGATCTCCAGAACACACAGCCCGGGAATCGAGATCCAAAGATGGGTTTGATCGTGGTCGGATTAGATCGGTGGCCGTTACTGGGACTAAAGCCGGGGCTATATATCCAGAATCGGGGCACAGAACACTCGCGATCGCGAACGGAACGGAAAGAAAGACGAGCAGCGATTAAGCTGGAGGCGGTCAGTGAGCAAAGATTAAATACGGCGTGAAATTTGCTTGGCAGTGAATTTTTTTCTTCTCATTCGCTTATAAATATTTTTTTTCTTTATTTTCGCTTTTATTTTTTGTAAACGAAATTTATTTTTTCACTCAATTTCGTTTCATTGCGAGCGCATTGCTTTTATTATTACTTACTTCCCCGCCTTCTGGGGGGGAAGAACACAAAAAAACATAAACAATGAAGAGCGCGGCGACAGCGACGTCGACGTCGACTGCAGCGGTATGAATTATACTGGGTGTGCGAGTGGGATGCCAAACGACGGCAGATTCACTTTTTTTAATAACTCTCTTTACTTTTTTGCTTTTTGCACGATGCGATTACGAAAACGGGGTAAAACGGGGCGAGAGATTGCAAATTGAGCTTTGTTTTGTTGGGGAATTGCACTTTTGAGCTGCGCTGACGTCACGATCTTGTCACTGCCCGTTGGATAGAATATATACTATCTGGCAGCTAAGACAGTAACTTAGGGGGATTTTTCGAAAATTGATTTTGAGCGATCTGCATAACCGTTTCTCGAAATGGAAATCCAAAGGTTGGTGGCTATGTCTTTGACGGTTTTTTGTGGCCGTCTACGGAAACAGGTCGGCGCACACTAAAGTTAACGCTCGCTTGGCCCGCTCGACGGAGTCCAAAATTGATCCAAAGCTGGCGGTGCGAGCGGGACGGCACCATCGGCGGACCGAGAGCGGAGCTTTGGGCCAAACTGCTAGACGATCTGATCTGCTGGCTATAAGCCATAAGCCAAAAGCCTTGAAAGCTCTCCAACGAAAGCGAAAACATAAAACACTTGCATTTTTCGTTCCATAGTTCGAGCTTCGCTTTTGAGCCAGCTTTTGAGTGAGTTTTTTTTGGGCCCTCCATATGATTTCCATCTGCCACTGCGTTGAATGACTCTTTGAGTGAAGTCCGCCTGATTAATGTTGTAAAGACTCGCCTTAATTAATCTTTGGCCGGGAATCTTCGCATTGAAAAAGTTACGAATACTCCGAAACATTTGGCATTGTTTAATTGGCGAATCGAATGTTAAATTAATTAAGAAGATGTCATTTGGGCATTGACATCGCTGACACTTAGAACAGGAAACTGAGGATAGAACAACTCAGTTCAAAACAATCGTGATCCATGTCTAACGGTTGATATAAAGTAGTGATAGATCGATCTAAAAAGCTCATTAACTTCAAAGTCCATTTTTTAACATTTTAATAATAAATCCATTAGCCAAACAAACTATTTATGTTGTTAGGCAAAATTTTAATTTAATATTTGCCTTCTAATCTCCCAAAAGAATGTTTTTCTTTATTTTATAACTTGTAAAATTGTTTTTTCTTAATGTGATTATGGCCTAACACCATTTCGTGACCAAGCTTTGAAGGCTTAATCTTAAAATTCTATAACAAAATCTCCTAATGATTAACCCAATTCAACAATCTAATCCAAAATTCCATTCAAGTCACTTCCCCCATTTACAATCAAGACAAAGCAAACAAAACCCATTTTTCAAAAGTGTTAGAAAAAATCGTTTCATTCACACCAAGTTCAATGGCAGTGCGGCTGCGAAATTGTTTATGTTCGCATTGATAAAAACTCATTTAACTCCCACGTGAATATATGCATAAGACGTATAAAATATTAAGATCAAATCGTTCCATTCAAAGTGGCCCAATTAAAAAGGTAATTGTCACACATTGAGAGATCGATGTGAAGATCTCAATGGGCCGGGTTCCCAATAAAATCGGGGCACAGTGAACCGCCTACGTAAGTCCAGCAGCTGTGGCAACAGGATAATCAAATGCTTTTTGGGTGAAACGGCAATGAACCGATCTTTGGGGATGACTCAACGGAGGCGCACGAGATGTGGGATTCGAGATCTCGAGACCCATCCTCCCACTTCACTTCAAATCGACCTCATTTGAATGCTGCTGGCAAACAACCCATGCAGATCCCATATCTGAGTGCATCGCAGAGTGTAGCATTTCAGGCGACATTTAACTCGAAGTTGTAGATATTCATCTATTAATGAGCTGTGAATTCCACCCCCCCATTGGCACCCCTCCTCCTCCCAATCGCCAATCTTTAAGCGCTGCCAAACAGGTTTCGTTTTGGCAATTGAACTCATTACTTTTATGCGGATTTCGTGTTAATTACTTTGCATTTGTTTACATTACCTTAAAATTGTGCTGTTTATTGGCCAAGTCTTGACTTTCTCACAGTGCATCGCATTCGAGCTGACTTCTCGTGCATTAAATATAATTTGACACATTTTCTTTTGACTTCTTGACAATTGTTCTCGCTGTTTGTCAGATGCAAAATTGTTGAACCCCAAACGAGTTTTTTTTCCTGGGAAGAGGTGAAATGAGTCGTCGTGTGGCATACGAATTTTTCATTCTAATTAATTGATTCCCAGGCTTTTTGACAAAAGACGAAATTTTCGGTTTAATGTTTTTGCATTGTTACTTGGCTAAAATTAGTCTCACAGCCTAAAAAGTTATTGGCTGAGTCCAAAAACTGTATTAAAGAATATTCCACTCTTAAAACCTATTTTTTATTTATGATTGTGTCAATCAATACAGATTCCAATCACACAAAAATATATATATTTTTTATTTATTAGTCTAGTCAATAAAAAAACACAACACAAATAAAAGGCTTAAGGTCATTGGGGAAAATGTAATTCCCCAGGTGGTTGATTAATCAAATTGTAAGTTTTTCACATACCATCTGCACAGATATATAAATCCATGTCAAATCAAAGGGTCAATGTCAATCTGCCCGCATCGATAACCCAAAAATTCAAAGCCAAAAGAGGTGGAGAAAGATAGAGCGTTGGGCAACCGCAGCTGAGGTACGAATCACCGATAAAAAGGTTAACAGATCATCGCATCCAGCTTGTAATCCCCGAAACTCTACAACTCACACATGTGAACAGAGTTAACGAGGCGTCAGCGTACACAAATGATACATAAAACATATAAAGAGAAACATAAAAATCCAAGCAAAACCCATTTAAAAATACATCCCAGATGGAATCAATATTTATGTGTCTCCTCCCCCGAAAATTTCTACAAAAATAAACAAAGAAAAGCCATAACACATTTGCATAATTTTCAACATTTCACGCTACTTTGGCTCTGCTTTTGGGACTTCGTTTGGAAATCTTAAAATCCGCCAGCGAAATATTTACGAAATTGTCAAACAAAACGTTTGGTTTATTGAAATGATGTAATAAGCCCAACAACTAAACAAACTAATCTGGTTTAAGTTAGCTCAGGGAAAAATCTAAAGAAATATCGAACAGGTGAAGCGGATAAACGGAGTCCCGACTTAAACTGTAGAAATGTTCATAAATTTAAGGGGCAGACAGGTCGAACAAGTTGAACAAAATTGCATCGAATCGATTATATTATTATTTCCATTATGTCAGGTCGAAGCAACTGCCAGCGACTACCGAATGCCCAATGGACTAACGTTTTGGCCAAAAAGGCGCCGCCATTAATACAATCTGGCCCATAAACTGGGTCTCTTTCTCCCCCCGCCGCCTCACTCTCTTCTGGTTTATTTTGGTTTGTTAGTCGGCCAAACAAATCTATAAATATGCATAAAGCTGGCTTAAAGACAGGCGCACACACGCGGATACCCATGGTTTTTGGCTCCTGGTCTTGCGAAAGCCACAGGCAAAGCCCCAAGGCACTTAGCCCGGTTCAGGCCACCGCCATTCCGCGTCGCCACTGATGGCCAAGTGCTGGCCGCAGATTTTTTGATTGCTCTTTGAGCTGACTCTAGGAAGTGACAAGGAATTATTTGATTGTCTTTCGCTTTTTCGGAATGTGAGCACAATCATTATAAACCATTTTCAGTGGGAAATCAATGCTGCACACCATCGCATTATATATTTTATAGCGAAAAACTAAAGCACCAATTAAATGGCAGATAGTCACATCATTCAATAAAATCTTTATAGGAAAATCTTAGAAGTCTCACAATCCCCGAATATCATGTCGTTTCAGATTATTCATATCAAATACTCAAACTTAGCAAACATACTTTTAACGAATACAAATATAACTTTTTTTTGTAAATTTATCTTTTTTATTCTGTACCATTTTAACAAGAACTGCTGTAAAATTGGGACACACAGACATACAAAACTCCACCGTGGCTCAAGAGTATGCTGCGTCTAATATATATATACTATGGAACTCTGTGTCCCGGCTGGACAACTTTGCGAGCCCTTAGTCATGGCCAGAGGCACTTCATCGTTCTCTGGTTAAAATACTGGGTGATCTATGCCTTCCTCCAGGGATTTGCAGTCTTTACAGATTTCCTCATCGGTGGACTGCCATTTTACGCTGCTCTTAAGCTGATCCTGTCCATATGCCTATGGTTCAGTGCCCCGTACAGCACCAATCACTTATTTAATTTGATCGGGAAGTACGTTTTGGGAAAGCTCGAGCCAACTATAGATCGAGGTGGTCGCTGGCATGATGCTTTAGGTAGGAAGCTCCTTCACAGCCTTATACAATTACCACTGGCAACAACGGTTGTCCCAAACAATAAGGACGAAGAGAGGAAAGGACCCCGGCTCAACGGCCATCTCTTGAAGCGAGAACTGGCGGATCTCATGGCCGAGATTGAAAAGGATAAGGCCGACAAACGAAGAAAGCACGAAGGGTGCAAGAATCTCCGTACCCCTCTAATGGAATCTGGAGAACGACGATTGCAAACTTCTTCCCTAGACAGGTTGGATCGCGATTCTATGCACAACATCATCGACTATCTGACCCAGAGATTGGAGAATCAACAGCCGGGAGATAATAGGCCAAAACCCTGGCGATGCAGCAACAGAATCAACTCAGGTCATCCCAAGTAGATTCTTGAACTGTAGTATTACTTGTTTTCTTGCCCTTGCAAATGTCACCGACTAAATGCGGAATCTGATCTGATCGGATTATAAGGAATCTTGTGTTGATTCATTTTCGGGGAGTTTACAGAAGCAGCTGTCAGTCTGGCGCGATTTTCCATTAATCTTCAATTAGAAAAGTTCAATGCCAGAGGACGGGGCATGATAATTGATTCATGGATCGGCGCCAGGAATCGATGATCCGGCGATCAGTAGCAATTTGTTGGCCAATGGCCTACAATGTAATTACAAATTGGCGAACAAAATTGTGTCCGATAAATTGTTGAAAGCAAAGCAGAACACTTATACCGATTTGTGGGGATGCAGCTGATTAATTGCAAACGACGGACGGCAGGCATAAACAAAAGACTGAAGCAACGAACTTGCTGCGGCGGTAAAAACGCGTGTTGCGACTTTTTGGGGAATGCTGCTGGCAACAATCTTAATGCAATTAGCACACTATTAATCTTGATCAAAATACAAAATTCAACAAATTCGCAATAACAACCGCAATGTAAATGACGCATTCGTCACCCATTGTAAAGCAATTTGTTTCAATTTTGTTTATCGATGATCTTTCGGGTATCCGATTCAGTTCATCGGGGTTTTCAACAACATCTCGATGGGGGTTAAAGCAATTTCTAGAACCAATAAAGGAGTATTTCATTTAATAAACATTTATTACTTTATTAATTTCCTGTATTTAATTTGATTATAATGATCAATAAATAACAATAAGCGTTTAAATTGTTTAACAGGAAGAAAATTTGTTTAGCACATTAAATATAATTAATAAGTGCCAAAATTGCAAGGTTTTATATTAATACAACATTACTATGTTCAATAGGTAAAAATTCTAATAAAATGTCTAAGACTTGTAATTAAGTGTTCATTAATGCTGAACTTTATTGATTTATTTATATGTAAGAGCATTAAAACAAATTTACCTGTACTTAAGTTTAACTAAAGTTTAAAAAAGTTTCGAGGAAATACTTAACATAAAAACTTCGAAAATAAAAATCCAAAAATGGTTTCATTACAAAATATTTATATTTATTTTTGCATAGTGACTATTCCAGTACAATGTTTAATCATTTACATTGAAAGATAATTTCATCAGCTGCCTGCACCCACATCGAGGTGTCATTAGCTTCTTACCCAAGTTCCTTAGCCTTTGGCCGGACTTTTCTCACTTTTCAGATTAAATGCTTGGGGTAAGCTCCATTTAAATTTGGGTTAATCAGCGATAAAGCGCGCATTGCCATTGACAGCATCGAAGCAAAAAACAAGAAGAACAATACAACGCGCAAAACAGAGTGCGAAATAAATATTTACATTTACATATTTTGTAAAAAAAAATAACAATAATAATAAAAATGTGCAATTAATAAATCGGCTTTGTCTCGCATCGCTAATTGTTTGTCATTAATTTGCATAACAAAATTAATTGGCGGCATTTATGCAAATCCCAAAATCCCACAAAAAATTACTTCCTAGGCGATGTGCCAAAAGATGACACCCCAGTGGAGCTCAGAGCCAAAGCCACTTGAATTGAAGTTCAAGTTTTTGCAATTGACCCACAAATTAATTATGCATGCATGTTGGTAATTGTGATTTTTGCCTTTTACAATCGAACACGTAATGTTCCCCACCGCTCTCCCTGTTCCTCCATTATTTTCTGCGTTATTTCCGTCAACATTTCATTTATTAGACACAATTACAATTGATTTGGAGTTTCGGTTTCAATTGCTGAAATGTCTGTGAATTGTATGGGAACCTTTTCTTGATGGCTTTTTGAATGCCTACCCGAAATGTCATGAGCGTTCAGCTGTGGGCAGGGTCATAACGTCGAGTTGAGTCTTTTTAGGTCTGTGTGTGAAAGAAATTTCTGACGAAAATCGATCTGAATCAGAATGCCAATGATCCTAACCTTGGAACAGAAAAAAAGTCCCGCATAAGATTTGTTTTTCAGTAAACTCAATTTCCACGTGTCACAACCATCTATACATTAAACTCATATAAAATGTACTCATTTATAATTTTAATTAAAGTCCGTTTATTATGATTACAAAGGGATAATCAAATCGAAAAGCTCTTTTACGGCCAGATAACAAATTTATTGCAAATTTATTAATTGGTTTATTGCACCGCGACTGATGTTTATTACAAATATTCAAATCATGTGTTTTATCTTATTTTCCATATTCTGGTAGTGTGAAATACACCTTCACCTGGGCTCGTTCCTGTCGATCGAAACTGAAGGTGGTGAACAGACCATAGTCCCCAGATGGAAGGGGCATTATGTCCAAGACCTTCACCGGGAATCGAAAGTGCTCCAATATAATTTCAGGCTAAAAAAATATTAAAACAAAAAATTTACGCATAGACCACAAGGCTTAAGTAAAACTTACCGGAATTGGGCACTTGTTCACATTGGTTCTATTGCCGAAACTGTTGAGAATGATATTGACAAAGGGATGATTCCGTTTCTCCAAATACTCGCACACATCCGATTGGCGGATATTATACAGAAAAGGTTTGTAACCACTGGCTTTTTTTAATAATTCCATTCGCATCTGCAAAAGAATTATTTTATATTTAATTTCTTTTTAAACAGTATAATATGAATTTTAAAGTTAAGCAAGCATTGCTTTTTACTTATAATCTAGCACTGGATCCTTTTAATCAGTTTACAAGGAAAAGTTTTGCTTTAGCACATGCCTAAAATTCAGAATTGTCATACACATAACATATTTCCTGGCAGACATTAGTCTAACAAATTGTTTTAGATCGATACCTTGGCCAGGAGGATTATCATAGAGCTGAATGCAGATCGACATGTATCTATTCAGCTGTCTCTCGCGTTTCTTGTTCTTCGTGTATGGCACTTTGGGACCAGCATGGCACACCTATAAGACGCTCAACAGCGGCGATGAGGAGTTTCTGGCCTGGGCAAAGTACTGGATAGTCTACGCATTCCTGGTCACCGCCGAGGTGCTGGCCGACACCTTTCTGTCGTGGCTGCCGCTCTACATGCCCACCAAATTCCTCCTGGTCCTGTGGATCGTCCTGACCGCACCGGGGGCCAATGTCTGGATCTTCGATGCCATCCTTCGTCCGGTGCTGGCCAAGCGCCAGGAGCAGATCGATCACTTCCTGCACCGGGGCAAGGACAAGCTCCTGAGCGACGTCTTCGTCTCGATGTCGCAGTTGTTAGTTCGCAGTCGGACCGTTGTGCTGCCTTTTATGTCCCAGCTTTGGTCAAAATCAAGGCCTTCACTCCTGGGCGCTGAGAATTTCAATGACTTGGTGGACGCTTCTGGAGTTAGGGCATCGGAGGATGCAGACTCGGCTTCCACTTCGGTCCGCACATCAGCCCAAAATCTGTCCAGTTACTCCAGTCCCGTTGGCAGCTTAATGATCGTCAACGATGATTTCGAAGAGACTCAGGTGGGCGTTTCAAGGGCCACCACCGATCTGCACTCTGAACAATCCCTAAGCGACGTGGCCAAGAACAACATAGTGTCACTGGAGTCATCCGGTATCCTTAATCGCCGTGTCCAGCGCAAGTCCAGGATTTCCAAGACGTCTACCGATGAGCCTACCACCGCCTTTTCCTCGAAAACAAACCTGACCGGTCAGAAGGACGAGCTCTATGACGATGTTGGGGATCTGCTGGCCAAGTCGGTAATCGAGGCTACATGCCAGGAAACCCGTCAACATCTTCAACCCGTCAATCGTCGACGGTTGACTCTCCCTAATTCAACAAAATAGTACATCTTATTGATCGAAAAGCCCCAAATGAGGGTTTAATTACTGAGTTATTGCGAAATATAAATGAATAGATTTTTGGTTCTAAGGTATGAAAGCTCAACTTTGCATTTAACTTGAAGGGGGAACTCACTTGATTTGTGGATCACACACTTAAAATTATATTCCGTAGCAAAAGACCAACTTACTGACATTGGTCCTTTTGGCCAGTGTAATATATGGGCTCTTAAACTCATTTCCACCACGTCCCTCTTGACGGCATACAATCGGCACAGGGAAACGGTGGCAAAGTTTTCATCCATACTCAAGCACTCAATGTTTGTGAACTTGGCAACTCCTTGGACCTGATGTGAGCTAAAGATCGATATATAATCCCAATCATATCGACAGGGAACTTGCCTGGGAAATGTACCACAGCCCACTCAAAAATAAAAGCTTTCTTAGAGTGGCCATAACTGCCGGTTCTGAAAAACGATTTATGACTGACGAATGGCGTCATTTTGGGGATAGCGAAACAAGTCAACCGAAAATTTAACAGATAAATATCAACCATTATGAGCAATTATTAATTCTTTTTAATTACATGAAGTTTCGATTTGTTGCTGAGTTTTTATTTTAAATAACTCTTATTGGTCTGTATTTAACAGGCGGCACTTAACTAAAACTAGGAGAATGTAAACTAGATTTGGGGTATTGGTGTGTGGGACGTATTTATGGAATTACGTTGTATAGTGTTTATCGGCCTAATCACTGGCCTCAACTTCCTCATCCTCCTCATCTTCATCGCTAGCATTGCTGGCCTCTTCGCTTCCCTCCGCTTCGCTTTCGCTCTTGGACTTATTATTTTTGGCTTCACCATCGGATGTTGGTTTACTTTTCTTATTGGTGGGCTCATTATCCTTGGACTTGTCCTTCTCGTCGTCGGAGCTGGTGGAATCGTCATCGGAAATGTACTCCTTGCTCTTAAAGCCGCTTCCTGAGGTATTGGCCTTTTTGGATGGCGAAGGCTCCGATTTGCGTTTCTTGGTCGCCTTTTCAGCTTTCTCGTTGTCGCTTTCACCGCCGGCTTCAGGCTTGTAGTCGCGCATCTCGTCGTGGTAACGCTGCTTGTCCTTGGCCGCTGCCTCCTCCCACTTGGACTTGTCCTTCAGCTCCCTCCACATCTCGCCGCCCTTTTTGGCAATCTCGGTAACCTTAATGCCCGGATTATCCTTCTTAATGCTCTCGCGCGTGTCGTTCAACCAGAGCATGAAAGCAGTAGTGGCGCGCTTCGGTTTGCCGGTGTCCTTCTTCTTGGTAGCTTTTTTCTAGTAAAATAATAATAAAAGAACGTTAGAATATGCTACAATTATTTACGAATTTTTCTTACTGTTCGCTCCTTCTCCCTGTGCTTTTTCTCCTTTTTCTCCTTCTTCTCTGCCTTCTTCTCCTTCTTCTTTTTGGCGCCATCGCTGTCACCATCTCCGCCACCTCCGCCTCCACTAGCATCGCTGTCATCGTCCGAATCACTCTCCACGTTGCTGTCATACTCCTCGGCCACATCGGACTCGTTCTCGTTGGGCTTGAAGTCTTCATCAGTGGACTCCTCATCCGAATCGTCGCCGTCGTCGTCGTCCTCCTCTTTTTCTCTGGCCTCCGCTTTGAGGCGAGCCAAGTAGGCATCCGGTTCGTTCTCGTTGTCCGAGTCGCCAAAGTCAACATCCTTGTAGCCGCTCTTGTCCTTGCCCATGTTGCTCACATGCAACTTCTTCTGTGTGATGAAGTCGAAGAGCTTGGCGTACTCCTCCTTCTCAATGGAGGAGAAAATGTGGACGGTTCCGTTCTTGAGCGTCACCTCAAAGTCGAAAGAGCGTGTAGAGCCTCCGCTGCGGGCAAAGTTCACCGAACTAATCTCCTCGAAGCGGATATGTAATGGGGGCTTGTGGATATAGATGAATCCCCGCTCCAGGGGGTACAGATATCCAGCGGCGGCCTTGAAAGAGCAGCCCACGGCCGCGGTTCCAGAGTGCCCTATGAAATTACCGGGTCCGGTAATCTTCCGACCGATAAGCACCTTCATCACCTTGCCCATTACCTCGTACACGGGTCCGGAGATCTCCTTCTCCAATTTTCCCTCGTACTTGTCGCGCAACTCGGCCTCTGAGAAAGGCAGCTCAATGGTGGTCTCCTCATCGGGAGCGAAAAGCAGAACCAGATAGTGGTATCGCGTCTGGCCCTGCTTGATTGGCGGATCCAAGGAGAGCACGAAGAACATCTGCCGACTGTCCTTGTGCGGCAGCATGAAAAGCCGCAGCACAGAGTCCATGGGAATCTTGTAGTCGAACGTCTTGCCGTGCAGCTGGAAAAATGTGGAGAAGATCTTGATGTCGTAGCGACCGCGAGGCGTAAGGATCTGGATCTCCCTGAATATGGCAATGGACTCGCCCGAAGCCGAGATGACCGAGGCCTTGCTCATCACATTCTGGTGAAACTTGTCCACCGGATCCTCCTCGGCCGACTCCACGGCGGGAATGTGAAAGCGCATCTCGAGTAGACCCACGGGGGCATCATCGTTCTGGTGAAATTCCAAGGTAACCTCGTTCTTTCCGGTTACGCACTGCGAAACGTGCGACAGGGGCACCTCGAAAATGGTCTTCGACTCCTTGTCGAAGCTTAGGACGGAGCCCATGAAGCGGGCGGTGCCCCAGTTCCAGCCCTTGACGCACATTTCCTTCTCGACCATGTCCTGCGAGTAGGCCTCCTTGATGAACTTGCCAAGTTTCTCGTTCTCGCTGTCACGGAATCCTGAGAAGCGGTGGAGTAGCCCGCTCTTGGTGAACACCCGCAGTCCCCAGGTGCCCACAAACTTCTGCGAGTTGATGAGGTCTATGTCCTCCGCCGAGATCTGCTCCACCTTGCCGGTCTTTGTGTTCTTAAAGATGATGTTCTGGTCGGTCAGCTTTAGGCGTCCAGAAGACTTTTACGTGGGAAAAGAGAGAAGGAGGAACCTCAGTCAGGCAAAATGTGCAAAAATCGCCGGCGAACTTCGCGACTCACCAAGACACCGCGCATTTCGGCGTTTATGTCGTTGTACTCAAGCGAGTCCGTCATTGTGCGGTTGTACTGCTCAAATAACTAAACAAATTAACAATATATTACACCTTCTTGCGAAATTGTCTACAACTTGCAATAAATTCGGGTGACAAAAAAACAACACTGCGCGCCTAATTTTAGGTTAGACGCCGCTGCGAACCAAGCCAAAACAGAGTGACCGTAGCTGGACTCAAGCAGTATATTTGGTATATTTGCCTTGTTACATTTAAAAATTAATTTTAATGAATTTTATATAGTGTACTATTTGAATTTATTCCTCCTTTTATTATTTCACTGTTTTGGAATGTATGCAATGTAAATATGCATGTGAAACTTTGATGATCAAAAATAATTTCAGTTTAGCTTATCCTCTAAAATTTACCGAATAAAAGATTTATATGACATAAACGGTCCCACAAACCTTGGTTTTCAAATTTAATTTGTATCCCGCCAAGTAAAAGAGCTTATCAGGCACAAGAATCCGCACAATATTTAGTATTCGAAAACCAGAATCACCGGATCTTTATTTTATCGAAAATCTGTGGGAAATTTTGTATCAAGCGATTCGGAAGAGAAAGATTTCCTATAAAAATGACTTAAAAAGTGCCTTAAATGGAATGGAACCAAATAATCGTAGAAACAGACAAAAAACAAAGTCGTCAGTAAGCAGAAGGGAGGCGCAAGAAAATATTGAATTGAAGAAATTAAATTGTTATTACATTTTTAGTTTCTTGTTTTTATTGGAAATATTGGTTTGCTTTCATATTTAAGAGTGTGGTTTTTCGTTCCTTTAATAAATTTGTGTCTCTAAAATACTGCGTTTAAATTTTTGAAATATCGTTGCTGGTTAAGGGCGGTGTCGATTTGAAATTTCAGTTAGGTAAATCTCGCAATAAGCTGAGCCACAGATTCTTCTGGAATTGAAAATCCCAGGGTAACAACGAAGTCTATATCACAATTGTCATAAGCTTTAGACTCAAAGCAACAGATGGTGGTGGTGTCATTGAAGTGCTTGCCTATCTGTTCGAGGAGATCATGCACCGTGCAGTATACCCGTGGTAAAGAAAAGGTTATCAGACGCTGTTCACCGCTGTTTTGGACAACCAGCATTTTGGCAAAACTTGAATCACGTTCTGCTCGTTTATTTCTTAGATGTTCCGAGTGGATTTCATAGTTGTTGTGCGAAATTCTCTTCAATGATGATTTGAGCCTTGGATGAACTATAGCAACCGGCCTCCGAGATTGCATGTTTCCGCTTTTTTCTATTTTAACATAATAAAACTTTATTTTTAAGCGGGGTTCACATCAAGCTTATTACTCACATATTCTTGGAAACAAAAATAGAATATTCCATTATTTCGATGTAATGTTACCAGATGGTGGTAACTTTAATAAATTAGGATTTATGAATATACTTTTTCAATATAATATTCAAATATGAAAACGGTCACTCAATACTTTTGTTTACCAAATTAGCCGCATTTTTTCAGAAGAAATCTTAGAGAATTTAACTTATTAAAAGCCATAAGCCATGCAACGTGGTAAAATATCCTTTGGAAAAATCCAGTTAAATGTGAATAAACCGCCCGCAGAGACGAAATCAATTGAAACCACGACGAAAAATGAGAACGAATCCTCTGAACCCAGTGAGAGTGGTGGCGGATTCAAGAAAATTGGCAAGGAACAGATGATACGACAAATCGAGGATGTGGCCGAGGATCTGGAGAGCCAGCACCTGAAGGAAGTGATGGGCATCAGTGGATTCGGGCGCAAGGCGGCCAAAGTATTCGACATCAACGAACAGATAGAAAAAGCCAGAATTACCCGCCCAGGATTAGACAAAAAGAAGGAGGAAGCCAAGCGAGACGAGGAGGATAAAAAATCTGAGGACGAAGAAGACGTAATAGGACCTCTACCCCCATCTGTAGTGGAGGATGAGGACAAATCAACGAAGGGGGCTTCCAAAGACGAAGACTCCGATGATGATTCCTCCGATGAGGATTCCGACGACGAGCAGAGCCTTGCCAGGCGGATACCCTACACTCACGAGGTGCAAATGCAGCACGGATCGCGGGCTGTCCTGGCACTGGCAGGCGATCCTTCGGGAGCCCGTTTGGTCTCCGGTTCCATAGACTACGACATGTGCTTCTGGGATTTTGCTGGCATGGACTCCGGCATGCGTAGCTTTCGGCAGCTACAGCCCTGCGAGAACCATCCAATACGCTCCCTCCAATACTCCGTGACCGGCGACATGATCCTGGTCATCTCCGGAAATGCCCAGGCCAAGGTGCTCGACCGTGATGGTTTTGAGAAGCTGGAGTGCTGCAAGGGCGACCAGTACATCTCAGACATGTCGCGAACCAAGGGGCATGTGGCGCAGTTAACCTCGGGCTGCTGGCATCCTTTCAACAGGGAGCAGTTCCTAACCGCAGCGCTGGATGGCACCCTTCGCATCTGGCAAGGATTAAAAGCCAAGGAACAAGTGCAAGTGATCAAGACGAGGGCGCAGGGAGGACTGCGCACGAATGCGGCATCGTGCAATTTCAACAGAGACGCCACACTCATAGCAGCGGGATGCGTGGACGGATCCATTCAGACATGGGATACTCGCAAGATGTATGTGAATACTACGCACTGTGTCAGGGAGGCTCATCAGAAGGGCTCCGAAATCACCTCCATTGTGTTCTCCTACATGGGCCAGCAGTTGGCCACCCGAAGCAACGATGAGACCATGAAGCTGTGGGACCTGCGGCAGTTCAAGAAGCCGCTTCATACCTGGTCGAACTTATTTTCCCGCTACGACACGACGGACTGCTGCTTCAGTCCGGACGATAGGATGCTGGTCACCGGCGAATCGCTGCCCAAGGGTCAGACCGAAGCGAACTTGTACTTCTACAGCACCAGGAGCTACGAGGAAGTGCAGCGAATTCCTGTGTCCAACTCGCACGTGGTGAAGACACTGTGGCACCCGAAATTGAATCAACTATTCGTGAGCTGCGGCAATGGAACCATCAAATGCTATTATGACGAACAGCGAAGCATCCGGGGAGCCAAGTTATGCGTGGTGAAGACGCATCGCAAGAGGCAGCCAATGGAAATGGTGGGAGTTTCCCAGATCATTACTCCGCATGCTCTGCCCCTGTTCAGACAGGAAAAGTCGCGCACTTCGCGAAAGCGGATGGAAAAGGCGCGCATGGATCCGGTTAAGTCCAAGAGGCCGGACTTGCCCATCACGAGCGGACAGGGCGGTCGAGTGGCCAGCTCTGGAGGCACTCTCTCCTCCTACGTCATCCGCAATCTTGGCCTGAGCAAGCGTGTGGACGACGACCAGGATCCGAGGGAGGCCATCTTGAAGTATGCAAAGGATGCTGCCGAAAATCCCTACTGGATAGCCCCCGCCTACAAACAGACGCAGCCAAAGGCCATCTTCTCTGAGAAACTGCCCGCCGATGAACCGGCCACCAAGAAACCCAAGACAGAAACAGACAAATAGGTAGTCAGTCTATTTATAAGTGCTTAGAAATGTAAATAAACTCGTTACGGTTACAGAACGTAGCTTAACTTTAATCCTTATGTTAACAAATGAGTAGTGCTTGGCTAAACCATCACCTCTTGCAGGCGGTAGCAGTCGGAGGCAATTTTCCACTTGTCGTTCTCGGCAGTCACGATAAAAGTCTGCTGGAAGTTACGGATCGACTGGTGGGCAAACTTGACGGTGCCGCTGGCCAGGATGAGGTAGGTGAGCTGGTTGGCCACGGCCGGATCGAGAATGGGCTGTGCATCCAGAGTGTTCATCTGGTGGCTGGATGTGGGCAGCTCCAGGAAGTAGCGCTCGATCATCTCGCGACCTGTGGCCCCGTTTCCATTCCAGCTGAAGGTGGCATTATCCAGATACAAACGACCTATTTGCTGCAGGGGGGTAATTTTTTTTCATTTCGTTTTTTCTTGAAATTGCCGGTTCTCCCGGGGATTTTAACTCACATGTCGCCGGTTGTCCACGGAGGCATAGTAAAGACGCGTGAAGGTGTCCGCCGTGCGGGCGCAGCTCTCAATCTTGCCTTTCAATTCCTGCAGACGTTTTTGGTTATTTTATATAAATAAAAAATTAAAATTATTAACTCACGCTGTTCATTTTGTTGATTCCCGTAGCTCTTCAATTAGTGTGACCGTAGTATGTGCAACGAAACACACCATGTTTTCAGCAACAGCCGTTTGTGGTATTTAATTTTAGAATTCAAATCAAAAAATCCGTTATAAATCCTAATATGAATAACCTTAATTTTTTTCAACACCTTCATTATATTTCCGATAATGGCCTAAACCACTTAATAAAACGGTCTAAAAATAATGACCTCACGAGTCGGGATTGACAATAAAATATTTCTCGTTCATATATGTTCCCACAATACATACAAATATTTTATGTTAAGCAGATATTGACTAAGAATTGAGAAGATATAAAGATTATTTCAGGAAGATTATTTTTAAGTCCAGAAAATATAAAAACTCCACATTTAATTTTAAAAGCTTTTTATTTCTAACCATAATTTTAACTAGACACAATTTAAAGCATAGCGATCACAATTTAAATTAATAAACTTAACATTTGAAGATTTCCTATGGGAGTGACCAAACTGGGGGACACACTGGAAAATCGAGGGAGACTAAAGACTACGAGGCACTGTGGCTAGCACTACGAGTATGTCTAAACCTAGCTAAGCTAAGAACTGATTTAAAGCTAAACCCCCAGGATTATGCGTCTGTCCCCCGATTGGTCTTGAGTGGTTGCAGGGGCTGCAGATTCACCGTCTTGTAGCCTCGATCCCGTCGGAACCACAGCCAATTGTTCCCGTTGAAGTAGTCCTCGATGTGCTCTAAACTACGTCCCTTTGTTTCCGGCTGGAACATACCCATGAATACAGTCAGCAGCAGACTGGATACTCCAAACACCAGGAATACTCCACGCATTTTAAGCATGGCCTGCAAAGCGGGGAATATCTTTGCGAAGATAAAGAGCGCCACGTTCATAGACGCAAACACTCCACCCGCAGTTCTTCCCCGGATTCTGGCCGGGAATAACTCCCCGATCATGATGCCCGGCATAACCATTAGGGCTGTGTTGAAAATGATATAGCCCAAGAGGCAACCGCCGCCCACCAAAACGTCGTAGAACATTTTGGGCTGGCCATGTCTAGCATACTGAAAGGCACTTAAAGCCAGGCAGAACATGCCGGAACCGATTCCCGAGACGATCATTATGTTGCGACGGCGCACAAATATCAGGATCACACAAAAGCACATGCAGCACACTACCCGTACAGCTGCCGTACCAATCGCCGCTTTTTTGGGATTGAATTCCGCTCCGAATTCGGAAATCATATCGATGGCGTAGAAGATCACAATGAAAGTGCCGGAGAACATCTGCAGCAGGGAGAACACGATCACAATTACCAGGGGTTTGAGTGCCGCCCTTTGGCAGCACAGCTGGAAGATGTTTTCATTGGTCCTGGTGGTGACACGCTCCTTGGCCAATCTCTGCTTCATATCGTTCAGCTCCTTTTGGGCATTGATTTCACTGCCCCGCAGAAAGGTGAGTGCCTGCATGGCCCGCTTGTCAAAGCCATTACGGAGCAGCCAGGCGGGTGTCTCAGGGATGCAGAATATGGACACCATGGCCAGCAGAGGCAGGATGTTGGCGCACCACGCCACACTCCGCCAGTACATAGTGGACCCGAGGGAGTAGACCAGCAGGATTCCGCTCGAGTAGGCCACGTAAGGAGCACAGATTAACAGACTTCTCAAATTGGGCTCCGCCGTCTCCGCAATGTAGACCTTAAAAAATGTAGAAAATAATTTATTATTAACTCTGATATAACACAGTTTAACCTACATTAAACATAATAACTTAAAGTGACGATGTGTTGTTATCGGTAATGTAAGTTACATGAACGACCTTTTCTTTATTGTGATTAATCCAACAGGGAATCACTTTTTAATTAAAGTCACTCACGACCACTCAAGTTAAACTTATTCCAACAAACAATTTCATACAGTACAGGGTCACTAGAGCATAAACATCTTATTTATGTTGCAATCTAAGTACAAATACTATGATAAACAACATCAACCTGGTAATCCAAATTTGCTTTTCAGTCCATATATAGAAACTCAAGGATTATTTCATTTCTGGTCCTAGCCCTGAATAAGGTATATAAATATATGTCACCAAAACTGCTTGTTCATATATGTAACTTTTGGCTTAAAACCCTTGTTGATATTTAGATAACAAAACTAAGCTTCAAAAACCATTTGTGATGTTAAACGAAACTATCTTTTGATTTGACTTGGCCCTGAACTTAGCTAGAACTTTCGCCAGCAAAACAAATTGATCTATTTGAGGGTCACAAAAGCATCAACATCTTAATCTCTGGGAACTCTTGGATGGTAATCATAAAATCGTAAATCACGTCAGTCAGCGAACCATTAATGAAAACGAAACTCGCCGGGGGAACACGCGCAACAAGTCGACGCCCACCCATCCATTCATCCATCCACCCAGCCACCCACCCGTACAGCCCACCCACCCCGAAAAGCACCCATAAGCTGCAGCAACGTTATTATAGACTAAGGTCAAGAATCCGGAACTACTATGCGTATAATGCGGAGCGTGGGCTCGTGTGTGCGGAAAGCTTTTGCTAATGCAAATGATGCGCTGGCCATTTAAAGTCCGGGAGCGATGACGATGACGCCGTCGACTATCGTTATCACTTTGGCCGCAAGATAAGTCACGGACATATCCATAAGATACTCGTAAATAAACAGCCGGCGGACTGACGACGCATTATTAGCGTAGACATAATGGAACCGACCGGAGAAGCCGGGACAATGTAGAATGTAGCGTCAAGTGGCCAATTGACGACCTGTCCACCTGTCACGACTGCTCTTTTGCGTTCCCCACGGGAGTGCCATTTGCGGGGAGTTCAAGGCTCCGTCGATTACGGTTAATGGGTCACTCGGACAATTCCGACTTTTGTCACGTACGGGTTCCGGGTTTTCGTGTTCCGTATGTCCCATGTGAACGAACCCCTGGCCAATGGCATTGAGTCACTCACCTGTCCAGGTCCACCTAGAATTCCGGTAGCAAATCCGCAGAGGAACCGGGCGATGATCACAAATGTCAAGTCCTTGGCAATTGCCAGTGTGCTCCAGCCTATACAAAGGGGAATTACTGAGATTATCAGGGTCTTGCGGCGACCCAAATAATCCGCCAAAGGACCTGATAGCAGCGATCCAAAAGGGGTGGCCAAACTATGGACACTGGCTATAGAAATATTTAAAAGTCAATGGGGTCTTCAGCTCAATAAATGGATTAAACATACCTATCCAAGCGCCCGAATCCTTATCTATGGGAATCTCAGTGCTATTATCCGTCAATTGGGGCAGCAAAACGGCGGAAAATCCAATGGGCATGCCACAGGCAGCCGAAAGAATAAGAACTGCACAAGTGGCCAAAATCTAAAAGAAAAAAAAACGTTATTTGATAAGACAGTTTTGTAATTATAAATAATGTTCAAAATTGACCTTTAAAGATATTTTTAAAGATTTTTTTAACGACCTCTAAGAATTAATGTATCTAAATGAAATCTACCGATCATATCATCAATGTTTCGGCGACCGCCAATCAATTGCCATCAATTGAAGTTGCAATTGCATCACGGACAACTTTATTTTGATTTGCGCTGATAGTGATAAACGATCTGTGACCGCTACCCATTGACCACTATACATAGTGTATGGCAGTTAAATTTGTGACGCCAGCAAACTGGACACGAACACCCTGAAATTGAATGACATTTCCTGCCATTCGCTGACATTTCATTCGACTCAATTCCAGAGGCTCCGTCACATGTCCGCCACATGTAGCCCCCAACCGAAGCGTTTTCTAATCATTCCGCGAAGAAAGTTCAATTGCGTATCTTATCATTTTGTCCTTCACAGAATATTTAGTATCTGTCACGCATGTCTTGGCGAAACCCCGAGATGTCCGATGTTCGACAAAGCGGTTGACAAGATTGTAAACCAAAGTTTGATTTTATGCTTAAGTGCTAAGTGTTAATTCAATGGGAACGTCTTTATTGGTTCAAATCGTAACTCTTTTGTCTATCCCAAAATTAAGCCCATTTGTTTTATTGGAATTAGAATAAAAAAGATTTTCTCTCATTTATTTTATCATTATTTCTATTCATTTGTTTCCCCATTAACTTACCTGATTTATTATTCCCCTTCGATTGGCCACGTCGTCATCCTGCTCATCAATTGTTGAAAGTTTCCTGGAATTATGGTTCCCCAGTTTACATTGAAACTCCGCTCCTGGAACCACATGATAGGATGTTGTGTGGGGCACAAATTTAAGATATTCATCATCTCTATAATTGGGAGTTGACCAAAAGAAATCAGAACTTAGAAATAATAATTCACCAAAATTAAATGCTTTTAAACAAAACATTAAAGATGGATATGAAATTCAGAAAAAAATGCCACGGGTAAATAAGGTGTTCAATTATTATAGTTTGATTAGTGAATGAGTTGTAATAAAATAATGACTAACTGATTTCACACCCAGATAAGATTGCCAAACTATATATTAATGCCCCTTAAAGCCTTTTTTGTTTTATATAAACAAATATTGGGTAATAAAAATTATTCCGCTATTAGGTTTTATTGTCAAGGTACTCCGACACTTTTCCAGCTTAATGGGCTTAACGAGTTGCAATTATTGGCAATTCATGGGCACTTGGGAACCGTTCGGATCGGTAATACGGGGCAACCCTTTCACACGCCACTCAAATCAATCCAGTTGCATTCCCATTGTTACTTTTACCGTGTTTTGCTGCACTTTATCCGGTCAATTTATGGTTTTGACTCATTGCTAAAAAACATTGGCTGGCCGGAGGGTGATAAGCAAAACGCCGGAGAGCAGAAAATACGTCACTTTTGGGAACCAGCTGTGGTTTTCAGGTTTGTTTTGGCGCTGAGATAAGAAAAACATAAGAAAAAACGCTTAGCGATTTGAGCGTTTCGCTCTCTCGCTCTTTCGCTTTGAAGCTTTTGTTTTGCTTGTGTTTCAACAGCTTAAATGTTAATGTATTTGTTGTTTTATCGCTTTGCAAGGTTAATATGGAGTCACGTTTAATGAACCGAATAAAACTTTCTTACAAATATTGAAAAAATTTGAATATACATAAACAGTGTGCCAAATTAGTTTTGCAGCACAATGAAACAAAGTGGCATTTATAGGCCTACAATTATCTGCGACTTCCCCTTTGCATTGTCACTGATCCACAAAACTGCAAACCTTGGACATCTAAAACTCACTTTTAGCAATGGTAACACCATACATAAGTCGGTTAATCGTGATATGCATGTTAAAAAATTAAATAAAGTAAACCGATTTTGTCCAAAAAATTTAAAAACAAAAGAAAATCTCATTGTTTGACATAAACAATAACAATATCGCAATGTCAATATAGCAGTATCGCCGGTAGAAATCGTCTGCGATTGATTGAGGAAGTACAAAAGATAATGTCACTGGTTCAATGTACAAAAATGACTATCAAAATAAACGGGTTTGGCTTTCCTTAAAATTGAAATGCACTCTAATTCCAAGAATTATGAATTTAAATATAACAATTAGTTTTTAATGATCCTTAAATTCCTAGAGTAAGCTTTCCAATCACAATCAATCGGCGTGACTGAAGTCCAAGTCGACTTTATTTGCCCATCAATATGCTGATGTGTGAATTGAAAAAGTCGCCTGCACGACTGTATGGATTCTATAAACTGAAATGCTCACCCACTGTTGACACCACAAATTAGATAATTTATAGCACATCGGCACACACTCGAATAAAACAATCATCTGGGAGCATGTGGCTGCCAATCGAATGGCCATCCAACAAATGATTTCGCTTAATTGAGGCAATCGGCATGGAAAAGAGGGTAAAGTCAGCCAGCTGATGGCGCCATCTCCAGCACTCAATCAAGGATTAATTTCATCACTGGTTGGCATGGTAGTTCCGGTCTACGCGGCGTATACATAATAACTAATCGGAATTTAATAGCGAGATAAGATAAGCACGAAAAAGGCTCGAGACCAACGAAATCTCGGAAACTGGTTAAGGGTAATTTAAAACGAAAGCAATAGGCTTATCACCAAATAATGATGAGGTTCACCAATCCAATTAGGGAATTTCCGAAGCAGAGGAAAGAAGAGACCAGAAGAAAAATTTCACAATTTTCGAAACCTACTCCTGATGAGTAATAACAAATCAATCAATATTTATCTTTAATGCACGCAAACTGAAAGACTTAAATTCTTAAAGAAAGCAATATAATTTTTATTCAATCAGGTCAATCAAGGCATGTAAATTGTTCATTGATAGATGTGGCTATCAGCCTAGAAATATTTCAACTCATCATGAGATTTGATAACGTTAAAATAACTTTTGTACACACCTCAAAACAATGCACATTTTAAGTCTATAAATTCTGGTGACCGCGAAAAAATGTACTTTTGTTTTCACTTAACACGTGTTTTGTCTGGTAAATACCCCGTATCTAATCTCTTTTTTTGGAACTAATATATAGAGAAGTTAATAATTTATTATCATTTTGTGAGGTAATTGAACGGAAATCTTTCTTTTGGGACTACTTCGTTGATTACTGAATACTTTGTACCAAAGACTTTTAGACAGATCTGACTGGCATTCTGTACATTGCTACAGATAAGACATATTTTTTACTCGAAATCGACTATTAGGTGGCATTGAAACACCCCTTATCGACGGGTGCCCAAATAACTAGCAATAATCTTGCACTGGGAGTACTTCAGAACCTTCAGGGTGGACCCTAGCAACACAAATGCAAAAAAACAGCCCGAAGAAACTTGTTTGTGGTTGCTGCTGGGGTTTAAAGTCGAAGGGGGTATTTTTAGCTGGCCAGACAGTAAATTCGAATAAAAATTCTGATGAGTGGACACAGTGTTTAACACAAACAAATGCACGAACGATAATTTTTTGTTTTGTATTTTGTTTTGATTTGTTTTTTTTTACCTTTCGGCACTCATTTTAGCCAGCTATAATGAAGGCAAATTAGTTCAAGTAGTTTCGAAATTAATGTATGGAATTCTTTCGCTTTTTCCACCCTTTATATAACTAGTCGCGACTTAATGGGCTCGCTTCAGATGCATTTGTAAAACAAGGCACTCGATCGCGTGGTTAATATATCTCGGAACTCGGGGAACACAAAACACTGGAAGAAAAGCGAGCGACTACGGAGGAGTGACAATTACAATTCATGCCAAAACGCACACTGGCTGGCAAAGTGGTTTGGATGCGGCTTTTATTTATGAGCAGCGATCGACGCTGCGATCGCAACACGCACACAAACAGACTTGCCAATTATTTAGCATTCTCTCTCTTTTTTAGCATGCCACCTTAGCCGCTCGCTTGTGCTGTCTCCCTCTTGCGCGCCTGCTGCGAAAGCATGCTTGCAAAAAGGTTCTTCCTTTGCTTGACCAAGATCGCAGCTGATCGTGCTATATGGCACTATAACAGTTATTTGAGCTCTCTTTATTTCCACTTTCTCTCTTCTGAGCGACGTAAAGTTTTCAAAAAGCTTTTTCTCTAACTAGCCAATACTAAAACCAGAATTTAGATCGCTAGTGTGAACTTATGGAATCTAGAATGGGGAAAAATAAACAAACAAAAAAATCCAACTAAGTGCTATAACTATTTATCCAATTGTTTTAACTATGAACGAAAAATCGCATTATTTAAATATGTTATGGAGTTCAGTGCCATACATTTATGCTTATATTTTAAGCATACCTTTACTTTTGGTGTACTAAGAGACAAAATGAAAAAAGAATAGTTTATTAATATCAACTATATTATTCTTTTCTTTTTATGTAAAGGTCAACATTTGTAATCTGGTTTCCAAATATTTATAATTGGCATTGCTCGAAAGATCCTAAAATATATTACAAAAGCTTAAAACATAAGTTTTATGTTAATTTGTTCAACTACAGACTTTTTGTATACTAACAAAATTAATTATGAAATTCAAGATTGTAACGCAAATTAAGTAAGTGAGAAAATCATTATTGTTTTCTGAGAAACAAACGGAACGATGAGTTAGCAAAAATTATCGTTATTTCTAGGAATTCCAAATAACAGATTTCCAAAACAGTAGTTATATTAAATCGCTACATATGTATTTTGCCACCTGCCTCCCTTTCTCTCTTCTCATCCCAATTTCTCTCAATAGACAAGAGCCTGCGAAAAGAGCATTAAGGACACGAGCAATGAAAGCAGTCGTGAAAATTACCCGAGGGTCCGAGCAAAGCTGAATTGAAAAAGCTTTTCATTCATAACCTTTCACAACAACAACAGCAGTGGGGATTGACATCAACAACAAAGGCGGAAATGCAGCGAAATGGCATTTTCTGTAAAGAAAAGCGGAGCAGGAAAATGACAAAAAATATACATAAGCAATGGCGGATACGGATCAGCATGAAGGGCATGGAAAGGACAACTAAGGAAAAATTGTGTGCAAACTATCTAGCAAGGAAATTTATTAACACTTTTTTATTCGCCCCTTTTCTCGAGAGCTTTTGTAAGCGGCTTACGCTATCCGCAGAGGTAGGCTATCCCCGCCCACTCCCCACTTTCACTCCCACTTCCGTTTCCTTTCGCTAAGCTCAAACACTTGCACAAATAAATGTATCACCCGGAGCGTCGGAAAACGCTCTCTCGCTGATTTTTCTCTCATTTTAATGCTTCTGTGTTTCATTGTCTAGGTCGAGGCAGCTTTTTCTCCTGAAGGTCGCCTCCTGACTAACTGTTCGATGTGTCTGTACTGGATTTGTCTTCCTTTTGTGGGTGTAACGTAAGTCGAGCGGGAGGACAACTATCGACCGAGTGCGGGGGATGTTCACAAGGTAAACTGGCGGCGAGGATAAACAGTTAACCCTTTTACCGAGTTTTGTTTGGCCCAAAGCGGTAATCCTTGTCTGCCTCCCAATCAAAATTGCCTAGTTTTAACTTTTGGTAATCGCATCATGATTTTGTCAGCCAACCAATTGAATTCCAATTTGCATTAAAATTGGCAATTTGCACATTGTTTGTCGGCCTAACACTCCCACGACTGGACAACATATCCATATGCAGAAAATATGCAAATGCCTAATTAAGTGAGTTATTGTTCAAGGGCAAAATCACTTTTCACTAACTGCCCCCGAACCACCCACAAAAAGTATGGAAAGCTCGCTGATGCACTGAAAGCCAATCACTGGAAAGAAATGCTGTGTACATTACAGGGAAATCGTCGCAGAATTCTTGTACCAAGGCTAAACTTGTTCTGCTCTTTAAATTAAAAAAATAGCAAAACCATAATCATAGCAATAAAATGCCAAAGCACAGTTTGGAAATAAAAATCTTTATAACTACTATAATTGTTTACCTAAGTACTAGTTAATTAACTTTCTTATACCTTATTTATCAGAACGAAAACGGATATAGTTATAACAATAAAATTACTTATTGCCCGAAAAAGAGTTTAAATTAACCTACCTATGAATTAAAAGTTATTCTTTGAAAAATAGGTTATTAGCTTTATCAAGTAAATTCGGTTTTTTTTTAGTGACTGCTTTGGATATTTACCCCCAGGCGTATACTTAATTTGAGATTACTTTTACCGTAGGCGTATACTTAATTTCTTCTCTGCTTCTTTCAGGTTAGTTTTTTTTCAGTGACCCTAATGGCATTACCACTCCCACTGGCTTTTTTTCGCCAGCATCACATTTTCCCACTCCATTGGGCCGTAAATCACATTGCAAATCAAAAGCAGTGCCCAGCAGCTGCCATAAACTTTTATGGCAAGCGAGCGTGGGAAGAGCTTACGCTTTCGAGAGCTTTTCACGCTCCCGCAAAAGGAAAAGCGTTCGCTTTTCTCTCTCGCTTTTCACTTTTCGCAATTCGCACCCACACTGGCAGCGGAATTCTCCTGCTGCTGCTTCCGTTTCACTTTCAGTTGCTTTCGAATTGTCCGCCAAATTGGACGCTCCAAGTGCCCGTAATTTTCAATCCACCCACGGGAGCAGACTCAAAAACAACAACAGTAGGGATACCAAACCACGCAAAACAACAACTTTCGTCTGGAAATTCTACCTTGTTACATTCGCTAAAGCTTCACAGCAAAAAGATCCTCGGCAAAAAGTGCAGAAAAGTGAAGAAAATCGGAGAGGAAAAACCAAAGCCAATTTTTAATTGTGTAAGTCCCGCGTAATGTACGCATGTGTGTGTGTGTGTGTGTGCCGTGTGCGTGTGTGTATTGGTGGGAGTGTCCTTCGAGTCCTGCCAGTAAATATTTAAAACAATTAAAGCCCGACGAGAGTGAGTAGAAAGCCAAAGCCTGCCCCAAGGTCCCGCAGGACCCGTTGACGTGCCTAATTAGACGGCATTCCGTCGCACATCCTGCTGGCGGGATAACTGCATTGTCTGGTTAATTCACCGTTAATGCAGCCTGATTATAGCCCACGTCCTGACGTCTCGACATCGCGACATCCTGACCAGCCTCAATCCGAGCTGCCTCCTGCTGCACCGGAGACCCAAAGCGAACATATTGCCATTCGCTGGAAATGGCCATGAAAACTCGCAGCAACTGCTACCTGCTACATTTTCAAAGCATACTTTTTCGGGGAATAAAGCCTTGGGTCAAGGGGAAAGTTTGCCCGGACTTAACAACAAGACTTAACTTGACTTAAGTTAACATTCAACTCAAGACAAAACTTAAGATAACTTTTAAATAATTTAACGCCAAAAATGTGATGAGGTTTTTAGGGAATCAATTTGTTTAAAGAGTTAGAAAACAAACCTATTTTTATAGGTATATATTTATTGATTAAAATAATACTTAAATAGCTGTTTATTGCTGAATTGTCTTCAACAATTTTTGTTTCAGCGATTTGCTTTTTGACCTCCATTTAAACCTTGAGAATTTGATCTTTTATTCCGTGCTGTGGTTTCATTTTGGATTACTTAGATATAAGAGCGAAGTAAAACTATCTAATGACTTGAAAAGGAATTAAGACTTAAATGGAACCATATTTAACAAGAAGTTGTACATCTTGAAAGCTCAATACTATTAGTGCCATATCAAATATATATCCTGATTTCAAATGGAAACTCTTTTGAGTTAAAGCATATTGCAATTTGATTTCAGACACAAATTATGCTTGGGTTGAGCTTAGATTAAAACCTGATTGAAACCGTAATTTTCATTCTTTTGAGTAACTTGTTCAATAAATTTGCATGTACATCTGGTAAACCCCATTCCCCGCCCCCCGTCTCTCCCAATTGCAACCGCTTGGCTGGGCATCAGGTGCATCCAATTCCGGGCCGAATGGATACTTCGGGCTGAGCAAATATTTGCCACAAGTTGGCTAAGAGTGGTGCCTTCAGACCTCACCCCTTCATCCTGGCTCTCCGCTCAAGCCAAGCGTGGATGAACGCAAAATTAATTCCAGCTTCCACCCGCTGAGTACCCATTTCTACCCGGACTCCTTGCGGCATCTTGAGGCCGAGTCCCGATAACTTTTTACTACTTTTGCTATCCTTTTGCTCATTCTGCCTAAGTTTTCCCAGCCTCTTTTCTTCGCTTTCTTGCCTCATTGTTATTGGAATGTCTATGTTGAGTTTTTTTTTTATTGTTATACAGTCGAGCTTCTATAAGTGGAATAATATAATTTCAATTATATTTAAATAAGTGAATTGAAAATCATTAAACTGTTATATGTTTTCTGAATCACGACAAGTCACTGGAAATATAATTAAAAGTTGAATGGCTGGAATATCAAAAACTGAATACAGTTTTTGGCGGTTGAACCATACAAATTAAAGTACAAAAGAATATATTGGTTTTCTACAGAAATATGGTTTTCTGAAATTGTATACCCAATTCCTTTTTTAATTTTTGCCATATTAAAGAGTTACTTCGTGAACATGACTTCAAATATTGTTTTATAACGCAACTATATTTCTTTATTTAGTAAATCCTGGAACATCTACAATTTTATTTTGGCTTTCTCCTGTGGCTGTCGTGGCTTTTGTTATTGTCGTGGCTGCTTGCGTTGTTCGCTGGTTGTTCGTTGTTCTCGCTACCTTAGCATCCTTGCCCTTGGCGCGCACTTTTCTTCTTCTGCTAGGGTCCTTCCCCCTCATCCCCCTCCCCCTCCTTGTATCGCTTTTTGTTCCTTTTCCTGTGTGCCTTGTGCCTTCCTTCCTGTTCGGCATGAACGTGCGTTGTTTCCTTCGCGTACGGGCTTTTGGCATTGGCCTGTCCGTGTTTTGTGCGTGTTTGCCAGGGCTCAGGCGGTTTTTTCCATTTTTGTTGGATATTTTTTTTTTTGCTGTTTTCCTAGCTATTTGTTATTTTTTACGGTTGGCTCCGAGTGCTTTTCTTTTGTGTGTACATTTAAATCGCAATCAAATAACAATAAAAACTTCAGCGAGCTGACTAAAAAAGTGATCAGTGACATCATGGCATCCAGTGCATTAGTCTTAAGACATCCTGATGGATGGCTAGATTTGGCTGTGGGTGTTGTGTCAACCATGTCGTATACGCGATGTGGTGGATGTGTTGACTTATCGTCCGGGAAACTTGTTGGGGAAAAAGGTGGTGAATTGATCATCCTAGGAGTTGTGGTGTACCTTTTTTGCCTGTGGTGCTGAAAGAAAATTCATTTTTCAAAAATGTATAAAATGATTTAAAAATATTTAAGTTAAATCTCTCTATTAGTTTTTAAAGGAACACAGCAAACCTTGATGACAATTCCAATTATTGGCAGGAAGTATAATACAAAGGTGTAATGAATTACTTGTATTTATTAATGGCAACGTGCGGTATTAACTAAAGAAGGACAGCAAATGCTTTGAACTTTGAACTTTGCAATGGGTGGACTGAAGGTGATTGGGGTCAGGAAAAGCTAGCCACGGCTACAGCAATAAGCTGTTAAACTGCTTGTGCATGTCAGCACAACCTTTCCCCTGGATTTCCCCGACATATTCCGCTCCATTCACTCTTTATCTCTCCGCCGCAGTTGTTGTTGCATTTCCCTGACAATGCAACTGCCAATATCGGTGGATGTGGATGTGGATGTGGAAGGCCGATTGTGTTAGTTGTTTGCGGCTAACATTGACATTTGTGTCCATTTAAGCGTGAGGTTCCTTCAAGGGAAGCGCGCTCTTATGCAACATATGAAAATCAAATCAGATTGGGTAAATACATCGGGTACACACAAGTGGAGAATATCGTACTGAAATTTTTTTAAATTTACACAGAATTTTGTTAAATATTATTTAAGTAGTTTCCCAATGTGTGGGATCATTTGAATTACATCTTTTATATCTTATGGTTTATTTATGAATGGGAATTTCTATCATAAATATAAGTAAGGAGGGAAGGATCTTTTTAGCTTACAATTCTTTTTTCGAGTGTAATTCAGCCACGTGCAAACATATTACAGATATCTGCTCACTTGTATCAGCATCAATGTCATTCGAAGGTTGCATTCACATGCCAAATTCATGCATGGGATTTGCGTTCTTATTTTTTGACAAATAAGTTCTTTCCCAAAAAGGGCATTCTGGGTCAGCACTCGGCCAATTCCTGCAATTGCTGCATGATTAAACTCTGCAGCATTTCCCTGGCCAATACGCATCCGTGGCACGGGCAATCCCGGGAATTGGGAATGTGCTGCGACTGCAGGCTCGTCAGTTGCAGACGTCGTTGCGCCTCCATCCTCGTCCGCTTTTTCCAGGTCCTGACGTTGTAGAACACACAGCAGTAGACAGTTATGCCTGTTCATAAAAAGTATAAAAATTATTAAGACATTTTTAATAATATTCACTCACTTTTAATCCATTACAATCAAATGAAAAATGATAAGATAAATATTAGTTAAACAGTTTGGAGTTTAAAATGTAAGGTTAAAAGTAATAAATGACTGAGGTGCATCGCTTTAGATTTTCAGGAGTTTATAGGTTTTTTTATTAAGTTGTTAAATACAATTAGTAATTCCTCTTTAAAGTTCAAGAATTAAAAGCAAACCAAGATTTAATTGTCGGTTTTAATTATGATTGAGCCTTAAATACTAATATTGCTGAATATTTTTTTAACAAATATTTGGTTAACTTACCAACTGATAAAACTGAGCTTAAATCTTGTCTCGTATTATCTTACCTATTTGAACCACAAATCTATGCCAACTTACCAACTCCCACAACGGCAATGTGTAAAATCAAAACCATGAAGACAAAACGAGCATAGTGCCGATGTTTCCTCAGCTCTTCAAATGGAAATTCAATTGTAGCATTGATGATCCTATTTGCAACCGTTTGACCACCGCTTAAGTTTTCCAGTTCCTCTGGCGTTTCCACATCGGATTCCGTGTAATTCCCAGTAGTGTTATTTTCGTTTTCGTTCTCGTTATCGTACTCAAACATCTGGAGCAGCTGCGTCTCATTTAGCCAGTCGAAGTCTTTCCGGGAATACCAAAAAACAAAAACAATCAAAAGACCCACGGGGGCATTCTAAAGTGCACTTACCCGTAAAATTTTCATTGGCTTTGGCCAGGTGAAAATGGGAAATCGAGGTGACCATCAGCAAGATCCACCTGGCAGCTTTGCTTTGGGCGAACAGAATCATGGTGTTCCGCCGATTGTTCCAATGCAACTGAACAAACTAAAAGCACTCGGGCCCCGACAATACTATCAACAAAACAGCTGTTTGCGGGCCAAAATAAACATCTTTAAATTGATTTATTTAAGTAGAAGAATATTATTTAAAGGGAAAATAAATCAGCGAAATTTTCTGCAATAGATAAATATTCAGCGCAAGTAATTTATACTGACTTTAATAACTTTCATTCTTTAAATATTTTCTTAAAAAACTCATTTGAAATGCAATGATTTTGGAATCAATAGTTCTTTAAACTTAGATCTATGGTTTCGCAGTTCCATAAAAAAAATCCAAGACGGGCTTAAAGAAAATACAAATATATTTTATACTGTTTTAATTAAACACATAATTATAATTCTTGGGAAACTAAATACATACAATTTAAAAAAGCGCATTCTCTTCAACCCCAAAAACTAAAACTTTATATTTTTATGCTTTTTAAATGAGACATTCACTTGATTTTATTTCCTAAGATAAGGCAGTAAGTTGTAGCTTTTTTGAATGTATTCGAATAGCATCCAAAATAAAGTGAATGGGTCAAAAGATGAACACTTCTAAGCACACTGTGGGATGACTCCACAGTTTTCGACGCAGAGCGAGTTACTGGCGAAGCGACAGTTGTGGCAGAGGCAGCCGACCTTGGCGGTGTGGATGAAGGTCAGTTCCAGGATGTGGGCCGTCTCCTGGGGCAAAGTGGGCCACACAATGCTCTGGGTTCGCGGGGCATAGACATCGAGGCCATCGGAAGTCGATGGCGTAGCCTGCGGAATCCGGAAGAAACAGCAAATACATCCTGAGCGAAGGAAATCGGAAATCTCCGCTCAGTGAGTTGATTATCGGAATGGCAATCATTAAAACTCACCCAAACAACCCAAAAGAATCAGAAGGCCAAGACCCAAGAGAGTCAGCAGAAGGATTTTTATTTGAGCCTCAGCCAGCAGAGCGTCCTGGCTTTTATTCACAATCTCAGAGCAATAACATTGCTCCAATAAAATGAAAATTGCAACTATGAAAAAAATGAATCGAGTGCTCGGCGCCAAAGACATTTTGTTAATGTCTTTCCCATGCTTTCCATCGCACAATAAACAACTTGAAAATGGCAAAACAAACGAAAAGAAAGCAGCTGCAAACAGATGGCGACATCGCCGTGGAATAATAACAATCGGCTTGCAAACTTCTGTGCAAATTAAAATGTTGCAAGTGCTAATCGGAGTGAAGCTTATTTTCTTTTTATTTAAATGCCAAAAGCAAAATTTTCGTTTTGCAAATCCCCTTTTTCTTCGTGTAGCAGACTTGGTAACTTCTGATGTAAAATTTATAGACGAAAGCCTTTTAAAATCTTACATACTTTAAAACTACTTTAAAAACTTTTCAGACTGAATATGTTTTTGAGCATTAAAGTATTTTTTGAATTTTTTATATGCTACAAATTAACCTTCTTACTCCGTTACTTAAATTTTTCAAACTATACATGCAAATACTTCAACTGTAAAAAAACAAGGAAAGGTGATTCCACCAATTAAATTATTAAATAGCCAATGGATAACTTTCTTTTATATTATTATATATTTATATTATATATATATAAATATATTTATTTGGATTCTGAATGTATATACATAGGCTATCTCAACGAGTACATGACCTTCATCGCTGCCCACCACCCACTTCACCTTGCCACCTCGATTCCTCCCACTTGTCTGAAAGCATTAAATCTGTACGCTTTGCCTCGGTGTGCATTTGTCATAAACCAAATAAAAAGTAACCCATTTGCCCTGAGAAATTACATTTAAATTGCAAATTTAAAGTAAAAAACAAAACAGGTCGCATACACAACACACCCGACATTCAGCTGCACTCAAAACCATGAAAATGTATGCAAAGGTGACAACCCAAAAGGAAAAGAGGAAAATCCTGCGAAAACTGGATAACAAGAAAAAATCATTTGCAGACATAATTCACTTAAACGCCAGCTGTCTCGCTTCGTCCTTGTATATTCATTTCTCACACACTCATCTCCCATGCATTAAATTTTCCACTGTACTACTTGAAATTCCAAAAATTATATCCTCAAGGCGACTAAATACACAATTGCTTTTAGTTGGCGTAATTTTTAATCGATATTGGGGCAATTCATTTAAAAATAGGCTAATGGACAATGTGTGTACCTTTAATTATTAAAGTCGTGACATTGCGCAAAGAAAAGTGATACTATAAATGGATATAGATTAAATTTCAAATTTGTAAACTGGTCAAGGCCATTATATCAATTTTCTTTGAAAATTAATGACGAGGTCTTGTTATCCACTTAAAATATTTTCTAATTCAGTTCAATTAGTGTCTGAAAAAAAAGTGCATTCCTATTTAAAGAACTCAAGTATGTGTTTTACTAAGACCCTAAAAACCATACTTTTATCGAACTAAGAAGGCCACAGGCAATACAAATTTACTCTTACATTTTCAACAATTTAATCAACGAAATGATTTGCAATTTGAAATTCATAAAAAAAATGAGGAGAATCACTTGAAATGCCACTTTACGCGCATTTTGATTGTGATTTAGCGCTGAATTTGCGATTACCAGGACGATGACAGCGAAGGACGACAGACGATGACGAAGTAGATGAATATTTAATGCGGGGAACAGGACAGGACCCCAAGGAGCGAAGGACCCTGAAGTGAGGAGCAGCGGAGATGCAATAGAACGTGAAAATCTGTTCTCCGCAAGCATTTTCCGAGGGATCTGGGCTTTGGGCCTGGAAAGCATTGGAATGGAGGCAACTTTGTTGCATCGAGACAAATTTGTATGCGTGTGCTTTGGCCTCTGCCGATGGTCTTGTTGCTGCTCCCGCAAAACTGAATAATCGATATTGCCTGTCGAGCACTTGAAATAGCACCAATGGCACATTGAACGGCACCAACTACGGAAAAAGAGGCCATCTGCCTTTTTTGTTCATCCTGATGGTTTCATTTGCATCCACTTTTTGAAGAGGCAACACTTAGTACTGCATAATTATTCAAGGCTTTGATGTTCATCACTCAGTCATTGGACAACCAATTTTAGTTGTACGAATGCCTCAAATAGTTCTGCAGGCATTTAACAACTTTAAACTTACTATTTTAAATAAAATAGTTTGATTAAATTACATTGTCAAAGACTTACTTCACATAATAATTGAAAAGGTGTCTAAACCAGACTTTTTTTTCTAAAACACTTTTCAAAGAATTTAAGTATGTACCAATCTGTGCCCTCTGTTTTATATTCCATCTTAATCAACTAGAAATTCAAAACTTAAAACAATATTAAAGTGATATCTATCGATTAACTAAAAAATCTTCGTTTATTTCAATACAAACATCAAAATAAAATAATTGTAGAAGCTCTAAAGTATTCCTAGTTTTATTGACTGATTATCTTCAAAGACAATCCAATTTTTTTATCAGTGCAATTTACATATCCTATTCACCTAAAACTTAACCACCCACCACCACCCCACCCACGGGGCGAAGGTCACCCCACTTGCTTTGTTAGCCGCTTGTGGGCAGCCTTCGTGGGTTCAAGTTCAAGTGCTCCGAGTTTGCCCCCTCATAATTGCCGTGACTTTTGCAACAACAGAAAATACAAAAAATACAGATGAGGCGGTGATGATGATGACGATGACGATGACGATGACGAAGGTCCCTTGTCTCGCCTTGGGCTCCCGGCCCAGGGAAATTTAACTTTCGCATAAAAATGTCAAAAAAAGGGAAAATTATGAAATGCCAAAAGGCGGAAAACGCTGTCGGCGGATTGCTTGCAAAAAAAAAAGAACAGGAAAACTAGAATGCAGCTCATGTAAGCGGTGCCCCACCGCCGCCCCCTCGTGACTGCATTGCACATTCCCAAGGTCGTTAAATGCAACCCACCCACCGACGCCCCTTCGTTTTCATCAAGCGTAAACAAGCGAGCGACGGCTGAAGCTCGAAAACATTTTCACACTCGAATTGACCAAACACAAACAAGGCAAAGAGCGAGGGGTTTGGGGGGTGGAGATTGGGATGGAAAGTAGGGTGGGAGTTCAACTCCCTCCTCTTCTTATTAGATCCTTTTTCGCTTTAACACATGTCTGATCCGTTGCACATTAATTATTAATTGGTTGTTTTATTAAAAAGGATTTGACTTAGCTTTGAGCTTGCTTCAAAAGCAGCTATGGCAACCCCGCCATAGGCTAATTTATAATTAGAAAAACAAAAACTCACGGGGTTTTATGCAGTTTAAAAAACTTATAAAACTTTAAAATGTTTGCATAAATAAAATATTGAAAGCAACCAAGTTTCTAATTGACCTAGTTATTATATACTATATTAGACACAACAACTTTAATTTCCACTGCCGTGGTAACAGTAATCGATGCCTTTGTCTTGGAAACAAAAACATTGAGCCTTGAATTGGTTTATTAACATTATTAATTTAACATTTTAAGTCCCTTTCATATGAGCTACCATGCTTCAGATGCCATGTCTTTGTTTTTGAGACAAGGTAAAGTAATTACTTTTAAACAAAGCACTGGTAGAACGAAACAATGCAAGTAAATCCAGTTGGTTATGCAACGAAGCCTGTCAAGGAAATTAATCTGAATTATGCTTCACATACTCACAAATATTAGCTTGCAGTTATTAAATGTGGATAGATAAATATAGAATATGCTGCATGAAAAGTATTTCAAGGTATCTACTTTAAACAGAGCAATTTGCAGATATATCTATTTAAAATTAAAAGCTCTTAGCTAAATCAACTGTGACCTAAAACCTCAACCCAAGCATTTAAGCAATCTTTTGGTTTACCATTTCGTAAATAACCCCAAATAAAAAGCTCCAAGCGAGTGTGCTATTTCAATCAAGTCTCATACATAAATTTGAACAGTAAGTTGGTCAGAGTTTGCATTTCAGTTGGCCAAACTAACCCAACCCAGTTACTTGTTCTACCTACCGACGAAATGCCAATTGTTTGTGCAGACTCTCCATTTACGTGCCCAGAATAGTCGGATTGCTCGGACTTGTCATAGATTTTCTCTGGGCGCTAAAATGCTTTCGTTTTCACCTGACCGATGCGATGCAAAACTTTCCTGGCACTTTTCACGCTTTTTCAATGGAAACTTTAGCGTTTCCGCCTGCCACCTCTCGATTTTCATTGTCAGACGGTTGTGATTCAACTATTTCCCGAAAAGTTCGCACAAAGCTAAATGTTTATTTGTACTGCAGTTAGTTCGCTGCCTGTTTGTTGGTTTGTTTCTCTGTCATTGTTATTGTTTCTCTTTTTTTTTTCTGTTTGTCGCCGCTGAATCGCATTCTTGGACTGGGAATCATTAGGAACTATTTGCTAAGCAAATGCCACTGGCATTGCGAACGGGCAGAAATAGTTGCAGGCGGAATGCTGGACCGCAGAAAAGGGAGAACGAGAAAACCCGGCCAGGAGCAGAGCAACCTTGCTAGAAAATGGCAATGGGAATTGGGTTTTGTGGTTTTTTCCTTTTTGCCCTGCGGCGTTTTTCACTCCGAGTTGAAATTCCCTGGCATTTCCCACGATTCAACCCATTTTCACAGGTTCGCTGATATCATCATTGGCACATTAACAGCTTCATTGGCACACTCACTTGGTTAAATACACATTTGACTGCCTAATTACGAGGCTGTCAACAAATTGCAATAAAAAAAACATCGCCATTTCAGCCAAGTAAAATGGCACAAAAAACGTGACCAGGCAAGCAAACTCAAGCAGTGCGGAAAGGCAGGAAAATCCTCTCACATCTCATCACATATCCCATCACACGATGTTATGGCCACTACAGAAAGTGTGACAGTTGGACTATATAGTATATGTATACTATATATACTCGTATGCACGCTGGTGGGGGTGATGGTGGGGGGTGGTTGAAAACGTAAGTGTGGGTGGGTGTGAACAAGTGTGAGTGCCGCCCAGCATCAAGTGCCATTGACGGCGCGTCATTTTCTTGAGAACTCATTTATCCTCGCCACCATTCAAAAAATACAAAAAAACAGGCGTCTCTGTGTATTTAATTAACGAAACGGAAATTACAAAATGTGCTTGCCGCTATTAGATCCATTGAACTTGGATTAAGTTTAAATTAGCTGGCTTAAGTCAATGAAAAAGTATTTTTAGATGTGTAATATTCATCTTGAAGGTAATTAGCTTTTAGCGCTTTAAGAAGAATTTGTATTTAAACTTTTTAGTTTCAATTTTAATACTTCTCAAATATTTTTCTCAAATATTTTTCTGACAATACAAATTTAATTTTTTCCAATTAGCATATTCAAAGCAACAAATAACACACATGTTTTCATATTATAAATTCCGCTTTCGATAATTAAATAAATATCTTCACACTCAAAATATAATTAAGTAATTTTCTATACATTTAAAAAAAACTTTTGAAGCTGTAAAATATTTCTGTTTCCCTCCCTATTAATCGCATTAAATATAAAGCTCATTATGGTGTAAGGATATTAAATTTGTCAAAAAGTTGTTATGCAATTAAAACACTTTATTTTTATGTTATGGCTGATGAATAATGTTTTTGTTGAAAAAGGCAATCAAGGTAGAAATCAAAGTAAAATAGAACAACTCAATACAAACAGAACATCAAAAAGGGAAATAAATAACTATACAAATTACCAAAGCAATTACCAGGATACAACATAAATGCAAATTAAGAGCAGAAGTTAGAAGCTTTGTGGCTTATCTGCTTATTCCAACTAATTAGCTTGTTAGTGGGATATTTTCATACGCCTTTCAATTTGATCTGGACTTATTTATACATTGCAAATAGTTTTAGGGCAACCATGTTTATTTAATTTATACTGCAGCTAACTTAATTTAAACTACCACCTGACCTTTTTTTATTGTTTCCATTTAGGTTGAATCGAGGTCAATATAATCCATCAACATGATACATAGCTGAAAAAAGTGTACTTTTTTCTGCTTTTTATTAAGAGCTCTTGGCCAGCTGTGAAATTTGGCAGTTGGCCAATTGGTTGTCACCTGCAAAAGCTATCTAATGAACTCAAATACTTGCATATTTTACAGCGGGACAAAGATCAGAACTGCCACCGAAATGGGGCAGAGCAGCAAATCAGGAGCTGCCGGGGGCGGAGGAGGCGTGGTCTGTCCTTCGACGGCGATCAGTGGCTGTGCCTCCGGAACGGCCCTAATCCAACTGGATGCATCTGGCCAAGGAGCCGGCGGCGGAATCGGAGCGGAGTCGGAGCATGAACGTGGCACTTGGACGGGTCGCTTTGATTTCCTGCTCTCGCTGTTGGGATATTCCGTGGGTCTGGGAAATGTGTGGCGCTTTCCCTATCTGTGCTACAATAATGGAGGAGGTGGGTACACTGAAAGCTTATAAAATAATATATTTTCAACATTTAATATTACTTCTGAGAAGAATGGAAGCAAATTACAATCATACTTTCTGCATGAAAAATTTATATTACAAGGAAGCCCGTCTAATCAAATTCCAATCAAAAGTGAAATATTTTTTTCCCAGAAACCTCTTCAACAGAGAAAAAACCTATCTTTACCAGATACTCCGAAATATAAAAGAAACTCTACCGACAGATATCATCCTTAATAAGAAATAATTTATGTCTACCAAACACAAAATGTATCATTTATTCATTTATTAACAAAAATATTACAACTATCTATCTCAATTGTATCATAATTTGATGACTACATTTATTTTTACTTTTTTCAGGTGCCTTCCTCATTCCCTTTACCATAATGCTGGTGATTGCCGGACTTCCGCTGATGTTTATGGAACTATCTTTTGGTCAATATGCCGCCCTGGGTCCAGTGGCCGTTTATCGCAGGTTCTGCCCACTCTTCCGAGGATTGGGAACCGGCATGATCCTGGTATCCGCCATAGTCATGCTCTACTACAACCTAATCATCGCCTGGACCATCTTCTACATGTTCGCCTCGTTCGCTCCGGTGCTTCCGTGGCAGAATTGCGAACCCGCTTGGAGCACTAAGTGTGAGTTTTTCCCCTGGGGACATAATATGATGGCTCCAATTAATTAATAGGCCAAGATACTCGAGACACAAAAAAAGAAAAACAGTGGGGGACAGAGGATGCCAGATTCTTATCTTTTGTTACGTTTTTCGGGTAATAAATTAAGCAAATTGCAGGCTGTCAAAAGTGGAATTTTATTTTGCTTTTCTACGGCTTTGTTTTTGTTTGTGTCCGTTGGCGGCACGTGGCTCGGTTGGGAAAACACATGGCTGGGAAAATGGGAAGTGGGGAAAAGGAAAATGGTTGTGTAACCAGCAGACCCCGGAGACAATTGATTCAGGACAACGAAGATGACAGGAACTAAGGCAAAGATAAACACACACAATCCAGAAACACAAGTTTCAAGGGAAACTTCCAAGGAAATTTGCAAAGCATTGCAAAAAAGAAAATTTAAATAAAAAAAAACACGATAAGTTCCCATTGAAGTATCCGAATAGTTAAAGTTAGCCTAATTCCACGGGGGATCAAAAGTACATCATTTGGCCCCGAGAAATGTGTATGCCAGGCACATCATCTTCCGTCCTTCACGCACACGCAAACAATCAAAAAATATGAACAAACTTTCGCTGAGAATTATAATAATAAACAAGATGGAGGAGCGGAACAATAACGCATGGAGGAATCCTAGGCGCCTTGAAGTAGGCAATTGTTTTTGTGCCTCGTTTGACATTGTAAGGTGAGCGCTTTGCAAGTGAGTGTGTGTGTTTGTTAGTGTGCGTGTAAGGACTCGTCTTTGAGTGTGTGTGTGAGTCCGGGAAGGCGTTTCCTTGCGAATGCCTAAGTCTGCTTTTGATTTCCTTGCCCGGACACAAACACACGGCACTTTAAAGCGTTCCGCCACGCGTAACACATAAATCTTTAACGACCATTGAACGCCTACTCTTCCGGGATTCTGGAACATAAGATGGTTAGACTTTTCATACTTGCCCGGAAAAGCGTGGAAAAGTTTTGTATGTAGGTCAAAAATGATGGCAGCCCAACCACATTCAGTTGAACTTTGAGAATTTACCGGAAAGACATTCAGCATAAATTAAGTTTCTTCAATGTCAGAAAAAGTTAATAAATGTTGGGACTTCTATTAAACCAAATACATTCACAAGATTTTAGAAGGTTAAGGATAACAATATAACAATTGCCATATAAAATTATATTATAAATTATTGGTTTTTAAAAATGTATTCAGTGAAGCGTATTTTTGTTAATTTGGGATATTCTAAGATATTTTATTTTGTCATACTTTGATTTGCAAGGTGTACTTATTTCTTAATGTATTTTATGACGGACACCTTAGTGAACTTCGCAGGATATAAACACATGCAGATATGCCCACTCACGCAATCACATCCTCAAGTGGCTCGGTCTTATAACATGGAACAAGAAGAGCGGCGAGAACTATCTTCAAGTGCCATTGAAAGTTTTGCATGAGGCAAGAAAGCGAAACCACCCACAGCCACCTCTTTGTGTGGCTATTCTAAGAGGGCTTAAAGAACAGGGAATAACCAAAACGCATAGTATTATTATTATTTCATTATTTGTGTTTAATAGATAAGTAATATAATTCGTAGCTAGATAAATTAGGTTTTCAACTATATTCAATCTGCTAAAATCTGTCTATTTTTGCCAACATTTTCCTGTCATAAACTCTCACAAAGTTAGAGTTAAGCTGGCTAAGGTTATATTTAGGTTCACACCTTTTTTAGTGCCATATATAAATACTCTACTTTTTCTTGGGAAAGTTTGCCGGGAACTTTCTGTTAATCCCCAAATCAGGGCTATGAAACCCTGTTAAATGACCTCTGGAAATGTTACCGCAGCCACCAATGCCATTTGCTATACTCAAAACGTATAGCTATGAGTTAATATTAGAGAAAACCAAAGTGAGCCATCGTCTTCGCCAGGGATTCGGAAATAAAATCAGACTTAGGCAGAGGTCGCATGTTAGCTGCCATTTCCGCTACTTTTGCGGTAGCTCAGAAATCGATAATGGATGCTATTGAGAATCCCCCGTCGCGTCTTTTTCTCATATTTCACCTTCTGGGGTGTTCCAAACACGGCAGCTTGGAATTGTTAAAATGACAAACAATTATGTCTTAACTGTTTTTGACACTCAATCGCTGGCAGTGCGAGCGGCAACCTTGGGCCAGGCTTTTCCCTAAGCTCTTAAGATACAAAGTTGAGTACGGTAGAGGAAAATATTATGTATATATATAGAGAGAGAGAGACGGCTGGCGACGGCAGACAAGCAATTTCTTAAGGATTTTATTTATTGACACTTTTCGATTCTCCTTCGGATGCTGGCAGCATCTCTGACCTCGTCGTTGGCCGCCTTTGTCCTCGTCTGTTCGGTGCTGTTTTAGATGACAAATGTTTACTTTTAGTGTCACGATTAAAATGTGTTTAACTTTGTTTGTCTCTGGATCGAATGTCGCACTCTGTTTGCCTTTCCACTTACTTATATGTTTATATTTTTTTTCAGTAAATATTTGGATGGACTTTTTATGTGGCTAATAACGTAAATGAGCTCACACGGTGTTTGGCTGAAGTATTACAATTTATTTATTAGCCCTGTAAACTTGAAACTCCAACGTTTTTCGTTTTCTTTTCATGCCGAAACAAACTCATCAAAGTTTGCCATCAAACTTAAAGGTCACAAAATTTAAGACCAATTTCCTGCGCCAGGCGTAGCACTCAAATTGAATAAGAAAGTCGGGGCATGTGTATCCTTTTGCAACCAGGATATACACACACAAACACACCCTCGCTCGCAAGGATTTATTTAAATGTGTAGACCGCCTGAATTTGTTAGGCAGTCCTCGTTTCTTTTTCAAATAAAATTTATTTCATATGATTCGCATCTAGGGGCTGTAAATACGCGAGTGTGTGTGTGTGTGTTTGTGTAATCAAATTAATTGCAATACAAACAGATGCAGACAGGCAAATTAAACGGCGTGTAAACACTTTGAAGTTTTTCACCAACCGCCAGCCACACGAAATTGTTCTCAAATTTATTTTCCCGTCGAAAAATGAAGCTGATGAATTGGTCTGATGGATGTGTGTGGTGGGGTTGCTCAACCTTAATTCTGAACCAGAGTTTCGTCTATAATTGCCAGGGTTTTATTCAGGTTACGCTTAGAGGGGAAATGGCAATGTGGCGGATGAGTGATGTTTTTCAACAAGCGCTGATTGTACGTAGAAAAATATGATTTTTTTTCACTAAATCAACTTGTGCTTGTCTTGAATTCTGTTTTCAAAATATTGCATTTCCCCAATCAAATTTATTACGTTAATTAAGTACTGCAAACAGTAATGTCCTGGGGCTTGACAACCATGTTCTTTTTCCCTCATCCACATGCAAGTTCCAACTCAGCTGTCAGTTAGTCATTTTGTGGTTCTTTGGGGGAAAAACTTTGGTGGTGACACATTCCCCATGCCACTCACTCTTTTGACACTCAGCACACATAAGTCAAATGCCATATCCAGAACTGCAAATTTCGACTTCTGTGAGACTGGAATTAAGCTGATGACAAGTTCAGGTTAACACAATTTGTAGTTGGCCTGATTGCAACTCAAATCGAAATGCTATCGAAGGGACTCTGTAGCCGAAAAATACGCCTGACAAACAGGAACCCAAGACAGATTGCTCTGCTATTGACCTTTCACCTCCCCCGACTCAGCCAAAGTTAAAAGTTGCGAGAACCTTTTGTCCAACCCTTTTTGGCCAAAGGACTTTGACATTCCCAGACCCTTTTTTGTGTTTGCCGCACTCTTTCATTTTTGTTGGGACCTGCCTCTTTTGTGCTTTTCTCCTCTGATTTGCCACTTTGTCCTTTTAATTATGTAGCCGGACATACAGAAAATAAACTTGCACAACCCTAAACGCAGCCCAACCGACAAATAGTTCATAAATATTAAAATGCTGTTTGGCCCTTTTTGCATAATTGAGAGGGATTCCAACTTGCTGACAGCCTAAGTCTCTTGCAGATTGCTTCTCGTATGCCCAGGCGGACCAGTGCGAGGCCACCAATGGCACCTACTACCTGCGCACCTGCCACAATGCCACCTCCGCGGCGGAGAACAACATCACCGCCCTGGCCCTCGTCGCCCTGAAGCGCCCACCTGCCGAGGAGTACTTCAAGTGGGTATCAAAAAAGGGTTATAGGTGTAGAAAATAATCTATGAAATTCGATCCTTATCATACATAGTTCCGTACAAAGTACCGACAAAAGATTTTAAAATCTATCCAATTGGTTTTTTATAACATAATTGTGGATATCACAGAAACCTTTAATCTAACTATTGAACATCCTGATTTAAGATTATTAATCATTAATAGAAAATAGATGGTCTTAACTGGCCAAGAGTACGGAATGCATTTACTTATTGTGGTTAAACCCAAACCAAGATTTCAAGAATAAAATCTATATATTATATTATATATTGCCCTACCTCAATACACATTTTTAAACTGATTTAAATTACTACTCTGTAGCAACATTTCTGTTAACATATTTTTTTAAAAGATCAATACACAAACTTAGTCAAAAACCTGCTTACAGTATAAATCAATAAAAGTGATAAATGGTGGTAAAAAAAAGTGCAAAAATTAAATGTAAATTGAATGCTTAGTCGTTTTACTGGTGTGTATTCCCCCAGCCTCTTGTAACCACAGTTTCGATGTGAATTTTCATTTTGCAGCAACTTTGTGCTGGGATTGTCCAAGGGCATCGAGGAGACGGGCAGCATTAAGCTGTCACTGGCCGCCTGCCTCTTCCTGGCCTGGGCGATTGTGTTCCTCTGCCTGTGCAAGGGGGTTCAGTCCTCCGGCAAGGTGGTCTACTTCACGGCCCTGTTTCCCTACGTCGTCCTGGTAATACTCTTCGTCCGGGGAGTGACTCTACCCGGCGCCAGCACGGGCATTATCTTCTATCTGACGCCCGACTGGAAGCAGCTGGCCAATGCCCAGGTGGGTGGTGAACTTGGCAAATAAACTTTTTCCCTGGAATGGCCTTAATTTGCCAACCCTTCTTTCAGGTTTGGGGCGATGCTGCGGTCCAGATATTCTTCGCATTGAGCCCGGCCTGGGGAGGTTTAATCACGCTCTCGTCCTACAACAAGTTCTCCAACAATTGCTACAAGTAAGTTCAGTATTATTTAGATGGTTTCCTAGAACAGTTCCAGGTTTGTTGGAAACAGGGTTTTAAGCTTATTAGAGGGGATTAAACTCATCATTATTAACTATGTTACAGACTTAATTATTCTGGAAATTCATGATTAAATTGAGGAAATAGTATAGCCACATAAGCTTTATAACAAATTAGGGAATTATTGCACTGCATTACCAATGAAATTACTGTTTTAGCGATTTAACTTTAAGTATCACAGCCTGCACAGTGACAAAATAATTTAAAATAGATTTGTTCCTGAATAAAGTAAAATAAATCAAAGTAACTCCTTTAGCTGCTTGCACAATAAATGCAGGCAGTCGAACTTAAAGTAAGTTACATGTATTAATCATATTTCTAGAAGATATTCAATTAATAATAATATTTAATAAACAAAAATAAAATTAAATCTTTATCCAGGGACTCACTGATCGTGGCCTTCTGCAACATAGCCACCTCGTTCTTTGCCGGCCTGGTGATTTTCTCCATTATTGGCTTCCTGGCCCACGAACTGAACGTGGATGTGGAGAAGGTGGTGGACCAGGGCGCAGGTCTGGCCTTCATTGTTTATCCGGAGGTGGTGACCCGCCTTCCCGTTTCCCCCATGTGGGCAGTTCTTTTCTTCGTGATGCTCCTGACTTTGGGACTGGACTCTCAGTTCGCTCTGATGGAGACCGTCACCACTGCGATTCTGGACAGGTTTCCCAACCTGCGGCAGTACAAGATCTGGGTGGTCCTCTCGGTGGCCATTTTCGGCTACATCGGCGGCCTGGGCTTTACTACAAATGTGGGTATTTGTAAAAAGTAATTTATGCTCTGAAATTTACTTTTATTTGTTATTCTGTAGAGTGGCATGTACTGGCTGCAACTGATGGACAAGTACGCCGCCAATTGGTCAGTTCTGCTGATTGCCATTTCCGAGTGCATTCTGATTGCCTGGATCTATGGATCTCAGCGGTTCCTAAACGACATCCAAGGAATGATTGGCAAGCGATCCTGGTTCTGGAACTTTTTCTGGGGCGTCATGTGGCGCTACATTACCCCAGCCACTCTTCTGGTGAGTTTTTATTCTGATTTTTTTTAGTACAGAAGTTTTTTAATAATCTATTTTATTGGTTTTAGTTCATTTTGTTCTTTAACTGGGTGGAATACAAGCCGGCCAAGTATGGACACTATGTGTACCCCATGTGGGCGGATGCAGTGGGCTGGATCGTTGGACTCCTGCCCGTCCTGGTCATCTTCCTGGTGGCCTTTCAGGAGATCTGGCGGGCGCCCAAGAACCTCAACTTCGCTGAGCGCATCAAGCACCTGCTGCAGCCCACCGCCGAGTGGGGACCAGCCGGAAGACCCTGTGTCAATCTGCATGCCGAGCGTTACCAGAGCCAGAATTACGACGGAGTGACCAATACCCAGATCCTCATCGAGGACGTTCCCTCGCCCAAGCAAAAGTCGAACAAGAAAGAGAACCAGTTGACTCTGGATGTGGATGTGGATGTCGAGTGCCTGCCATTGGCAACTGTGGGCAAGCGGCCAGGTCCTGCAAAAACAATGGGCAAACAAAGCAGCAGCAGCAATCTACAGACAACTGCCAAAAATGGCACTCACAAGTCGCCAACCGAAATTAGTCCCAGCAAGCAGCCACTTATTCCGGCTGAAAAGGAAAATAAATCAGCCACCACAAAGGTCCTGGCTGCAGGAACATTGAGCAGTGGACGCGAATGCACCACAATGTCCACTTTTGCGGGCGGCGGGGAAAAGAATCCAACAAAAGTCAATTCGGCGGCAGTAGCAACCACTATTGCAGCCACAATGGCAACCAGCAACACCACGACATCAGCAACTGTTGCTGCTTCTGCAGGTGCCATTAAAACACCGCCATCAAATGGTGTTGCACCTACAAAAGCAACAGTTGCTGCTGCGCCGAATGTTGCCGCTGGCAAGACGGTGACGGCTGCAAATGTTTCTAGTGTTGCTGCTCCAATTAAAGTAACGCAATCGGATAAAATGGCTTCTGCCAAAACGACAATATCAGCAAGTGTTGTAACCACAACTTTGGTCAGTGTCTCGACAGGAGCAACAAATGCTGCTGGTGCAAATAACAAAACAACAGTTGCCACTGGCAAAACGGAGTCAGCTGCACTTAATGGTGGTGCTGCAGCTTCAGTTAAGATAGCGCCATTGGATAAAATGGCTCCACTTAAGATAGCACAGCCAGAAACTGCATCGACTGGAAAAATCATTGCTGCTGGGGCCAATGGTAAAGCAGCAATTGCTTCTGGAACGTCAAATGCTGGAAATGTTGCAGCTCCAGTTAAAGTACTGCAATTGGAAAAAACGGCTCCACTTAAAACGACAATATCATCAGCTGTTGGTGTTGCAGCTGTTGGCAAGGACACGACCGTCGCCACTGTTGCTCCGGTAAACACAACACAAGCAGTAAAAATCACACCAGCAACAACTGTTGCTGCTGCGCTGCCAGCCAAGTCCACATCATCGGTGTCAAAAGCAAATATTGACTCTGGCACCAAGCCAACGGCTCCTTTATCCACTTTCAAGTCGGAAGGCAAACCAGCAACAAGCATTGTGACCACAGCGGCAAACGTTAATACCAGTGTGACAAACGGCAAAGTCAACCCGAGTGCAGGAGACTCGTCAGCAGCTATAAATATCACAGCAATTACACAGCCAGCAGTCACCCAAAAACCGGCAGCAGCAGCAGCAGCAATATCAAAGCCGCAAGCAACGCCTTCGAAAACTGCCTCGAACACAAAGCCGATTGCGTCTGCCACAGGAAGTGGAAAGGTAGCCGCATCGGGCGATATGTCCAGCAACAGGACAACAGATAATCCAACGGCAGTTAAAGGCCCAGCCAGCAGCAACATGTCAGCAAAGTCGGCGAAAGCTGGCAAAACAAAACCAAACGAAACCAGCCCTACAAAGTCAACAGTGAATCCCATAAAGCCCGGCTCAACCAGCCCCACAAAAGCTGGACCATCTGCTGCTGGCGCGGTAAAGCCAGGAGCAACTGCAGCCAAGACAGCAGCAACATCAGCTGCAGGCGGCAGCAAGAAGGCGGCAACATCGACAGCAGCAACATCTGGCAGCCAGGCCAAAACGAAAGGCAATTCATCAGCAGTAACTAAGAAGAAATAAGCCATAGAAACTCACAGGTAGGATCTATTTGGGTCAATGCAAAACGGTTGAACGCGCAGTTCCCAATATCGAAAACTATTTTTATAAGTATATATATAAATGTGTATGTGTGTATCTAACGAGCTAAGCAACCCATTTAAACTGTAAATGTAAAGAGTTTAATTAGGCAATTATGTAAACGGTCACAAAGTAAAATCAAATATTTTATAGATATTTAATTTGGATTGGCCAGACGAGAGAGGCAGAACGAACCTTCATGTTTCCTATGCGAAAGTACCTATTTATCAGTCATCACTGTGGGATAGCTGTTCCTTAGTACCTAATTTCCAAATGATGATGATGGCAGGACGGTGGCGGAAAGACTCGATTGTAATAACCGAAAAAGTTAACGTAGGATTTAGGTCAGGATTGCTGGTGTTTGTTTAGTTTTGTGTGTGTATATCCCCTTGGACACCCAGTAATTGGGTGACAAGTAATTCGAGAGCAATGTTGAAAGTGCAATGGAAAACGTTGAGTTTTAAAAATATATAAATTTATATACAAATATACAAAGGTTACAACTAATCAATTTATACAAATGAGAGATCATTTGATTGGTTTTTTTTACTGCAAATATTCTTAAGACTACTTTGGAGGGACAAAAACAATGGAGGGCGGAGGTATTTTTCCGTTTTATAAGTGCGTACATTTGTTTATAGATCTGTATACATCACCCGGAAAAAAAAAGTAAACCTTAATCTGTAAATGTAAGGTGTATCTATGTGCTCACTGTACTCTATGTTTTCTGTGCTAACGAGAGACTCATGTACCTAAATGTTAATCAAGTTGCATCAAATCCCTATTTGTGTGCATTTGTATAGTTAAGGCAAATATTTAGAAATGTTTTATGTGTGTGGAGTAGATGGAAACTAAGCCTAATAAGAAAAAATGCTCACGAGAAAACAAGAAAAAAAACAATAATTACAAGTACATTTCTAGAATTTATATAACCATTGTTGTGTATTCATGTTGAAAATAAATTATATAAATATATTAAAATATACAAAAATAGAAACAAATATAATATTCGTAAATATTTATATGTGTTTGTACCTGTAGTTAGTTGGGAAAATTAATATACCACTCATTCAGAAATTATTTAAGTTGATTACCATTGCTTTTTAGTTTATTTTGATAATATATTATTGCAAATTTTGACGCATTCAATTGAAAACCAAAAGTTTTAATTCAACCCCTGAAAATGTGTGATAAATAATTTGCTCCGGCTCAAAGTAATTTTCAATTTGTGTCAAACATACTTTAGGCGTAAGTAAAAACTTGAAAACAGGAATATATATTAATATGCGAATTGAAATTGTTGTAATTTGAGTTTGTTGTTGTTGATTGTTTAGCGCAGTAGCTGTGACACAAGCCTACATACATACATATGTACCTAGAACCTAGAACATTAAATCAGACATTAAATGATATGGAATAATAGGCCATCGATGTTGCATGTTTGTTAGTTAAACTGGATGTGTACCTGTAAAATGAAAATTGCAACGTAATCTAGATGGAATTATCAAATAAATACAGATAAGGAAATATGTAATGGCTGTTTGAAAAGATATAAATAATAACATAAGCATTTCCACATAAATGTTAATGTAATGCCGCAATTTGCTCAAACCTAACTTAAGTCACAAGTTTAAAACACAAAAACATAAACTGTCAATTCCGACAAGATATTTATAATTTTAAAATAAAACATATTAATCAATTGGCGTATAAAATAGTGAAATAAGAAGAGTTTACTTTAAACATTGAACAAAGGAGCTTCAAATTTTATATGAAACTTTGGGATGCCAACGGAATAGATCAAAATGTTTAAATCAAACTCGAAAACGCTAGGCAAGTAATCAAATAACTGCAATTCATATCCCTATAAACCAAAAACGGAAAAATCTTGAAATAATACCCATCAACCGGAAAACCCACCAGCTCAATGTAAACATTTATAATATGCATGATCAACAATAAAAACTCGTGTATAAATCGAGTCAAATAAATTTAAGCAGAAAAACTATTTGATGTATGCATTTTAAGCGAATAAATATGTAAGAGTAGATAACTGAATTCAAAACTAAGAAAGAACAAACAGCACATTTAGTAACACTCTTATCCATAACCACGAATCCTTTGTAAAATTTATGTTAGTTTAGTTCAGTAAATCAAAAGTACTATGCAGGGTTTTGAAATCAGAAAAGTTACTTTCAGACAGAATTGAACGGCTACACAGTAATTTATCGAAGAAATGCAAAATCAAAAAATCTCACCTCTGTTCCTTTAAACAAAATTGAAAAGCAAAAACCGGGGGCTAACTATACAAAATATCTTATTAATATAGTTGTATAACATTTTTGCTGTTCTGGTAATCAAAAATATATGTTATATCAAATTAAAAGTGTAAGCAAATATTACACATATTCCACAGATGCCAATAACTAAACGAGTAATCATAAATAATTATGTTAAAATGTAACTTTAAGTGAAAAACAATATTCATGAATAAATATTTATGGGTTTTAACAAAAAAAAAGTTTGGTTTGTGGATTCGCCCCAAAAAAAAATGTGGAGGGATTCAAGGATGATATAGTTATCTCACGGATTTATAACCGATATGAGCACCGAAGGCGTGGTCCCACCATCTTACTCTACCTATTCCTCAAGCATTATCGGAATTAACTATAATGAAGATTAATCCGGCCAAAGTAGAGGGGCATTTTCTACATACAACATTTTCAAAGTTTTTATATGAACTCGTACTTGTTTAGCGGCACGACTCTCTACCCATAACGCCACGGTCGCACTCGTTCAGGTCTCGTCTATACAATATCTCAAGCAATCACATAATAGAACCCGCTCGGCCGGCCTTAACTTGAGATATATTTAGCGGCGGCCGGCTGGTCACGTGGCGTAGGGCGTAAGATGCGAGACTACAAAGTAGTGTTACGCGGGCTCAAATCCCACTCGAAGCTATTAATTTTTAATTTTTTCTTTTATTTTATATAACTTTGCTAAGCCTTTGGAATGCTGTTAATTTTTAAAATCATTCAGAGTAGCCAATAAAATTTGTTGCAATCTAACGCAATTTCTCTTTCTCCTTATCAAGTTTTTTAAAAATAAGACTGCAAAAGAATTCCTTTAAAACAGATAATTATGGTTTTTATCTAACAATATTTTGGTTAGATTGCACTTAAAGGTACACTATATGAAAATTAGAATACAAGTTCACGCCTTTAGACTCAAGCCGCCAGACTGTGAAAATTGATTAAAAGGAAATAACCGGCTAAAATTAATTTGACATGGGGTACGGGAAAACATGTACAATATAATATAGCAAAACTCCCTAATCTAACTCATTAAATTTTACTTTGAATTAAATATCGACGCTAACATGCTGCTTCAAAATTTTATTATATTGATTTTGCTGGCCAGTCTCATGGATAAATCTACTGCAAAAGTATCCGATGGTTACAAATGGTGTACGGTGGTTAGAGATGGAATTTGTGCAAATTAAAGTATTTATTTATTTCCAATAAATATAATTACCAAAAAAAGTTGCATTCAATTGATTTATAAAAAAAATTATCGCCACATGGTTTTAAAAACACATTTATCCTAACTTACAAGTTACACACATGTTTTTTATCATTCGCGAACTGGACAAAATAATGCTTTGAATAAGCCATTGGCTTTTATCAGACTACAGTTGTTCAACTGAAAACGTTTGAAAAGCATCGAAAATGCCAGTTCAACCAAGTTTATTTTCGGTTATGGTTAAGATTCTCTTTCTTAGAGCCACTGTTATGGCCAAACCCAATTCAGAAACTCTTATACAAAACATCCTTGGGGTCTTCGCAAAGAACACAAGCCTCAGCAATGGTGAGCTTCCTATGGTCAGCAATTATTTCTGTCCGCTCATCCTGCTCTTCATTTGGATAGTCTCTATATGTAAGGTTTATAGTCCCTTTTAACAAACTGCTTAACTTTTGTATACCCCCAGGTATTTTAATTTGTACCTGCGTATACTGCAGGTTCGTTAAATCGGAAACATTCACCACCTACGACTCGAACAGCTTTGAGATGCAGGATGTTCATATCCTGGAGCCCACACTCAAACATGTTAAAGGATGTGCTTGCTTGGAGTGCCTGCATCGTCAGTTGGCCAAGGAACTGGAAAAGAAAAATGTAATGTGAATGGAATAATAACTACAGTTTATGTTCGATTTCGTACAAGATTTACGTTTAATTGTAGGTAATAACCAAAGGTATAGTTCTGCAAGAACGTTTTTTGAATAAAATATAACTTTGAGATTCATGATTTTATCGTAAATAGCTGCAAATATCGAAGTAAATTAATTCAGGTAATTAATTATGGTATAGTCATCCAATACCTTGGTCTTCATTGAAAATTTGTATGTATTAGTTTGATATTTAAGAAAATATAACTTTGAGATTAAAGTTTTTATCTAAAATAGCTGCAGATACCCAAGTTGGTAATAGCACAAGACTTACTTTTCTTTCTACATAGTTAAATGCAATAGTTAAAGTTCTTTTAGAACTTGGTTAAAGTACTTTCATATTTGGTAACATTTTGATTTTTTTGGAATGAGTTAGGTAATGCAAACTTTAAAGTATTAAATAGTGATTAGTCCTAATTGACATCCAACTTGGACAAAGTCAAGACGTCCTCGTGAATGGGAGACAATGTTAGTTTCATATTGTGATCCCTGACCAAATCACAAATCATTCGAAACTGTTTGTCCGAAAACATTTTACGGGAAAATCCTATCGATTTCTTTCCAGAGCTCTCGAACTCTTTGATTAAATCCTCTATTTCATCTTTGAAACTCTGATCCTTGGCTTCCTTCTCCACCTCAGCTGCCGTTTTCGGGGCGCCTGATTGTGAATTCTTTGCCGAAAAAGCCCGCGACCACAAATCGCGGGTGGCCTCCTGGTACTGGCTGATTCTCTTGTCCATGCTGATAATCTCATCGCTTATCTCCTTGTTCTCCGGCTGCTTGGCCTGGGCCTGAAGAAAGACCTTACGGGCACGGTCATAATCACCCAAGGCGGACAGGGCGCGACCCTCTTGGAAGAGAGCCTTGCAAGAGGGATCGTTCTCGGTCAGACGGCGCAGGGACTTCATCATGATGCAGACGCGCTGCGGCTTGTTCAGCTTATTGTAGACGATCATCAGGTTTTGCTGAAACGATTTACGAAAGATAATCAATAATCGAACTAAAAATTTGTTTTACTTAGATTAAGAAAATCGTAAGATTATTATCTTTAACTCAGCTCATGTAATAAGCTTTCTTGGTTCTTACAGTCAAGGTTATCAGCAGTGCGGTTTGCCTGCGCTCCTCCTCGTCATTGGCCATTCGGCAGTAATTCAAGGAATTGACTGCCCTTTCGAAGGCAGTCGCCGCATTCCGATAGCTCCCGCGCTTCACGCAATCCTTGCCATGGAGATGCAAGTCCTGCGCCTTGGGATAGACCACGCAGAACTTGTCGCGATCCTCCTTGGGGATCGCATCGATGGCCTCCGCATCGCCTATAAGCGAGAAGTCGATGACCTCAACCTTGAAGAGCCCGTCCGCCTTGGGCTTGATGCGTGGTGGACATCCCAGTTCCCGGAAGAGCAGCTTGTAAGAGATGATGAACTCGGCCTGTTCGTATGGGCGCATGGTACGCACAGCGGCCTCCAGTCCCTCGAGCACCATTTTCTGGCCAGTCTCGAACTCGAACTTGGTTCCCCGCAGCATGGAAGAGTCGAAGGGATGGCTATCGCCCTCCCAGTAGCCACTGTACCTGATCGAAACCCTGGCCTTTTCCGGCACCAGATCTCGCTCCACGTGACCCTCGCGGGTGATCCGTTTGTAGATGTATTCATCGATCTTGTTCATCAGGGCACGCAGCTCGTCAAAGGACTGCGTCCACGGGGAAAGCAGAGCCACGTTATCCACGTCCTCGGCATCCTCATAGTCGCTGTCGCTCTCGCCACCCAGAAAATCGTTACTGCCATTATTATTCTGATGTGACATGTCCACCTCGAATTCAGCGCCGTTTTTCACAAGTTCCCTGCAGTAGTAACCAAATCATGGTTATGCCCACGTGCTTATTGCAGAATTGATGTTTAATGACTTACGCAAAGGACAAGGGCTCCTTGAGCAACTGGGGGCTGCAGGGAAAGTAGGACTCTTCCATAATTAAAAGAAATCTTATATTTTTTCCGTTGAGAAATTTCCGAAATTGCGCTTTAGTTTGTATTGTTGAAAAGAGACGGAGCTTTCTAGTGATGGCTTAGTTTTGCAATCGATTTTCTGTTTCGATAGCGATAAAGGATTTGATAGTAATCAAATTCAAATTGAAAAGGCATTCAAAATTAAAATTTTCTTATTTAAAACCAAAATTTCCGCTTTATCAAGAATATTTTCAGGTTTAAAGTCGTACAAATAAATACAATTAAAAATATTTAACTCTGCGCTGAAATATCTTATAAATTTCAAATACGTAAGAATATGCGCACTAACTATTCACATCTCTGTAAACTATAAATCTTTGAAAATAAACAAAAAAATTTAATGACCCATTATTTCTTTTCAAAATCTACTCCGTAATGCTACATCAGCAGTCAACATAGCAAAGACGCTGTGTATGTATCGCCTATTAGAACAAAGATTGCTACAGCAACACATCACTTCCGTTTAATATGAATGTTTATTCAAAATTGAACACTTATCGCTCTCCAAACACAAGCACTCCAACGAGAAAATCTTTTTGTAGTGTAATAATAAAAAACTAACAAACATAATGAGGAATGCATTCTTAATGGCGTTGTGTAATGCTCATCATGCGATATGCGGTATGACTATGATTTGTATAATAAAGGGGGCTATTCTAAGGATGCAGTAAATAATATAAGGTATTTGACGATTCCCCGTTCACTTCTTTAGCAGCTTGCTCATGTCTTTGTTCTGCTTGTGGATCTTTAAGTCGACATCTTCGATTTTATAGTTCATATTATCCAGCAGTTCGTTCTGCGACTCAATTTCGCCACCCAGATCAGTGGCCAACATCTTTAGCACCGACAGATTGCTGCACATTTCCTCCAAATTGGCATCGATCTGGGCCTGGAAGGGATTTCCCGCTTGCCGCTGGGTACGGTAGGTACTGCTGGGATCGCCGCGTAGCTGGCTTACTGGATGATTGTCGTAGCGCTCGGCTGGAGAAAGCGGAGCGGAGGGACTTGCTCCGCCACAAGCACCCAAATCAATGTTGCTATTGGCCTCCTGGGAGGACTGACTGGCCGTGGGCGAACCGGCAGCGGAGGAGGGCTGATCCCGGTTGCCGGAGAGGTAGTTTTTCAGGCCGCCAAAGACGCTCTTAAGGCCAGTCAGGTGCCGCTGGCTAAAGCGCAGCGTAGAGTTGATCTCATCCAGCTGGTGGGAGGTCTTCTCCAACTGCTCCCTTTGCTTGGCCAGCTCCACGGCCGTGGCCTTGCCCACCTCCTGGGTTTCGTAGAGCAAGCCTTGGGATGAAAAAAATACATATTTGAATTACGCCCCTTAATTGGCTGGCAATTGACCCCCTTGGTTACGGTTACCCAAGCTCTTGTTGGTGGAGTCCAGAGTTCGCTGCTCGATGGCCCTCCTCTTTTCCGCATAAGCCAGTCGCTGGGCGGCCACCGAGGGCGATGAGGTTATCTCGTCTTCGTCATCATCCTCAATTTCAAAGGGATTAGTGCTCCGCTGCTGCGGAGCCTTGGGTGCTCCAGTTCGCTTGTTCTGCAAAAAAAGCTCATCGTCCACGTCCTCGAACTTGTCCACGTCATCAAAGTGATTGTTTACTGGCTGCAGGTAATTATAGGCCATCTTAGGGACAAGATAAATTTCCAAATTGTCTAATTTTGTTGTGTTTTCATAAACTTTTATATTCTTTGTTGTTGTCCGTCGATTAAGAAATATCGATTGCAATAGGGATGGTAGCAAAGTAGACACTAAAACTAGCTAGTTTAACAGATGCGATGACTCCCACCGATATATTAAAATATATATCTAAAAATTGAAAGCATTAATTTACTGAACAGCAACAAAGAAATTTCAAATTTCTTTATTTAACTTAAGCTCTTAAGTCATGATTCATTTAGTACTGGTAAAATACTATGATATTATTATAAGTACTGTGTAATAAGCTTAAAATTAAGATTAAGCCGAGTTCAGGGACGGAATGTTTGTTCAAATTTCAATTAAGCAAATTACTTTTTAATGAGCAAAACGAAAAATCACTTTTATAGAATCCCCCTCCTGCCACTTTGGCGGGAAAAAAGTAGCTTGCCATCACTGACGGATATCGAACCAGCGTTTCTATCAATTTTCCAGCAGGCGTCGCAGTTTTTTGTAACTTTTTGGAACTGAATAGGACAGAAACTTTAGTTTAATTTAGCAAATTGCAGCAGCCGAACGTCACAAGGTTCAGGACACTCGTCGGCGATCGAGAACAGCTTCAAATGCATTGCAAATCACACTTTGTGGCCGCGTCATGTGCGGCGCTGCTTCTGCTGGCGGCGGCAGCGCAGTCGGTGGATGCGGCGACGGCGCAGTCAGGACTGCAGCCAGGTGGCAAGTTAATCGAATTGGACGAGGACAATTGGCACCTGATGCTCCAGGGCGAGTGGATGATTGAGTTGTAAGTGCGAAAGCGTATACCATTGTGTCACCCATCCACATGGCACCCCGGCAGCCCCTGACGTAATGCGAACGGGGCGTGGTGCGTCGGCTTTCTTCAGCCGGCAAGCTGGTTTTTTCTTTCTCTGGAATGCCATACATTCCTTTCTTTGTGGCATGATGACTCATCCCCTGGCATCTGGTTTAAAAACGTGTGTTTTCCTCCCATATTTTTAGCTTTGCTCCGTGGTGCCCGGCCTGCAAGAATCTGGCTCCCACATGGGAGCGTTTTGCCGGAGTTGCGAAGGATGTAAAGGTGCAGGTGGCCAAGATCGATGTGACCACCTCGCCGTCGCTCAGCGGACGCTTCTTTGTCACCGCCCTGCCCACCATCTACCAGTGAGACATATAACCCTTTAAATTTCAAGAATTATAGAATAACTATTTTAATCCCTTCCAGCGTCAAGGATGGCGAGTTCCGGCAGTATCGTGGTGCCCGGGATGGCGATGCTCTCCTCTACTTTGTGAAAAAGCAGCAGTGGCAGAGCATCGAACCGCTGTCCGCATGGAAAAAGCCCGATACCATCCATATGTCCGTGCTGTCCTACTTCTTCAAGCTGTCACACACTCTTAAGGTACGTTCACCTAGCCTGGTTATCACCTCAGTTCATTGCATGAGACATAAGCGGAAGCTTATCAGCGGAGTGATCCCCGCTGACCCAAAAGATTGGCGCCCATTACTCATTACTCTGGTCTTTGCTCTCTGCTATTGTCTTGTATGTTGGGTTCATGTACTAATAGCACACCCAAAAACTCTTTAAGGACTTCAACGGGCGCCTGCAGGAGGAATACGGCCTGCCCACGTGGGGCTCCTACGCCCTCTTCGCCATCGCCACCATCTTTGTGGGCGCCGCCCTGGGGCTGCTGCTCGTGTGCCTTGTGGACTTTGTGTATCCACCCAAGAAATCGCAGCGCCAGAGCTTTTCCGAGTCGCAGGACAATCTGGCCGAGGGCGTAGAGGATTTGGCCACCGAGGAGATCGAGGATGATGGTGAGGCCGAGGAAAACGAGGATGAGCAGCGCGAGAGTGAAGAGGAAGAACCAGAGGACGATGACGACGAGGAGGAGGAAGACAGCGAGGAGCAGGCGGGAGATCTGGCATCACAGGAGAAGGAGGCCGACAGCGAGCCGGAGAAGGCTGAGAAGCCGGAGCCCAAGCAGGCCGGAGATGCTGCGCCCGAAAAGACGGAACAGGTGCGCAAGCGCAAGCCACGCAAGGGCGATTAGGTGCAGCCGGGTCCCTCAGGATCAGCCTTAGCGATCAGAAGCGGCAACAAAAAGACTAACACACAGAATCGAGAGAAACGCAACCTCTTACCAAGCATCATTCAAGCAGAACCCCTGCTTTGCCTTTGCGCACAAAACTGATTGTTTCCCCCACTTAATCCTAGCCAGAAAACGGCACCTCATGTATTTCTTAATTATGTAAAACAAAATTATAATCTATTAAGCGAAAACAAGCGTAACAATAACTAAATTTAACTTTAGTCGTACACATGTATTTTCTTTCCCCAAGCATTGTATTTTGTGTTCTCATTGTTTTCTACACAATTATCTTCTCTTAAGCATTTCATTTGTAATTGAATTTCAATCAAATTGCAAATTGTATTAAATTTTCGTATTACAAAATAAACTAAAAACCAATTAAACTGTCTATATTAATTTAGCTGGTTTTAATATCAGTGGAACATTTGGTTTTGTTGTTAAATACTAACTCATGTCCATTAAATAACGCTAATAATCTTCGGACAATAATTCATATTTAAAGAATAGACATTCTATTTCATTTGTTTTTGAAAAACAACCCCATTCGCTTTCGATTATTTATGGCTGCTTATAATTTTACCGCAAATGTTTTCATACAATACCAGTGTTCCATAAGGTTTATTATTTTTTCATATTCAATTTTAATAAACAAGAGTCCACGGATAAGAAATGGTTTTACAAATTTATTATCAGTTTATTGTAGGAGAATATGAAATAAGAAAAATATCCCTGCAATTTCGTTTATGTGTAAAACTACAAATAATTGATATAAGATGTGTGTGGGTTGTGTGGCCGAAATTATTTAAATTTTCAAATACATAATGTTTTCAAAAGTCAAAAAAAATCGGTAACTATTTCTTAATAATAGTTTGCTGGTTGCGGCATACAAATATTCATGTCTATCTTATAAAAAGAGTACAAAATGAATATACAAATATCTCTATAAAAACGTGATTCATCTTCAGCGTTGGTTTGCCTGATCTGTTGGCACTTGTGATTTAAATCGGAATTAACTGGATTAATTACAACATTTTGATTGTTAAACAAATTATAATTCTTTCAACAAATTGCTATGGCTATTGTAAGGTTCATTCTGGGGGTTTCGGGGATAAGGTACTTGTGGTGTGTGTGTATATTATAATTTCTATATATATAAAATATATATTTGATATATATTGTTTGGTTGTAAAAGTTGTACTATTGCAGCGTATGGAGGAAGTTTGTTGGGTAGTTTTGGACTTAGGGATCAGGATAAGGATTATGACAGGGATACGGATAGTTGGTTCGTTTTGGGCTGTGGTGTGTTTTCAAATACTTTAAGTAATTGTCTGTATGTGAGTTTGAAAATTTTGCTGTTGTGAATTTCGGTTTCAGGCTGGCTTCAGTTAATTCGTATTCGTACAAAATGATTAGATGTCAACAAAAACAATTGTTAATTACTTTGAAATATTCAAAAAGCAATCGTCGTGCGTCGTCAACTGCAGCTGAAAGCAGATTCTCCAACCGAGAAGGGTTGGAATTGCTTTCAGCCCCAGATATTTGTTGTAAAATTAACTTGGGGGCCAACTTTATAACAAAGGCGCACTTCAGGCTTAAACTACTAAATAACTAATTGAGGTATGAGTGTGATGAGGCTGTCCTCTTGCAGAGCTTGCTTGATGAGTGGAAATTTTGATGGGGCCAAAAGCTGGCTGAATTTCGTAAACCGGTCTATTGCATAAAATTGCAGGTCTTCGTCCGTCGCCCATTGGGCACGGACAAGTAAAAAAGCGTAGCAAACTAGTTGGGCAAAGGAAATGGATGTGGAGATGGCAATAGCAAAGGACTGCTAGGCCACGAAATCGAGCGGCCGGTTGAAGCCACCCTTGCGATTCATGTACTGGCGGTACTTTCGCTTCAGGATTACATGCACTTCTCCGACATCGTTGCCCTCGACCTTCCTGTTCTTGGTGGTGTCGAACGTGCAGAATCCCATTGTCTTGAGCATCTCGACCTCTTCCGGCGATTTACCCTCCAGGTCTGCCTCGTTGATCTTGGGCCGGTCGGCAGCTGTAGCCGCCGCATTGTTCCTCGTCGTCCTTCGCGACGTCGATGGTCCAGAGCTGCTGTTGCCGCCGCTGCTCCCGCCGCCTCCTCCTCCGGCGCCCCTCGACCGCGATCTGCAAACCATAAATTGCATTGTGAGCTGTGAGTTTCAATACTTTTCAGTTGGTGAGTGACAGGACCAGTTGATTTGATTGCATTCGAATTGCAACGAGCCTGGGAATTAACTGGGGCGACCTTGAGCATTGTGCACCCGATTGTGCAATTTGAAGTTTTAATTAAGCGAAATGCGACACTTTGCAACCGGTCGGGTTGCTTCATTAAAGGTCTCATTTAAGACTAGGTTTTTGGCAAATAATTTGAGTTTTCATTCATAATAATTTTAGGGCCCAAAAACCAGCTAAGTAATCATAAATGCATCTGGGAACCGGCTAGGGCGGATGTCAAAAGATCTTATAATAAAAGCTTATAACCGGTTATTAATATAAAATCAAATTAATTCGTTTTAAGGAAGAAAATTAAGCTCCTAGTGACTAGTACTTCAATAAAATTATCCAAATAATAAAATTGCTTTCCATTTGATATATATAAAAAAAGATTTCTTTAAGGTTTAGCTCAAAATTTTTATGGGATATTTCCTGAAAACTTATATATTCAAGTAACCTTGCGCTTGCTTTATAAAAACAAAAAACTTTAGTTATAGATCTCTGAAGTTATAAGACAATTTCTCCCAAACTATAACAGATGTGTCTACTTCGAAATAGTTATAAGATGGCTGCAGCTCCAGTCTTTTTTATATTTTGTTTTGTATTTCGCTCTTATATGACATTGTGTAGATAACAGATAATCCTTAGACCAAGTATAAAAGGTGGTAAATGGTGTCGCTTAGGACATGTCCTCGATAAGGGCCGCTCGCAGCTTGGTCGTAACCGTGGCTGGCTGTGCCTGGTTCAGCTTGAAGACGCTCTCGATCACCGAAATCTCTGTGGCCGTGGTGTTCATGCCCACGAAGGACAGCCAGTCGTTGACCACCATGCCGGCGGCGAGTACCTCGCTGCCCCGGTTTACTGTTCCCGCCACAAGGGGAACCTGCAGCAAGGACGACAGCTCGTCCTGGTCCTGTATGCTCGTCTTGGGGTGCACCATGCCACCCTGGTTGCTCAGCACGGTGTATGAGCCCACAAGTGTGTTGTCGGCGATTGTCTGCCGGAAGACCTCTACTTTCAGTACATCCCCGATGATCTCCTCGGTCTCCTTATCCAGATCCGGGTGAACCAAGGCCACATAATCGTTGCAGGCAATGACGTTGCCAAGGGCGGACAGGCGCTCCTCCACGCGCTGGATTTTCACGGCATCCGGCAGACTGTTGCGCAGGTGCTGCAGCTCCTCATCGGTGGTGGAGTTGGGCACCAGCAGGCCGTTTCTGTTGCCCACAGTGAGGCGTCCAATAATCCGGCAGCCGCCCACATTGGCGTGCACCACTGGGATCGTCTCCGCAAGCTCCGCCTCGAAGGCGCTGTAGAAGGTCTCGGATCCGCCAATAGCCACCAGGCAGTATGTGTTGGTCAGCTTGGTGAAGACGCCGATGTCGTCGTTGTTCTCGAATTGCACGCGCAGCGCCATTTTCTCTGTATATTCCGGGTTGCTCTTCTTTTAGTGGTTACTCTCTTATCGGATTTACTGGCCTGACTGAGCCCGAATCTTTAGAGCCTCTGGATTTGGTTTATATGGCCGGAAAACTATTTAAACACCGTGATGAAATTCGCACAATTTCACTTCACGTGGTAATTTTTTATGTTGAGCCGCCAGAGCTGCATAGCCATCGATTGTCTGCCTATCGAACTGGGGGCCTATCGATACTTGCGAGTAAATAAACAAGTTCTGGGAGGGTGGTTAAAGGGGGTAAACGGGAAACTTTTTAAATACCTAGATTATTTCCATAAATCTAACTGTTTAAACACTCAATCTAAAAAGAAATGCCTAAGTTTTACTTATTTTCCTGTCGCTATTTACGATCTTATAAAGATTTTGTAATGGGGGATAGTTTACCCCCTTAAAATCTTTTGATTTAACCTGGATGCGCCCCTGATGTAACTTCTTATTTCTAGATTTTAGTCACTAGTTTTATACTTATCGATTTGGCTTTTGGTACACTACACTTTGTTATTCACCTAGAACGCCGGCCCCGCGCACGATCACGATCCCGCTCCCGTTCACGGCTGCGACTCCGGTCGCGCTCCCGGTCACGGCGACTGGGGCCCCCTCCTGCTCCTCCTCCTCCACCTGATCCTCCGGCTGGGGCCACTCCGATGGCCTCTCTTTCCCGGGAACGGCGCTCCCTGCGCTTCTTCCTTTCGGATCGCTCCTTCTCACGTCTCCTGTGTGCCGGCGAGGCGGGACTCCGACTGCGGCCCATTTCTCCGTTTCCGTTTCTGCTTGTGTGGCGGTTTAAGTACTAGATGGTTTGCCTGGGCATGAATGGGTTAGGTTATGTGGTGGCCATTCTATCTGACTATTCCAGCTCACCGTTGCTTTATGCTGTGTCTAGCATTATTTGGGCGACACCGGCGGTGGGGAAAAACGCGCTAACTTAAAACTAAAACAGAAATAAACAACGCGCGTTATCTCGCCGCGACGCCGAAACGGAATGAAGACACAAGGGATGCGATGGCCAAAACATATCAAGATATCTTTATATCGATATGCCATATCGTGACTCACGACAATACATCGAAATCGTTAACTCGATATTTTTTAAAAATGTGATCCGGCTGATATAACTGAACGAAATATCTGTAATTATTAATGATTAGTTTTACTGATAATTGTAATTATTGAATTTTCAATAACATGTTGAGCAATAAAGAAAAAAATTTGATAAAAAAACGAAGTGGTAGTTTATTATTTCTGTGTATTTATTTATAATCTATTAATCATTTACTTTTGTCTTAATAATTTTCGAATTTCACTATACCACCTACGTATAAATAAACCCGGTATATATATTTATCGTACCCAAGTTGTTAGTTAGCTTTTAGTTTTAAAAAATATATTTGTTATTTAATAAAATGTATAACAATAGAATATATTTAAATTTATTTCGATGATCATTATAATCATTAATGAGTAGCAAAATAGCATATTCTGTATATATATTTGTGATTAATAAAACTTATTCGCCATTGATAGATGAAATATACATATTTCTCCCATTATTTTTGTACCTCTAATATATATTTTAAGTATTCTTAAAAATATTCAGCGATCACAGTTCAAATGAACTACTACAATGGCGGTTCCTCTGGTTCGATCTATGATTTCGCGGTGCTGCCAACTCCTTGAAACGCAAAGAAAATGCATCTCGAAGATTAAGATACACACAACAATCCGTAAGTGCGTCAGAATTTTCAGAACCTGCGGTTCGCTAGAACTCTCGAAATAAGCAATTAAATGTTTGTGTACACCTGAATGCTATCGCGCAGTAGATAGCCCCTGAACATAGCGAAACATAGTGATCGCAACCGATCCGTCCAGTATTCAATATGTTGTCAGGTCTGCGAAATACCTCGGAGGCTGTTGCAGTTCTGGCTTCCCTGGGACTCGGTCTGGTTTTGCTCATCTTCGTGGCGACGACGCCGACATCCGTGGAGGCCACCCAGTCGGGGATTTACATAGACAATGGCAAGGATCAGACGATCATGCACCGGGTGCTGAGCGAGGACGACAAGTTGGACGTGTCCTATGAGATCCTCGAGTTCCTGGGCATCGCCGAGCGTCCTGCCCATCTGAGCAGCCACCCGTTATCAATGCGGAAGTCGGCTCCAAAGTTCCTGCTCGATGTGTATCATCGTATCACGGCTGAGGAGGGCCTGAGCAACGATCACGACCACGAGGACGATGACGACGATTCCTACGAACGTGGCCATCGGTCCAGGAGAAGTGCCGATTTCGGGGAGGAGGAGGATGAGGGCGTTGCCGGCGAGCAGAAGAACTTTATCACCGATCTGGACAAGCGAGCCATCGATGAGAGCGACATCATTATGACCTTCCTGAACAAGCGCCACCACAATGTGGACGAACTGCGTCACGAGCACGGCCGCCGTCTGTGGTTCGACGTTTCCAAGGTGCCGAACGACAATTACCTGGTGATGGCCGAGCTGCGCATCTACCAGAACTCCAACGAGGGCAAGTGGCTGACAGCAAACAGGGAGTTTACCATCACGGTCTATGCCATTGGAAACGGGCCGAAGGGCCAGCAAACCATGGAGCCGTTGTCCTCGGTGAACACCACGGGAGACTATGTCGGATGGCTGGAACTCAACGTGACCGAGGGTCTGCATGAGTGGCTGGTCAAGTCGAAGGAAAACCACGGGATCTACATTGGAGCACATGCCGTAAACCGACCAGATCGGGAGGTCAAGCTGGACGACATCGGGCTGATTCACCGCAAGGTGGACGACGAGTTCCAGCCATTCATGATCGGCTTCTTCCGGGGACCGGAGCTGATCAAGGCGACGGCCCACAGCAGTCACCACAGGAGCAAGCGTAGTGCCAGCCATCCGCGCAAGCGCAAGAAGTCGGTGTCGCCCAACAACGTTCCCCTCCTGGAACCGATGGAGAACACGCGCAGCTGCCAGATGCAGACCCTATACATAGACTTCAAGGATCTGGGCTGGCACGACTGGATCATCGCTCCGGAGGGCTATGGCGCATTCTACTGCAGCGGCGAGTGCAATTTCCCGCTCAACGCGCACATGAACGCCACAAACCACGCGATCGTCCAGACTCTGGTACACCTGCTGGAACCCAAGAAGGTGCCTAAACCCTGCTGTGCTCCGACCAGGTTGGGAGCTCTCCCCGTTCTGTACCATCTGAACGACGAGAATGTAAACCTGAAAAAGTATAGAAACATGATTGTGAAATCCTGCGGGTGCCATTGAATTCAATTTACCACTTAGTAATTAAGCAATTTAAAGCATTTCTGTGTAGATGTCCATCTCTGTACTAATCTCGAATATTTTTTATAGAAATATACAGCGTTGTACCTAACTGAAATCGGAATGAAATTTATTTAAAAAATGTTTGCAAATGGCCATAGATATCCGGATTATAATAACAAGAACTATGGCATTACTTTCAGTAAGCATAGCTGTTTATTGTCGTATCATTTAGTTAGCTGTTACTTCAACTAAAAATAGTCGTATACATAAAATCAACATTCAGGTAAAAACAAAACATAATATCAAAATGGTTCCTTAATGTTTAGATATGTATACACACTTATTTTGATTCCGATTAGTTTCCTCTTCAACATACATAACCTTCAAAATAAACATTCAGGTAAAAACAATAATACTTGCAAATACTTATGACTTCACAATGCTAAGGTATACATACTTATTATTATTATGATTCTGATTAGTTTTTACTCCAATTAAAAATGATCAAGCGAATCACTTGTAAAGTTTACATTCAGGTAAAAACAACATTATATACTGATAAACCAAATTCAGACAGCAATGATATTTGGGTTGTATACATACATACATACTAATTTTGATTCTGGCTGTGAACACACAATGAAAATATTAACCAAAAACCAAGCTTTATCGCTTGTGAATCCAATGATGTCGGAATGCAAACAGATCCATAATTAAGTTTCCGACACGTTTGTCAATTAGACAAGACATTAAGCGACCATCAAATACTGGCACGTTAACATTTAACGATATACAAGCCTCTCTAAAAGGAAAGCACATTAGATTTGAATGCTTTTTGGAGTGCATTTTATACTCACAAAATTTCATGCACTGGAATGGAGTTTCGGAAATATTCCTTCAACGTAAATACACCATTAATAGTTTTGGCTCGACTAACGCTGAGCATTAATGGTGGATCTTTTCTGTACAAAATCACAAAGATATGTCTGTTAGGTGACTCAATGGGTCTGGCAAATTTGCCGAGAACACTCTCAATATAGGCTGCAGTGCTCCTAGTGTAGAACTCCTCACATTCGCCCTCTGAGAAAAGCAGGAAAAACTGCCTCTCCACGAAATGGGAGTTAAATTGTTCGGCCTTTTGGAACAACGCCAGATTCTCATCAATTTCCCGAATCCAACTGAACTGCTCATTCACGGTCAGAAGGTACAAGGCTGGCAGCTGGATAGTTGGAAAAAAATTAGTGGACGGAGGCTTGGGAAAGCCCACGAAAGACTCCTCGCTCTCAAAGATTTTCGACAGGGTTTCCGCCAGTGCGGCATAATTTGAACCCGTTACGGTGTCGGTGTACCACATCTCGTGGTCGCTGCAGTGCTTCAGCAATTCATGGTACATTTTAAAGAAGTACTGACGCGTTCTCATGATCATCTCCGCAGATGTCTTGGACATAACCATCCAGATCCACTCATCTATAAAGAGATTTACGTTGCGATCGGTCGAAGTCGTTTGTGTGTCGCATATTTGAGAAAGTCGAAGACGGGGAGGTCCTTAGTAAATAAATCATACATATAAGACTATAAAAAATGTATGTCTTATGAGCTTACCAGAAAATAAGGCCACTGCCAAGGGTACAACTAAGGTGGCATATATAATATGGTTCTTTTGCTTGGTGCACACAATCCATGGTGTGCGAAAATTCAAAGCCGAAGTGTTTAAAGGCTCCAAAAAGTCACGCAACACTGTGTTGGGATGCAGGTAAACATTCCCGGAAAAGGCTGATTTCAAACAATTTTTTCCGGTATCTACGGCACAAATATTTGGATACATGCCGCCCGTCAAGGCCGCCTTCACAATATGCCAATTTCCAGACATCTGGTTAAGGTTCAGAATGCTCAGCTTTCCACGACTGTGAATCAAATTGGATGCCCGCAAGGAGCTTACAAGCTCGGTGCGCGTGAAGCTGAGTTGTTCCATCAATCCGTTTAGCACAAAGTCATATTCATCCGTCAGATATAGTGGCGCTATCTTGTTACGCAGTCGTTTTTGCCATTCCTGAAATAGGCGCACGAAGATGAAATGATCGGAAAGCTGATTATCGGCCAGGCGTGCCCGCTCGTTCTTTATGCGTTTTTGGATGTAAATGGTGAATCTGTCCCACAAGTGATCGATGTCCTCGTTGAACGGAATGCCCAGCGGATCTGCCGTGGACAACGAGCTTACAATGGTGAGTATTGGATCCAGGCACCGCAGCAGTATGCCAAAGATCAGCATACGGCCGAGTTGGCAAGGAACAGGGATGTCTTGCAACCGGCAACCAAGCCAAGTCACCTCCTCAGTCTCATCCAGCACGTCTATTTTCTTGAGGAACTGCACGGCATGATGCACGTTGATCAGCGGCGGGGGTGAGATTGTTAAGCCAAGGTATTCACTAATTATCATGTTGGGCGATAGTAGTTTAACCGTCAAACAGATCTTGTCCAGCTCCATGGTTTTCAGGCGTGGCTGACTGGTCTCCCCCAGCTCTTCAAAAGCCTCTTTGGATATCAAACGAAAGCATTGCGCATCAGCAGCTAGAGAAAAATAGTTTAAGCTAGTTATTTTAGTCCACATATTACTAGTACTAACCCTCCAGATCGAGAACTAACTCTCTTCGCAGGAGGCAATCCTTGGCCACCCATTCGTATCGATCCTCCCCGCTGTAGGTGCTGCTATCATATATGTGGTTCAGCCGACAGGCGGTATCTATTTCGTACTTAAAAGAGACCTTCAGGAAGAGCGATTCGATTATATCCGTGGTGAGGACCACCTTCACGGTGTCCTCGCGAGCATTGATCAAAGCATCGATATATTCTTTTCTCATGTTCTCGTGCAACAGGAAAATGGAGAACTCCTGCAAATTGCCGGTCAGACAGTGACTCAATAGCATATAGTTTAGCTTAACAATATGGTAATAGGTTGGCAAAATTATGAGGATGTTGCCTGAAAAACAGAGATGCCGAGTGAAGTGGTTTAGGTTCATTAAAAATACTCGTTTACATAAGTTTAAAGATTACACAAGTAAGAACCAATAGACCTATTAGACTTATTTTAATAGTGTTTGCTTTAAATGGGTTTAATTTATTAAATCTGATTTACAAAGTTACCTATACATAAATAAACGCGGCACTCCTTCATTCGTATAAACTAGGTTTTAAGACAGACACACATTAATAAAATAGATCGATATTACTAAATGGCTTTGACATCTTCGGCTAAAACTAATATAACTATTTAACAGACATAGGCATGTATGTGTTTTCGTGTGAGGCGGCGCGACATCTGGTCGGTGATTTGTTCACAGGGTGAGGATATAGCAGTATCTGAGTTAACTGGCACTTAGGGCTACGAGCGCGGCTCGCTCTCCAAGGCCTTGATTTGCCGCAGGATCTCCGACTTCTTTTTCACCTTGTCCAGCTGATCCTTGTCAAGCTTCTTCTGCTCGCCGGCCTGTATCCTACTTTCGATCTGTTCGATTTCGCGGACTTTTTTGCGCAGCTTTTTCAATTGCTTGGCGGGATCCACCTCCTGAGATCCGTCCAGTTTAAGGGTGTCCTCCAAGGCCCTGGACAACGAGTTGATCTCCCGGCTGCCAGAGGGCTGCTGATTGACTTTTGGCGGCGGACACGTGCTGGGCGGCGACACAACTAGGACGCCGGGCGTCGGCGCTTTTGGCTGCCTGGCCGCATCCTTGTCCTGCTTCTTGGCCTTGGTCCGCTCCTGCTTCTCGCGCTCCTTCTTGGATTCGGCGGCCACCAGGGGACACATGCCAGGCGGCACTCCGGCCTGACTCCGCTGGGCCACGAACTGCTTGCCCTTGCTCTCGTACAGCGGCACCTCCTCCTGTGGCACGTAGCCATCCTTGACGCGACGCGCCTTGCGCCAGGTGCCATCCGGCCGCTTGGTGGCCGGGATGAACTTGCCCTCGCTGCTCTGTAGATAGGTGCTCATCTTGCTGCTTCTATAAAAAACAATGCCCAATTGCCTGGCGATACTAATCGATAGCTTTCATTGAAGATGGAACTTTTTGCGCGGCGTTGAGGGCATCACTTCCCGCGATAAATCGCATTCAAGCTGATGGAACAAGTCACTACAGGACCGTTATTAACCAATTTTGAACCCATAGCTTAAAAACTAACTCCTTGAATAGGGACTTGTATAAGGCATAAACAAAAGTCTTTTCTAGTTAATATTTAATTTCTAGCATAAGTCTTAGCTCAATCCTTTAGTACCTGATAATTTTACTTAATATTCAACTAATTAGATTAAAAATAAGCTCAGTAATACAATCCCTGATCATCTTTAAAAAAGATAAAGTACACTCACCTGGTGAATACTCCGGTTTGGTGCGCAACAGATACATGATGTCTATTATAAGATCGTAGTCCACGAAATCCGGCTTTGCGCTTTTCACCACATAGCCGTGCAGGCTGTAGTTGTTCAGGACATCTATGCACTCGTGATTTCCATTCATAGCTGCCACTGAAATGGCATTTTGTTGGTAGAGGTCCACTATATAGGGATCGGCGCCCATATAGAGAAGCAGTCGGAGATGACTGGAGTTGTTCAGCTCGGAAGCAATGTGCACCGCCGTCCTGCCGTTCATGGAGTGCCGGTAGTTGACCGGAACTAAATCATAGTTCACGGCATAAAGAAAAGGACGAATGGCCGCATCTGTTCCCAATTCTGCGTAGGCCTGCAGGCACTTGTCCATCTGTTCGTTGCGCTGGCTTTGGGTGCGGAAAGCGTCCGGAATCTCCTTGTAAACGTCCGGACCCCTGTGGATCCCGGCAAGGGCAATGCAACTGTGCAGGTCGTCCAAGTAGGAAATGCGAGGCCTTTCCTCCGGCAGCTGGTTCTTCATATTCAGCTCCGATCCCTCGCCAAAGAATTCGGTGAACTTTTTCGTTTCGCCCATCTGCGAAAGCAGCACCACCCTCAGGTTTGGGTTGCTGTTCAAGCCCTCGCGGATCTCGCTGAGCAGAATATCGGTATATGGATCATGCAGATGCACATCGTTTATCACGAGGTGACTGATATTGGTGAACTTATGGTTGGCCAGGGAGCGCAGAAAGTACTGGGCCGTCGAAAAGATGATGAAGGTGTTGCAGCTGACAGAGCTCAGGTGCGGAAGTTGGATGCCCACAGTCTCGCCAAGTTGCTCGCCAAAGAAGTTGGCCATCCGCTGGCTGTTGTAGATGGCCACAATGCCCTCCCGCTCGATGCAGATGATCTTGGCATTGGACTTCTTGGTCTGGCAGTCATCGAGGATGAGTAGTGGCAGGAACACGGACTTGTCCCAGGAGAGGTTCGCGTTGATGACGATCACCCGGTTGGAGTATAGGGGCCACATGATCTCGCCGCGCATCAGGTGACCCGGAAAGCTGGTGAGAAAATTGCTCTGTGTCTCCGTCCAAAAGCGCGGATTCGGCGGCCGGATGGCGGACAGGGGAAGATGTAGCGACGGCATGTCGGCGGCATTGGGCTTTTGAGTGACCATATCCCCGCTGAGCTCCAAATCGTCCTTGCCCATGAAGGATTTTTTGCCCAGCAGGGTGAACATGTTTAGCGTGGCACCCGACGACATGGTCAGCGTCTTGGGCTCCTCCAGGTAGTGGCGACAAGACTGTTTGTAGACCTTTACGCAGCCGTTGCCATTGCTGTGGACAATCTGCGATCGGAGTCCCAAAGAGCGGGCGCAATTCACGAAGGCTTCGTGCTCGCTGGTGCGGAATGTGCACGGAAATTGCTGGCAGCAGCGCCTGCCGGCTATAAAATACAGCAGCTGCTGCGGAATAAACTTTTCCTGTATTATCTTGTTCATTTCGCAAGAGATCGCATATGTGTGCAATGGAATTCAGAAAACTACATGTGTCAAAATATCCGCGTCTCTGAAACAAATTCCGTTATTGCCGGGCTTCGTTAGAATAATGGAATATCGGAATGAAACACGCAGGGTTGTATTCTGCTTGATGCAAAGCTTGTTCATTGGGGATACTCCTTTATCTTTACTCAAACAATTTTATGTGAAGCACCAAAATATGTTCGATGAGTAACCACATTTTAAATTTTAACATTCAAAACAAAATAAAGAAAAGTTTATACAGGCAATAATATGACAGCTTAAGTAGACAATTAACCGACCCTTCTGAAATCGTATATGTCGACCATATTGGGCTGAGCAAAATAAAATAATCTTAAAAAAAAACGGTAATTAGGTTGGTTGTTTTTATGGACCTTAGAAATAATATTGAAATTATAGAAATTTAGGAAACCTATAATTATTTATTAATTACCCATATTGATATGTGCCCAAATTACATTTTTTCAAACATGCTAAAACAATTTAACATGCTTAATTTAAGACAAAATTCCAAAGAAATTAAAAAAATAAATACAGTGCTTTAAATTGAGCTTTGGCGCAGAATTTATTTTGCAAAGGGTTCTATAAATGGTGTTATTCTCCATCGAGTGTCATTTTTACTTACAATTATGAAAATATCTAGCACATATTAAATACAATTCTTAATTTCTTTAAATGTAGAATACATATATTTAAGTAAGCTACAGAGGTTTTGGTTAAATCAACGTTATTATTAACCACATTAGTTGGTACCGGTACCGAGTCGTGCTATTGGTACCGCCTTAAAGAAAGTTTGACTTTTCCACGGAGTTTTGAGAGCCGCTGCTCTGGTTCGACCAACCGGTGTTTCCATTCTGCAATGCATTTTAAAATATGAGTAATACATCTTTTAAGCGGTGAATAATATAACTACCTGTGGGTCATTACAGCCGGAGTTGTCCGCCTTGTTCATTCCGTTGGCGCCCGGGTTATTTGGGTTATTTGATCCCTTCCGTCCGCCAAAGTTGTTGGCGTGACCACTGTTCTGAGCCATCCACGATAAAAAATTTCCGCCCTGCGAAGTAACTGAAAGAGTTTTTTGTTTGAAACAATGATAGAGATGTGGAGGCTTGCCTGCTGGTCCTGGTTTTGATTCTGCAGCTGGTTGCCGACCAGGCTCCACTGGTTCAAGGCGGCAGCGACCAGGGCGGGATTGATCGGCAAGGAGTTCAGATTAAGCATCGACTGGTTGCTCATGTTCTGGCCCTGGTTTGAGGAGCTCGATCCCTGCGAATTGATGCCCAACGCCTGCAGGTTTGGCATGTCCAGGTGGCCCCGATTCATCCAGCCGTTGCTGCCGCCCACGTTGCCGTTGTGAGGCTGGTTCATTCCGTGAAAGTTGGCCTGCCTACTGTTATACTGCGTGCCGCCATCCTGGCGATTTGCGTTCCCACCACTAGAGTGATTACTGCTATTGTTATGATAGCCCCCGCCCGAGTTTCCGCCGTAATTATTGCCGCCCATGCCATAACCGGCGGTGCCAATGTTGCTGTGATTATTGGCGATGATTGAGCTCTCACCGCCGTGAGCGCTGTGTTGGTTATTACCTCTGTGGTGTCCGTTGCGGCCGGGATTCATATGGTTGCCCTGCGGGTGGTACGAATGCATGCCGAAGCTGTTGGCCGAGTTATAATTGTAGCTCTGAACCTGCTGGTTTCTATTCTGCTCGGCTTTTGGGGCGGCATTCGACACATGCACCGAAACGCCTAGAAAAATTATATTGGTTACTTTAGTTTCCCATTGTACGCTTTACTAACTCACCCTTGATTATATGATCCTCCCCGCACAGTGATTGTGCAACGTCAGGATCTAGAAAAGTTACAAAACTAAAGGCTCTAAAGGGACGGGGAATGAACACGTCCGTAACCTCGCCGAACTTGGAGAAATACTCCCGCAAGTCGTCTGAGTTTATGTCCTCTGTGCAGCGGCCAACAAAGACCTTGCAAGGCACCTGATGTCCCATGCCCTGGAAATGAAAAGGATTAGTTGGTTCGGAGTTAAGGGGAAAAAAGAGGTTCACCTTAGAGTTGGGCACCTTAACCTCGCACCAACGTCCGTCGATGAGGTGGCGATTGGAAAGAACGCGCATCTGGGCGTCGTATGAGCCAAACCGAACGAATCCGAAGCCTTTGGACTGCCCTGACTTGGTGTCCTTCTTGATCTGAGCCATCAGCACTTCGCCGTACGTCTCAAAGTACTCCCGCAAACTCTCCTCAGTTGTCTTCCAGGGCAGGCCCAGTACAATAAGATCTGTGCATCGCAGGCGGGTCTCGATGCGTTTGGTTTTGGCCGTTGAGTTTTCCAAGTTATCGTCGCTCTTGCGCTTGTTTTCTGTGGGGGATTAATGTTGATCAAGTTAAGAATATTCAAATTGTATGGCAAATACAAAGCCTCACCCTTAGGGAACACACAAAAGTATAAGTATTCTCCCCAGCCTGAGTCAACGCTGGGCGGGAACAGCCTGCCCTCGTTAGAGCGAACTCCTCGAACAGCTTTAGTGTCCAGATTGCGATACTTCAGACCACACGATCCAGGAAACTGCGCCTGCAAGGTGGAGAGCAGCAGAGTGCCATCCTCTTCGGCCGGCAGCTCGATGGGCTCGTCACCCTCCTCCTCCGAAACTTGAACGAAATCCATTACCACGGACAATCCTTCGAGAGCTGCTAAAAATGATAAAGGGTTAAGGAACTCGTTCGCCGCTCGGGGCTCACACTTCGCTCTAGAAATGATCCAACATATCATTCAATCAACTGAAGCATCCCACATATTCTGCCCTGCATTCATGAAATGCACTCACTCAGTTCATCCGTTCTTTCCAGATGCATTTCATAATAGATCCAAAACAAAAAGGATTTTTGGGAACAACTTTTTACACACAATATTCTTATGACCCAGTCAACACAAGAGGTTTACATTAAAATAAAAAAATCAAATATTCTTTAAAGAATGTTCTGATGTCCACTAAATTCTACTAATATTGTAATTAACACAAAAAATATACTTTGCAATCAAAGTCTAACTAATATTAATTAATTATTGAGATAATATAAAATTAAAAATAAGAAGTTTTAACTAAGATATTTTTTAGCGCAACACAAAAAAAATGTAAATCTTAACAGACTGCACATGTGTTAATGAAAATTGTTTGTACACTTGAAAAGGTAAACCACCGCTAAAGTTGTTATAAAAAGATTAAATATTATATTACTATCAGGTAAACTCTATTAATATCAATAACTCTTAAGATTTGTTGGGGAATAAGATTGGTTATGAATGAATGAAAACAGCAAAAAAAAAAACTTATTGGCAGGAATAGCTGTTCGTAATCATAATACATATATCGAATCCTGATCTGTGTGTATGCAAGTGTACTAAACCCATACACGCTGCACACACACACAAACACACAGTAGGTAGGCACCGTGGGAAAACGAAAACCCAGTTCGGAGGTCCCAAAAGGTGGTTACACAACAATTCTTACACTATTGAGAGGGGTTATCTGATTCGATTTCTGGCAGCGCTCCCACACGATTCTTGATATTATTAGTTATATTTCAAGTAAATGCAGATTTAAGCTCGCACTCTCTCACACGAATTCGATTCACACTCAGGCAGAATTCAGGTATTCACTTTACGTTCCACGCTCGTTTTTCGACACAACACACGCTATTTATGCACATCCACTTTCAATCCGTGCGTAATAAGAAACAGGTAATATTTACAATTGATATTTCAACATTATTTCTTTAGAAAAGTGAACCATATTTCCTGGCTTTTCAATCTTTTCAGTTCAGTTACGATTTTTTCCTGTATGTATCGTTTGACGTTTTCACAAGTGTGACCAACGCAGAGGCAGTTAAATATACCGACCGGCTTTGAGAAAATATTAGAAAAATGTCATAATAGAATTGGACGCATTCAGCAGAACAACATGATCACATGATTTCAAGCGATAGTTGTCGTTTGCGGGAAAACAAATAAGACCATTATAATAACTATAAAAATAAATTCGTGCATAAAGATATATTTACTTACATTAATTTTTCAAATAAAAAGATTATTGTGCAAGGTGATAAATTTTCTCTGAAAATATTTTTAGTAATTGTATAATGTTTTATCTAATTTTATCGTGTAAGTATTTTGAAATTTATATTTTTAGTAATGCTTTATTATTCTGCTTACTGTTTCGGGCGATCACTACAATAAAATAATTTATCGAAAACGATCATCAGCAGTGCTGCCAAGCACGACATACCAGCTCAATTGGCTGCACTGCGTTAAGAATTTATTATTTTATTTAGCCAATCTCCAAAAGTAAATTATAAGCCCACCACAAATTTATGTTTATGAAAACAAGATTTTATTAATCAATAACATTTATTATTTACAGCTGAAGGATTTTCTGTTGCTCTTGCGGACCGCGATTGAATGACAAAATGCATTAGTTTGTTTCGAAATATTAGTGATTGGCGGTGCCGACTTTAACGTGAGCAGTCTAACAATTATGATACATTATTATACACATTAAAAAAAGGCATCGTTGATTTGCACTACACAAATATTATTGTATTTTCTCGTAATATTAATAAAATCACAGTGAAATATTACTGCACGCCGTGGAGTTGAAAATGTAGTTCTGGGCCTCCAGAATGTGCATTTCAGTTAAACAGATAGCAACTAACAGGATAATGTAACCGCTATAGCGGATCGCGCGCAAAAAGTCCCACAGTTTGTCGCAAAAGATGCTCAGCAGGACGCAGTGGAGCAGGGCATGGACATTAACGATGCGCCACATCCAGGCCACGCAGAAAAACCAGTTGGACTTAAAGACGTAGTCCTGGCAATGTGACTGACTGCCACTCACATCCTCTCGCTCCAGCATGTTCTGGTATACGGCTATGTAGCGATTCCACGCCGTAGAACTCAACAGCAGTTGGCCCGTAAAGCTGATCACGTTCTTGGCCACCTTCCTCGTCGTGGCCTTCATCTTCGGTATCATCGTCGTGGGCTCCGGTACCTTAGAGTCGCTCATGGGTATGATGGAGTAGCCCCTCCTTGGTGGGTTGTTCTTCAGGTAAAAGAATATGCCCAGCAGCAGGGCAATGCACCCCAATCCGTCGCACAGCCCATCCACGTAGTAGCCAGATGTGCCGATCTCCGAGCGCTCTCCGCGTATGTGCTTCCTTACGCGCGCTACATGCCCATCCAGGTCGTCCAGGAAGGTGCGGATCTGGAAGAGCAGCACACCCAATCGCCGGTAACCGAGGCTATCTGAGGCCACCAGTTTCCCCGCCAGACAGGCCACTCCCACGTGGAAAAACGATATCATGTTGGGCGTGATGAAGGCAGAGCGCGAAAAGCCGATCACGTTGTCGAACATGGTGGCCAGCGGGGCGAACAGATAGTGGTTGGTGTGGTCCAGTAGGATTGCCTTCACGGTGACATGGCAGAGCGGGTTTATATCACAGGATATCCAGGTGTGGTCCTCGTAGGACGGCTGCCTGTCGGCGGCGGTGGGGAGTTTCGTACTGCTGCCGCCGGATCCGGACTCCGAGGTGGACTGTCCTCCGGCGGAAATGGGCAGGGAGACATTCGTGTGGTAGTTTCGCTCGATGGCATAGTTGTGGATGCGCAGGTAGAGCTCCACGTCCATGAAAACGTAAAATATGATCAGCAGAAACAGCAGGGTGAGCAAAATCTTGCTGATCTGCGAACTGGGCCCGATCATGGTGACACTTTGAGGTAGTGTTTAACTCTAAATTCTTATCGAGGTGATTTCAGGGAGCGACTGAAAAAAGGGAATGAGGAAAAACAATTCAGTATGGTAATTAAATTACTATATCTATACTATCTATAGATTAATTAGCAAGATATATAATTGGAAACAAGCAATTTATTGTCCCATAGAGGGAAGAAACAATATTTTTGAAACTATTTTATGAAGTAAGTTCTAAAAAATAGGTAGTCTTGGAATAAATATTTTTATAATACTCCTAAAAACCCCAATAGTCGCAGGAGAATTCTCTAATTTTCATTTAGAATTGCATTTTTAAATTAGCCCATCATGGTGACTCTTTAAGGTAGTGTTCAAAACTAAATTCTTTAAGGGAGCAATTACAAATGACGAAATAGGGAAAACATATCAATATGGTAGGGTCTGTTGAATGACTAAAGCCCCCCACTTGTGGGCATACATACACAGCAAGAAATCACCCCACCCGCATACTATCTACAACCGTGCTATCTGCAGGTATTTGCGGAAGCTTTTAGCAAGGCACTAAGAATTAAACTTGCTATTAGTAACCTTTTAACTGCCAATGACGATTAACGGGGCTTCTAATTTGGTTGCAAGTGTATGCGTGCACGCATCAATCAATCATACATACATACACCTGCCTTGCATGTGTGTGTGTGTATGGGGCCGAAATATAGGTGGACATATGGTATTATCACCCATTTATAAGCACCAAATAGCCGATCGAGCCTATATATCTGGGGCAATTGCAGTTTATCGGCTATACTTACCGCCTTGCTGAATCATTTCACACGAATATACACTGTATCAAAACATTCTAGTGTTTATCACTCTCATTTGTGGAATTTCATGCAACTGGTTGTAGTTTCCACCTTCAGACACTGTGGTACTTATACGTAATCAACAATAGCACATAAATATATAGTTATTATTAAAACACACAGATAAATGTAAAAGTTTATGTTAATTGTTCGTAAATTTCGTAAATTAATAGCTGACCAGTGTGACCAATGCGTCTCGAACTATCGTTAGCACAGGTATGTGTGGCTAAATATCGATAACTGTTCAGGATACCCAAATTCCACAAGACCGGTCACGCTGATCTGATAAACTTTTCAATTTCAGTCTATTTTGTTAGTTTTAAATTGTTGTAATAGCTATTAATTACTTTTATAAGACAAGACCATGATTGCGAGGACCCTAAGGGCCGTGGGTCGGCAAAGCCGCAGCGTCTTGTTGCCCAGAAGCACTATGTGTCGTCCGTTTCACGCGAATCCGGTAAACTTCAGCAAAGCCTACGACCACGACGGGAAAACAAAAGTCACTATTTTCAACACCGAAACGGATCTGGGACTCATGGTCACCGGATACAGCCAGTATGGATTCAGGCTGAACAACGACATGGTCCTTATTGGTCCTATTTCCGTTTTCCCCAGGTTTGTGGCGGAGGTTGCAATAGGTGGCATAATTATGTAAACAAATGCATGTGGTTTATGCTCCGGCATTTTAAGATCTTCAGTTTTAACATTCCTGCACTTTCGAATTATTCTAATCTAGCTCTATTCGCAAATTACACACAAAATTATAATTTTCGATACAAATTTCTTTGTAACACATTGAAAACGAATAGGACTGATCAATAGGACTAATTCAAATTATAACTGTATTCTTGAAAATTGCCCCCGTTAATAAAAAAGTTTCCAAACTCGTATTTGGGAACGATTTACTTTTTGAAATTTTTCAATCCTTAAAACTTGTTTCTCACTTAAAACCTCATCCTTTTCAGATCGGTTCTGTCCTGGAACGTAAACAGCTTTGAGGACATCAACGAGGAAAGTCTCAGCCTCTTTCCCACTTTAGAACCAAAAATTGACGTCCTAATTATTGGGATTGGCGACCAAGCTCCGCCACCAGCGCTTTCCAAAAGGATCATAGAATTTATGAAGAAGTACAAGATAAATGTTGAGGTCCTTCGCACAGAGCAGGTAAATACTACTGCTCTCTTAAAAGATCCGTATTAAAAGCCACTTTTTCAAGGCCTGTGCCACATTTAACTTCCTGAATGCCGAAAACCGAATGGTGGCATGCGCTCTGATTCCTCCATTGCACCTCACCTACAATGAGAACGACGTCCTGCAGGCGAAGCTGCGGAGGAAGGAGCTCTATGAGACCGAATAGGATTACTAAGCTACATCCAATGCTTGTTTGACAGGCTGGTGCTTTGTTAGAAATTAAACTGTTTTGTAAAATTCAGATTTCTTTATTCATATAGACATAGTTGTAAAGTTTATAAAAGCTAGGCAATTTCACAGTCACACTGCACTCCTTTTCCTTGTCGATTTCATTGCGATTTCAGTCGGCTGTGGCGCCCGGATAGCGCTCGATAAGCATGGCCACGCCCTGCCCGCCGGCTGCACAGGCGGCGACCACTCCCAGTTTTCCATCCTCGCGAACCAGACGGTTGGCCGTGTGCATGCAGAGGCGGACACCGGTGGCGGCGAACGGGTGACCAATGGACAAGGAACCTCCCCAGTTGTTCCACTTGGAAAGATCGGGACTGCCGACCTTCTCGTTCAGTCCCAAGTACGTCTTGCAGAACCATTCAGAGTCTAGGGCCTTCAGATTGGCCACGATTTGGCCGGCAAAGGCCTCGTGAATCTCCCAAGAGTCAATGTCTTTCAGGGTCAGTCCAGACTTCTTGAGCAGCTTGGGAATTCCATAGGCCGGTCCCAGCAGCAACTGGTCGACGGGATCCTGCGAAACGTACAAGAAATCCCGCAGATAAGCCTTGGGCTTCAGGCCCAGCTGCTTGGCCTTCTCCTCGGTCATGATCAGGCAGGCGGAGGCGCCATCAGTAAGAAAAGAGGCGTTGGCCGCCGTTACTGTGCCGTAGGGCTTTACAAAGGCGGGCCTCAACTTGGCCAGGCTCTCGGGGCTGGACACGCGGATGCCGTTGTCCTTGTCCACTATCTGATCCACTCCAGACACCTTAAAGGGCACCAGATCGGTAAAGTAGCCCTTCTCCTGGGCTTCCTTGGCCAGCGTGTGGGAACGCAGAGCGTATTCATCTTGTTCGCTGCGAGAAACGTTGAAAGCGGAGGCAAGGCGGTCTGCCGAGTGGCCCATGGTCTCGCCGGAAGAGAACTCAGCCACGGCGGGCAGCTCGGGAGCCAAAAAGTCTGGTCTAAAGGTGGACAGCAGAGCCAATCGCTGACCCAGAGTCTTTGCCTTGTTTGCCTTTAACAGCAAAGAGCGCATCTTGCGGGAGTGGCGGATGGGCACATCGGACATGAACTCCACGCCGCCGGCCACTATGACATCGTAGGTATTGGTGGCAATCAGACCCATGCCCGTTGTGATGGCCTGCAAATATTTGGCTATAGAATCATATATTCGGGAACACTTTCGGATGTTATTACCGCATTGGAACTGATGCAGGCCATGGTGACAGTGTGGGCGGGTGTCTTGTTGCTGAAACCAGCTGCCAGAGCAGCTTCCCTGGCAATATTGGAGGTCTTTACCTCCTGTATTACGCTGCCATACACAATGTAGTCAATGAGCTCCTTGTCCAAGCTATTTTTCTGAAGCAGCGACCTGTTGATTGGAATAAGCTTATAAAACTCTTACAATTTAAATGGACTACGAAGTAAAAACTTACAAGAGCGAGTGCCTAGCAAGTTCGTGAGGCATCAGCTTGGAATAAGAGGTTCCGGAGGTCAGGAAGGGTGTACGAACTCCATCTACCAAAACTATATTCTGGCTGTTTTTCTGCTTGGGCTGTGGATTTGCCACAGCGGCCGACAAAGTGCGACATTGAACTGTAATAAAAGCGTAAAAACATAAGGATTATTCCAAACCGCTTTCTAATTTTATTTTATTTTTAATCATGATGTACTGTCCCATTATCTTTCACCCATTAGACGTCACTGCGAATTTCAAGTTTGGACTTTGGCCTTTTCATATTCAATCGGCGGCTGCCACAAAACGTTATGAAGTACCAGAGGCAAAGTCCAACTAGTGGCGCCTTAATTTTCATCAGGATGACTTTATTACAAAGTTGGGAACTCACCTTTTCTGGAGACGTTCAACAGGTTAAAGGCATTGCCCTTGCGGCAGACATTTTGTAGGCTCATTTTGCGAAAGTTTTTCGGATTACTTCTCTCGTTTCTCGATGTTGCGACTGCAGCTGTTTGGTTGATAGAGATGGATGCCGGATCGCGTTTTTTATCGATGTTCAATGGGTAAGACTATCGAAAGTTTAGTAACAAATAAGCTTACGAAGTTTGAATACCCTTTTATGGAGGAATTATTGTTTATTTGGGATTCTCGCAGTGTCGTTTCTAACACTTATGCTTATAATTATATTCAAAAACCTATAGTTCCCTTTTTATAATTAAATGTCTTACCTTAACGATTATTTAGTATCATTCATAAAACATTATAATGTTATTATTCATAAAAAACATTATATCAATCTTATGATAAAAGTACATTTCATTTATATTATTGAAAAGTACCCACACTAAAATAGCTCTTCGCACATATTAATTTTGAATGGAATAGGGTTTGTTTTGTAATTTTTTTTTTTTTTAATATTATAATCAATAAACAAAAACTTTAACACATTTAGAACCTGAAAATGCCTTACTATATCAGAAAAAATGTTAACTTACGCCTATTAAAATATACATATGCAAAAGAATCTAGAAAGACCAATAAAGGGATAGATTTCTCCAATGACCTTGACCCTCAATGCAATTATCCTATTAAATGTGTTGTTTACGATGTCCAACTGTCCGCCCATTCGTCACCTACGAATTGTACAAATACCCTTTCCCATAAAAGAAAACCATTAGCCGTGTCCTTGAAAATGTAACAGAGAATGATCTGTATGCAAATGGGCGAAAAAAGGATTACGTTTATATACGGATTTTTCTGTTTATTATATATGAATGTAGGCAGCGCAGTCAATAAATGTAATATTAAGACAAAAACCGAAAAAAAGAACTTCCATTTTATGGTCTTTATTATTTTTTTATCTAATGATTTGCATACAAATTAGTTTCAGTGAGTGTCTTCATAATGGAAGAAATTAGGTTCAAGGACGAATGCAATTGTTCTCTAAAATGGGATAGTAAAGGGTAGATGCAAATGTAGGCGGCGTGTGCATTTCAAATGAGCGATCGTTAAGGGCTCACAAAGGAAGAGAAATAATGAGCGGGTCGCAACTTATTGGGGATCAAGGTGAAATCTTCCGGAATGCCAAAGCCATGTGGCCCTGTTTCTTTTAGAACATAGTATAAATTTTAATTTAACGATTTTTCTAAAATATTTAACTAAAATTCTTTTTATTTTTTATTAGCTTCTAAAGATATGAATATAAAGTTTTTTAATAAGCACAAAATTAGGAAATATTTTCTGTACTTTATTGTAATGGTTATAAAAAAATAAAAAACAAATTTTAAGATAGTACAAAATATAGTAGCGTGTTATTATTACTTTTAAATGAAAGTTTGGATTTTGGCAGGATATTTTCGAGCTTTTGCATATACAATGTATATAATGAATGTCTTTAATTGTGTGGGGAGATATATGAAAGATAAGGTTTTTAATTTGCAAGCAAATTATATATTGGAATTAATTTAAAACTTTTAGATTTACAAAAAACACGTGTTGAATGACTTTAATTTTTTGGTAAAAGCTCGAACTTAATTATATAATTAGGTCCTAATAATAAATCATAATTAAAGACATGCACAAGATAATCTTTTCTAAATAGTTAACTTTTAATAGATAGTTTTTGGTGAAAGCTTACTTTTTGGCGAGAAAAGTCCGTGGCGGCAGAACTGATGGCTCTCTCTCTCTCTTTCTCTACGCTCGCAGTTCGGGCGGCAGAGGCGAGCAGCGACGCGATCTCTCGGGAAGCGAAAAGACCGCACAGTCAAAAAAAACTGTCCGAGTGAACGGACGTGCGCGCGCGCAAACTGAAAGTGGAAGCAAATCGAAAATCGAAAGAGAGGCAAGACAAGAGATCGGATCTCCCACTCACACTCGCAGTCGCGCTCGCGCCAGAAAAAGTTTTACCAATCAAGTTTTTTATTTCGCAATAAAACAAAAAGAAAAAAACAAAACTTCAACCTAGTTAAAGTTAATGTTGCTGTTGTAGTTGTGCTGATGTAGTGAACTTTTGTGAGTGTGTCCGTGTGCATTGGTATTGTATTGTGTGGATTTCGGTGTCTCAGTGTTGGTGGATATTTCTTGCGTTGCGTCGCAGAAGAAGAAGCAGCAGGAAAAGCCAAAGAGAAATTTATAAATCCACTCCTGTGAAAATTGGCATAAAACAAACACATAAACAAAAGGATTTACCCAAACAAAACATGATCAATGAAATCGAAAGTTGTCTGTGAGCAGTATGCACATTGCCGATCGCTGGGAATAAGCCATCAGAACAGAAAGTGAGAAAGTGAATGACTAAATTCGTCCTGGGAGTAACTAACTGCTGAACAACCAACTTAATGAAAGAGGTAAGTAAGCTTTTCCCTTTCCATTTCCGAGGTTTCTCAGTCCAACGAGATTTAGCATTGCAACATCGCATAGACACGAAAACATGCAGATAAAAAGTTGGGGTTTTGGGTCTTTTTGTTGTACGTGTATGGGGCTCTTTGTGCACCTAAGCACACAAAGCAGCCAAGGTCAGAAACTAACTTAATAGTGGTAGAGAAAACAGAAAACAGAAAACTGAAAACATTCCAAGCTCGGTTTGGATCGTATCGTATCGTATCCAAAACTTGCGGCGAAGCTTCGGTTCGTGGCGATCCAATCTTCGTCGTCATGAACATCATTAGCAGTACAACTTAAACAACAACAACTGGAGACAAGAAAGGCTTAGTGACCTTCATCGCGTGCTTTTGTCTGCGTAATACTCTCTGTGTGTGAGTATGCATGTCATGAAATTTGAAGACACACATTAGCGTACGCATACACGCACGTAACCGACTAACTTAACTGCTTTCCAATAAGAGTGAAGGTGAAAAAAGCACACCGCAACATACAAACACACAGGCATACATACACAGTTACAGGGCGATCGCGCAGATGTTACAAAATGTGCTGTTAGCAGGGCCATTGGCGTAGGTTTTCCAGTAAGAGGGGTTTTTCTTACAAGGGGTTTAAGTAGAAGTAAAAGAAGTGTATCATATATTTAGTAATTTATCAAGTAGTTATCTGAAGTGAGGGGTAGGAAAACCACCTCTAACCCACATATCCAACTCCCCTGTCCTTCAACGTTGCACTAACATGTGTGCCTATGTATGTTACATGCTATGAGAAAGCTTTGATTTCCCTGAGTTGGGCATATTCTAAAACGCAAATCTAAGATAGAAAAACATTATAAACACCAACCGAACCTATTTGCTATCTTTCTCCGTATCGCCCAGCTTATGGAGTTATGTAATTCAAATTTGGGTCACTTTTACGAGTGTAGCATTTACAACAAGTACGACGGCGGCTCTTTGCGACTCTTTGCCATTTTCCCTCGCTTCTTTGGCAAGAGAGCTTTCGTGAAAGGGGAAAGAGCGGGCGAGAAAGAGAGAGGTAGAGAGTGTGAGAGAGCGACAGAGAGGGAGGAAAACAAGTTTGTCGTTGCCCGCTCCCTTTTTAACTTTTTACCTTTTACGAGCTTATAATACTTTCAAAACCCCCGTAGCTTTCTCTTTTGAGGCCTTCGATCGGTTTGGATCCGTCCAGTTTCAGTTCCACTTCCAGTTCCCTTTCCCGTTCTCTTCTACTTGGAAATAGACACATGTGCTTTATATTCGTAAACACTCACGCAATCTGCACACATGCAAGCCAAACTAATATATGCAAAGGGAAAGAGTAATTGTAAAACAACATTTACATTTACATTACATGGGAACGGTGACGACGACAAAAATCGGAAAGTGTGGAAACATACAAGCGATTGCGTTCTCTGTCTGTATGTCAGTATGTCTGATTTGTTTAGCTTTATACCCCGATCTTTTCTTTAGACATACAGACATACAGTAACACAAGCATAGAGGGAAAAGCTTTTTGTGAAAGGTGATTTTATGCGCGCATTGTGAGTTAGCGCGTTTTGTTTTGTCTCACTTCTCTCGATCGTCTTCGTCTGCTTTGTCCCTTTCATTCTCATTTCCAGTTTGCAAGTGTGTGTGTGTTTCGCGAAGAGAGGAGAAATGTTGAGAAATATATCCCTTCATGGACTTGGACTCAATTTAAGGAAATATTGCCATGAACTTTCACCTTTTGATTGTCTTAAATGTCGTAATGATCTTTAGTCATGCTTCGTTCACAACCGATTGCGAAATCCCCATGAAAAACTTGTAGAAAGTGAATGGCCCTGATTCGTGGAAGCATAAATTAACCATACATCCATATAACACATATATAATTGATCTTTCGATTCCGTTTTGGAATTTATCTAGCGTTAGAATGAGCACACCAGTTTCCCTCTCACGCCCCCTCTTCCTCACTCCAGCGCAAAAAAAAACGATCCATGTTCAGCTTTCGCTTCCCATTCCCATGAAAAATACAACATTCCCATTTCCATTCTCTTGCTCTCCGCCAAGCCAGTCATTCAAGTTTTATTGAAAGTGAACGTTTCGTTTCGTCTCCAAGCAAAAAGGAGTGGTGGAGCAAAAGGGGGCAGATGGGGGACGCAGCAGAGCGTAACAAAAAGCAAGACTATCTTTCTGAAGTTTTTTTTCGTTTGAGATCTGCTGCTGCTGAACTTTAGCTTCGCTTTTTGGTTTATTATTTTTTGTGGGGCCATGCAGACACTCACGCACACAGGCGTATCGAAAAAGAGCTTACAAGCCATGCTCTTGCACAATACAATAATGGTGGCCCCCCAATAAACCCACACTTGCAAAAGCCACACTGCACTACATGCACACATACCCGCAAACAGACCTTACATCGATACAATCGGATACACAAAAAGAATTAAGTAACTCAATGGTGGTAAACGTTTGTTTCGATTTCTTTACATTTTATTCTTAAGCATTTCTTTCTGTCAAGTCTTTGTATTATTACAGTATGGCTATCAAATAAAACTTATTTATCTGAAGTAATTTATTTACTTCAAAACTCAAACACATGCTGCTAAATTTGAAATATTTTCGGTGTGGGAAAATTATTTAAAAGAAATCAAGGGATAAACTATGAACTATATAAATTATGGAAATATAATTTTATGCCCATCAATATGATCATTTTTCCAGTCTCTACAAAGCTTCGCCATACATGTATTCAAGATACTATTTACTTTTAAACTTCCATATAAGATGCTATTAAAAACTGGAGCCTGAGTTCAAAAACAATATGATATTTTTAAATTTATAATTTTTTGAGTTACTTTTTGCACTCCTAATGAAATATGATAGGGATGAATATTTTTAGTTTTAAACGTACTAACCCTTAAAAGAAAATTTAAATGTTAGAAAACCCTTTTTTGACTTATAAAATTTGTAAATCTGGAATCAGTCATGAAATTAAGTTTAAAACTATTAAAACTATTGTCATGATATCTTATAATTTTTTTGCTGTGTACAGACACACTAATGCAGATCTTACACCGATACAATTGCACAGGCCAGCGAATTTCAGTGTAACAATTTCATCGCATAAAAGTAACAACAATAACAACAAAATACATCACAGCGGGAAAGCTTTTTTGGAGGCAACACCAGCAACAACAAAAACATAGCGGAGCTCCATGAAGTGAAGCTTTCATCTTTTCCAACAAGGCACACAAACTCTCACACACACATGACGATTGTGGGTTGCAGTGTTACAAAAACACCAAGTACAGAAAAACCTAAAAACCTGATTAGTAAACATTTACTATTGCTTTATGGGAAGTTTGTTAATGCCAGCACACATACACACTCGCATGCTGAAATTCCAGTAATGAATGTGTCACATTTAAACCGTTATGGAAAGCACTTTCGAATCTTTCCATGATCCTTTTTCTAACATAAAGCGTTGTTCAACTGTGTGCATGGTATGGCACAATCGGTGGAAAGCCAGAGAGAAAGAGAGAGGAAGGGGAGCAGAAGAGTAAAAGAGAGGGCGACAATTTCGGTGAAAGGCGGATTGTGTAATACCAAAGCAAAGTAACAGACTCAGATGCAGATACTTCCCATTCCAAAACTTTCTATTTCACTGGCTTTACTTTTACCACATGCTCCACATGCATTCGTAAATAGCCATATACTTAAGTAATAGAGTTTAACTTCTATAACCTGAACTTCCGTATGTTGGATTTTAAACGCTCATAACTTTGAACATCCATTATTTGTTAGTTTTATAGAAACTTTTTTCCCTGATTACAAAAGAAGGTTTAAACTCGAAACTGAAATGTGAAGAATATTTCTATTTTTCTAAGGTAGTTTTTGGAATTTTGTTTAAATAAGAGGCTATCTTAAACTTTCCCTTTTAATAATACCATTTTCTTTGAAATTTAAAATATATTTGAAATAGTTCTAGTTATTTGAGTGTAATAACATTCTGCCCAATATAGAGAGTGATTTCAAAGATCATAATAAATTCCTACAGCTTTATACAAATTATCTTCATATTTTTTGTTATATATATTGTTAATATTTATACTGTTGTTTATGTGGGACTCTCGGCAACTTGACACCAATGATCTGGGCCAAAGAAATAGCAGAAATTTAAAGTTCCCCGACATATTTGCTTTTCCACTTGCAGTTTCAAAGAATGTTGATGTTGCAATACAGCAAGCATGGCGAGTGCATACTCAAAGAAATCGGAGCAGCCTTTAGAGGAGAGCACCCGGCGGACCTGACCATCGTCTGCGAGAACAAAGTGAAGCTGCACGCCCACAAGCTGGTCCTGGCGGCCGCCAGTCCGCTGATAAGGTAATCCCTTCAAATCGAAGCCTTTGAGTCCAGTTAAAACTTTCTGTATTCCGTAGGAACCTGCTTGAGGATACCCACTTGAGCGACTGCTCTACAACCGTATACTTTCCCGACGTAAATGCCACCTACTTCAAGTTCCTGCTTGACTTCCTGTACTCCGGACAGACGTGCATCACCTCGCGGGACGTGAACTACCTGCACGACCTGCTGTTGCTGCTGCAGATTAAGTCGGACAGCTGGAAGACCACCGATTCCGCCTATCTGAGTAACAAGTGCGGCAGCCATCGGGACCATCGAACGGACCGGCGCAAGCAGCAGTACACCAGCCCGCAAAATCTGGAGCCGGATCAGACGCTTAAGTACGAGGTGGACAGCGTGGATGAGTCGCGCAATGCGGCCGATTTCTCATCCGCGTTCAACTCCGGCGATAATTGCGAGAGTGCGCCCGAATGCGAGCGGAGTGCCGGCGGCCACAACAAGGAGGAGGACGAGGACGACTGCACCCACAAGGACAACAAAAGCGACAAAGACACGGACGAAATAGTAAATCTCTCGAATGCCCCGCCTAGCGGAACCAGCGGCAGCAACAGCAACATCAGCAGTAGCAGCAACAACCACCAGCAGCAACACCACCACCACCACAACAACAACAATAATAATAATAACAACAACAGTAGTTCAGCTATAAATCCCGTCAACCTTTCACTCGACCTTCGGACAAAGAGCGAGAACTCGGCGAGCAGAGCTCTGGGATCCGGATCAGACCACAGCGGCATCGACCTAGCGGTGGCGGCGAGTGAAAGCACGAAACGCAAGGGTCTGTTCTTTGATTCGCACAAGGATGTGATGAAGCCGCTGTCCGATGGTTCAGATATGAACAGCTCGCCGGAGAACTATGTGGTCACGCCACACAGGAAGCGGCGACCCGGATTTCATAACACGCAGTGCGACAACCAGCCGTTCACCTCGTACCCACACAGTCTGCTAGAGGAACTGCGTCTGGCCAAGTCGACGACGTCGCCCATCTCAGGCTTTGGATCGGAGAAGAATATGCTGGCGCACCTGGAGGACGGAGCACTCAATGGGGACACCCTGACGCCGGACAGAAAGCATCTGCTTGAAGCGCAGCGAAATCGAGCCCAGAGTCCCGAGATGCCGATGCACCTAGGGCCCCAGTTCGTGTACCAATGGCAGTCCAACCAGAATGCAGCCATGTCCGCAATGCCCAATCTGCAGTCGCGACTTTCTAGTCTGTCGCACATTAGCCTGAATCTAGACCATCCAGAGGGGCGCAGTGGGTCTGCCTCGGGATCCGGATCGAATATGGCCGGCAGCAACACGCACGCCTCCTCGGTACGGGAGTATCGATGCGAGTACTGCGGCAAGCAGTTCGGCATGTCCTGGAACCTCAAGACCCATCTGCGCGTCCACACCGGCGAGAAGCCGTTCGCCTGCCGTCTCTGTGTGGCAATGTTTAAGCAGAAGGCCCACCTGTTGAAGCACCTGTGCTCCGTCCACCGGAACGTAATCACCACCACCAATGGGGCGGACACGGAGAACCGATACAGCTGCTGCTTCTGCTCCATGTGCTTCGAGTCGGTCCAGGAGCTCGTCCGCCACCTGTCCGGCCACCACAACAACCTGCTGCTGACGAAGAATCTGCGCGAATAGTATCTGGCGGGCTTCGACAACCGAGTATCCCATCTGTCCGATAGATCCGCCGGACGGACAACTGCAAAGAGACCTGAATTTTAAATATATGAAATACAATCGTACGGTAACAGTAGCAGATTTAATTGCCTATTGTATAAATATGTAAAATTTTCATTTAAATCGTAAGTTTACCAACGCAACACATTCTGCTCGATCATATTTCACCCAACGCCAACGGTCTGGAGCTCCACATTCGAATCCGCATGATCCTCGACTATCGATCCTTTCCAATGCGCACGCCGGAGGCCACTCACGTTGTTTTCTCATTTAAGTTTTATTCGACATCCAATCCCAAACCCCCTGCAAATGCACCCACTACCACTCCCACTACGACCCCCAATTCTTTTATAAGCGGCTGGTCCATTCACAGTGGAGCACTTATTTTGTAAGCATATTTTTATACGCGAGGTATTTTTAATTTCTATTGTATTTCCAACCCGTCTTACATGAACTTTATTACCTAAACCTAAACCTAGAAATTTTTATAGTTTTGATACACTCTTTCATGTTAAGATTTTACATATTCCCTCCTAAAATCGCCAATAAAAGTGTGTAAAGTGTACAGTATAATTTCGCAAGCTCATAATAAAATCAGAAAAGCATTTCCGTTTTGTTTATACTCTTTCAATTTTAGAAATATATTTTATGTTAAACCGATGCTGTGTTTTGTGTAAAATTTAATACGGGAATAGGATATTTTTATGAATGGTAAGTTTTTTTTTGGTTAATTTATAGTTTTCAAATAAAGCTATTAATTAATAATTATAAGAGAATTTCTTGATTCGAAGGGTTCATGGATGAATATGAGTACATATAGTTCGACTCATTCAAAGTTTAATTTAGTATTGGCGACTTTGAAAACCGTTAGTAGTATTTTTTTTTTTGCTGTGGTATTTTATTAAATAAATGAGTTGGCAGTCCCAGTTGCATAATTAACAATTATCAAAGATATACATATGTAAACATTAAAGTATGTATCATAATTGTTTGCCTCTTTTCATCTTAAGTTAAAGCTTAATCAAGAAAATATGCCAATTTAAAATATGTATTCATATATGCTATAAATGCAAACTGAATTTTGGCAACACTATTCAATATGGACTTTAAAAGTTGATATTAAAAACTAAAACAAAAGGTAACCTTTCTTAAAATGATCTTTTTCAACTAATTAAGATTTAAATACTATTTTTGGTGATATTTTAGTGAGTTACCTTTCCAAACACTGCCTAAGAACTCCGACTTACGGGCTTTTCAAACCACTTCTTTAAAAAGTAACGAAGTTTGGCGCCCAAGTGGCGCTGTCATCGAAACATGACTGCAACCGAGGCGACGGTTATAGATAATATTCGCACTGCTGGTTGCTGAAGTATAACAAAACAAGGAGCCAACTGGTCAGACCGTTGAATGCGTATTTTCGACTGCGGACGATTTCGAGTCGCTCGGAGTTAACGTTAACTGTTATTTTTAGTTAAAAATTGCATCCGATAAGTCGGAATTCGCGAGTTAAGTCGCGACATGTGGTGCATGGGGACGAGCATCCAAAAGCGAGCGATTTAGTGAAGAAAATTGAGAAATCGGGCGAAGCTAAGAACTCCCAGATTGTAAATCAACATAACACGCATACAACTGCAACATATATGCACACAATCACAAAAGATTCAGTTTACTAACGGTAGTTTAACTGTGATTGGGAAAGGGATAGCCAGCAAGGATAAAGGATAACGTGAAAGGATGGCTCTGCCAAAGAAAATTAAATGTTTTAAATATTTGGTTTACAGTTATGTGGTTCTCCTAGCGGTAAGTTGCATTGGTATTTGGTCCAAACGATGGCATAATTGTCTGTCAAATTATCAAATTACATAAGGTAAATGTAAAATCCCACGCTTGTGTGTGTGTGGTGGTCTTAAAGTAACTTCCATTTTTCATACAAAGTCAATAAAATATCAACATTTTAACAAAGAAATATTAATTACCTTTCCTTCCCTTTGATTTTCCCTTTAAATACTTTAATTTATTCATTTACAAAACTATGTCAAATCCATACGTCAAGTGATGTACTTTTACCCATGTAGACAACATTATTGATACATATTCCCAAGTGCATTTTTACACCAGGACATCCCTACATCCTTTTACGTACATAAATCATACATCGCTGACAGGATAAAGTCTCACGTTTTTAGTCCCGACTTGGAGTGACCTTGAGCTACTTAAAGCTGCGCCTAAGTATGTATATGTATGCCCACTCACACACACATGCGTGCACATAAGGCTCCTTGGCATGTGACGTCAAAAGGGAGTAGACCCCATATATAATATATATGGTACATCCCGAATACACACAGTGCAGTTAAAGCCCCGTGTCCAAGGACACTGTGGATGTGGGGCCTTGAGATGAAAAAAGCCCTGTGATAACAGCAGCCTCCCGAAATTTAATTTACTTTTCAGCTAAGCGGAGCTGCGCAGATATTTTTGGGCACATCCCTGCTCTGGGGACACTCGGTCTACTATGGAATTGTGCAGAACAAGCTGTGGGCCCCAGCCGCAATCCTTCTTTGCCTGGGACCCGTCACCTTCATCCTCTGCTGGATGGGCTGCCAGGCCACCAATCAACGGAAACGCTGCCTCCTTGGAATGGTAATCGAAATCATAGAGATTATTTTTGGGTGATTATTAACGTATTCCTCTGGAATAACACCCAGTTTGCTGCCCTTTTGGTTGCCTGCATCTGTGTTCAGTTCATCATCTGCGGCTGGTCGCTGGCCATGCGGGAGAATCTGCCCACCTCCGTAGAGATCTTCATCGACGACTCCTTTGTTGAGTTCTTGGACAAGTTTTCACGCACCAAAGTGGACAACCTACATTTGTGGAATCGGATGCAATCGCAGGTGAGCACATATTGCTTACATATCAAGGCTCCGTATGAATGCTTAAAATAAAATATTTTGAAAAGTAACCATTAAATAGATAATACATTTTCATTTGCATTTAAGACCTCTTTTATTTGGTAAAAATTACGTTGAGACCATACCCTGACAGGTTTTGCATACTCATACAAGTCGAGATAGATAACATTTAAAATAAACTTTAAAATCTGAATAAAGCTTAAATTTTTGTATTGATGGCTTAATAAAAAACACTTCCCCTTAGTTACAATGCTGTGGTGTGGACGGACCTCTTGATTACCGCCGACTTTCGCTGCCCTGGTCCTGCTGCTCGCGTCCGGAGCACGCCTACGAGTCAGCTTGTGATACCCACTACAAACGCGGATGCCTGGCCGTTGTCTCGGAGCAGATCAGGAACCGCTTGCTGATCACCGCCTTTGGAGCTGCCATCATAGCCATTTTCCAGGTAAGAACACCAAAAAGTTCTTGATCAATTCCATGGATACTAATGAAAAACTAAACTCTCGCAGAGCCTGGGAATCTTCTGTGCTGTCCACCTGACCATTCTGTTCGGCAAGAACGACAACACCCATCCCATGAACATGAATAGGAAAAAGAAGCAGCAGCAGTTCTTACCCTTAACCATACAGGACAAGCGGCACGACATGCCCTCGCCCATCAATCTATCCCCTTCAGCACCCGGGCAGCGGGTTTTAAAAACTGCTCTGCCCTCAGCCATGCACAAATGACAGACGATTAGCTTTTAAGATTGCAAATTTATGGAAACTCCAAAGAAAAAGTATAAAAAAAATGTTGTAAACTGAGATGGAATGAATATAACTGTGACCCTCAATGTTACGTTATGGTAATTTTAAACAATTTAACGTTCGAGAAAAGAAACAACATTTGAATTTGGATTAACTCTCCAGTAGTTTAATTAAAGCTTAAAAACAATTGGATCTAACTTGTTTGTGGCCATTGGGGGTCAAGGGTTAATTGTGCGTAATGTTTGGTGGCACATAGAAAGTGTCAGCAGCCTTGGGCTTCTTCTTCTTGCCGAACCAGCGCTTTGGATAGTATACCTTCTTCTTGTAGATCTGAATGTCGATGTCGTCCCTGTTCTCGAAGAACCACAGATTCTGGCGCTTGTCCTCCAGTTCACTGAGCGTTTTCTGAATGCTAGCCTTACGCTCCTCCAGACTTTGGGCTTCCAGTTGGTACTGAATGGCGCTCTCGAACTTCTTGGCCCATTCTTGATAGGACTCCGCGTAATCGGCCAACAACTTTGGCTCAAACTTCTGGGCACTGCCTTCAATACTCTTCCCCAGTAATTCTTGAATGGCATTGGATTTGGTACTCTTCTCAGAGGCTTCTTGTAAGGAGCTCAGCAATTCTTCCTCTCCCTCCAACTTTAGGCTTTCAGCTATAGTTTGGGCGGTGGTTAAAGTTTCCTTGTAAAGAACAGCTTTGTTTTTGGCCAGAAAACTGGAGGCCTCGGCTACTTGTCCGCTTAGTACATAGCCAAGTAGGCCAATGTTCTGCTTAAGCTCTTTCAAGGACCCTTCTCCGGAACCCAATCGAATCATGGCGCGACCCAGTTTCTTTTCCTCGGTGTTTTCGCTGGCATCTTCGGTATAATTGCGAATGAACTTGACACGAACCTTTTCCTTTAAAATAAAAAGTGGTATTAGTTAACTGAAAGTATTTACATATTTGCATTTGCAGTTAAACAGGTACTATAATAAATAATGAAATAAGGGATAAAAAAAATTGATAAAATAATTGATTTTTAGCAAAAAACAATTTATGCTGCACATAATCGAGCTCGATTTACATGTGATCTTTTGGATCCACAAAAAACCGGACTTCTGCTCATTACTAATCTATTAAACTTTAGTTATTTTTATAAAGCAGTTGGATATTATGGAGTTTAAATTAGCAAAAAAGTTTTAAATACAAAGATAGGTTTGATATACACAAAACTAAACTAATTTCAGTCAAACCCTATTTCAGACCCATAAAACTTATGTTTAGATAAGTTTGACGGCAGTTAATCTCACCACTTCAGCGTTTTTGGCAGGAGGTTCGATTTTAGAGGACTCAAAGGGCTTGAAGTCCTTGGCAAAGGACCAAAACGCCTGTAGAGCCAGTGATTCGACCAATTCGTTGTTGCATAAGCTTCTGTCCACGAGAATAGTGGCCAGCTGAGCTGATTCCACCGCGTGGCCATTGTGAAGAAGGAAGTCCAGTAGGAAGCAGCCGGAAAAGTGGTCTAAGAACAGGCCGTACTGGGTGGGATTACGTAGGATCGATATCGCCTCCTGGGGATTCGTGGAGTCCAGTAATTGCTTGACCAAAACACTGGGAAGTAAAGGCACCAAGCTGGCCTCCTTTTGTTTTCTGCATGAATTCAGGAATTCCTCATTAGTTGGGTTAAAACTTGTAAGATATTTATACACACCTGAGCTTTAGCAGACGATCCACCAGATCCATGGGACGATTATCCGGATTGACAAACAGATCCAAATCTATATTCGTTACAGCATGACTAGTATTGGCGGCGAATTTCGCGGGTCCCTCGTTCGCCAACTTGTTAAACTCAGCCGAGAAGTAGGACACCAATCTTCTGGGTGTAAATGCGCAGGAAATCCTCGACCGCAACATGGTTAGATATTGGTTTTAATTCATAAAGTTTTATAACCGGGCCGATTAACAAATAACATGCAGCTGGCGAGGTGTACAACAAAATCCCTAACGCGTGCCCAAACTAATACCGCACATGCCAGTATTTTTATTTTTATATACATTAGGGGTATAATAATGAATGTAGTTCGATTATTGGGGAAACGGTGGGAGTGGAATTGTTTAAGCGAAATAAATAAATATTATAAATATTTTTCTTTAGGCGCTAACTCAAAACATTAAACGAACCGCAAATAGTAAAATAGTTATTTAATTTAATTTTAACAAAAATTTCTTTATGTTTGTTAGTGTTTGCTCTTTAAATAATACTTATTTTGGTTTCTATTTCTACATTTAATAATGTACATGTTTCGAAGATTTCACAATTATTATTATACATTAGCTTTACCTTCATTACCCATATACAAATTATGTACATAAAAAATGGAAAAACACAAGACATGTTTTGATATGATTAGGTAAATATTTACTTTATTAAATTAAAAAATAAAATGTCTGTTTTTTGTTTTTTTCATTTCAGTCTGTAAAACATGAAAATAGTTTCAGCATTGACAGTTTTTAAGAACTGCCAAAATAGAGAATATATTTTAAAAATATTACTTATGTTAACTAAAGAAAACATATCACATAATTTATGAACAGATCTTCAATAATTTAAGAGACTTGACTAAAGAAATTTGGTGAGCCCAATCTTAGATATTTATATCTTTACCCGTAGGTCTTACTTACATTGGAATATCGGGTTCGTCATCTTCGTAAAAGTTTTTACCCTGCAATCTTACCTTTGAAATTCAAATACCTTTGTATATCCATGAAAACGAATATTTCCGAGGATTGACCTATTATACGCTTCAATACCAATTTAATCAATTTCCAACGCGATAAGTGGATAACAATTTTCTCTTGAGGGGGGTGACATTCTCGGTACTTATAGTGATTAACCTTTCAACCCCCATAAAGCCTCTTGTTTTTCTTCCCACAGGTCCAAACCAGCTAAGCCTTCAAAAGGGTGTTGAACCAGATGATAAGATTTTTGGTTACCAGTAAAAGAGAAATGATGTTACACAGATCTTATTTATTTAACGCAAATTCGCTCCAAAATTGTTAGTAAAAATAATATCAAAATAATTGTATTCATCAAAATGTATACTAATATTTACATAGATATTAGTGGTTTCTAAATTTGATCGTATAAGCATTTCATTTGACGGGCATTTTGCGATCCCTTTAGAGATGGACTTAGATATTTGGAGCCGGCTGCAGGATTCTTTCGGCCATCCATTTTAATGGACTTGTCTTTCATTATGTAAATGGCATGTCTCTCCTGTTTACGAAATTTTGCTCTTCTGTTTTGGAACCATACCTGAAATACAAAGAATATTAAATTGCACAAGTTATTTATTATGGTTCCCTGAAGTAGAGTTCTGAACAGTTTTCTGTTCTTATGGCAATGATTTTATGAAATTCTTTTCAGCTTAACAGAGATAATTGATCTATATTTCTTTTGTTATAAGTCGATGGGCTTCATTTCTAAGAGTTTATATAAATTTCAAAACATTAGATTTATTAGCCAAAGGTAGATATATAGAGTAACAGAAAGGCATTATTGTTATACAAAGTACTCCAGACGAAATTCTTGGATAGAGTTTTTATATAAAATATTTGTATAATTAATAGCAAAGTTGGAAAAAAAAAAATGCCAGTGATAAAAAACTTTTAATTGACTCCAATGTGATGCCCACAATTGAAAGAGATTACTCTAAATTTATTAATAAAACCAGGTTGTGCGGGAATTATTAATTTTTAAATGAAAATTTCCTTGTTATCTATGTATTATTAAATTTGTTCTTCAGCTTTGTTTTTACCTGAACTCGGGCCTCCGTTAAATGTAGTTTTGATGCAATCTCTTCTCTAGTATAGATGTCTGGATAATGGGTCTCCAAAAAGATTTTTTCCAGCTCGTTTAGTTGGTTAGATGTAAAAGTAGTTCGTATCCTTCTCTGTTTTGATTTATCTGTCAAGCTCAAGCCGTCATCTCCATAAGATTTTAAATGGAAATCTATTAAAAGGTAAAAAATGGGCATACGGATGTTTTTAAATTAAGAATTTTTAGCCAAAATATGTCGATAAAAATTGTTTGCAAAACAAAAGATAGAAAATATCTTTTAACTTTTTGTCGAGTAGAGATTTTACCCGAGTTATAAGATGCTATGTTATGAGTTCCTGGGTAAAATTCCGAAACTGTGGTGATTTTGGAAAATAGTAAGCTCGATTCCTGGTTTAAAGAACCCCTTATTGCAGTCTCGTTTGCACATAGCTTATAGCTGGAGTCAATCATTAGATTATAGTGATTCATGTGGTTAGCAACGGAAAGTCCGGCATTGGCACTATTATTATAAAACTCCGAATTCGCGTTGTATAAACAATCCTTGTCAAAGTTCGCCTTGTTCATAAATGAAAATTCCATCGCATCAGTAGCTAATACACATATACAGCACTTAATAAATTTTACTGCCCGTTAATGAGTTGTTCGCCAATAAAACACATAGTTATAGATAAAGTCTCGCGGAAAACACAATTGTTAACTGCCCTTGAATAAATAAGCTTCGATTACGATTGTATCAACTACAGGATGCTGGACGAAAAAGGATGCTGCACTTGTCTCGGGAGAAAGGGACGGAAAATTTCATTCGTTTGCGCGTTTGGAGGCGGTGCTAACGAGATCCACTCCACATAAGGGTGGAAATCGGACTTTCCGGCGCGTGTCATGCACTGCGCCAAAAATGTGTATCTTTCACCCATTTACTTGTTAAGCCACCCAACAAAATAATCATTAGTTAGATAATTTCTAATGCTCATATCAATGACGTTTAGCACTTGTCTTTATGTCGCTAAATATTCTAATTGTTAGCTCCTATTTTGTTAAAAAACAATTAATTTTTCAAACAACTATTCAGTCGATTATTCTTTAAGTGCACCAATTTTCACAGGCCTCAAAAAGCAACACTCAGGAGATTAAATTGGCTTATCCACCAACGATGACCGTGTAATATTCTTTCCCCTAAAATAAAGGGAAATAAATCGCTAGGAAATTACAAAAACATACAAAATAAAAGGAGTTAGTCAAGAAAAATAACAGTAAAATCACTTGCTAACAAAAAATGGACAAATATTCATATAAATATTCCATATTTAAAATTTTATTCAAAACCAACCCAATAAAGGGTATCTGGAAATGTACTTCAGCGGTGGAAATGAAGAAACAATTTTATAAAACAAATGGTGTTGTACCTAATACAATGAATAAAAGACACCTTACTATCTTTCCTTGTTCATAATATTAGTCTGATTGAAACATTGTTTATAAGCGCTTGGAGAATGTAACCCTCTGTTTCGGAAACAATTATTTGCTTTGCGGATTATTTCGATTAGTTAATTTCTGTAGCCCGAGATAAACTTAATTTGTATTTACCCTATGCTGAAGTTTATTATTGGACACCCTAATTTTGACTGGGAGTTGCACAGGCTATATGTAAATATTGTTTGTGTTGTTAATCATGTTATTTGAATCTTTTGAAAATATTTTAAATTGTACTCAAAATCTGAGGATTGGAAAACATCAGTAGAAAAGCTAAAAAGAAGTATACATATTTGGTTATCTTAGATCGGTTTAATTATTGTTTGATAATTATTACTAAAGATAGTTGTTACGCTCGAGGATTTTTTTCCATTCTTATTATTATTTTCAGGTCAGTAAACGCAGCTCACTATAAGCTGATATAAAGGTATCTTTTTAAGCTTTCGAGTACTTATCCATTTGCTTGGAAAAGTAAATGAAGGCTGTTTTCTTTTCCTAATCAACGAGATGGAACGTGTACTTCTACCTAATTTCTTGATATATTTACATTTAATAAAGCCAGAGACCATTTCACAAATATAAAAGAGTACAATTTTTGTCAAAACATAATCTTTAAATGAATATAATTACATTTAAAAGTGTTGTTGTGACACTAAATAACTATTTATGTATACAAATATGCGCATATATTACTTTTATTTAAACCAGCCCAAAAAGTGTAGTTAAATTACCAATCTCTCTTCTTATCATAAATCATTTTTCGAACGATCGGTCTTGGCACGGAGATAATGGCACGAAATTTGATTACGTCTCTGTGCTCTCAATCCACAAACATTCAGTTGGAACTGCTCGATCAAACAGATCAGGCGGTTTATTTGGACCCACTTTGAGTTTAAGCCGCGACTATACATTTAAAAAACTGAAATTATCAGTTATGGGTTCAAAGTTTGTTTTTATTCTTGCAGTGGTTTTATTTCATAGAGGTAAGAATTAAATATTCGGTAATGTAAAAAATATTTGAACATTCATAATAATGGTACACCTAATATTGTGCAGGAATGTTTTTGATCGGGCATAAATTAAGTTATTCTTTTTGAATTAGATTTGCTATGCTACTCCACAAATACTACGGATAACGTTACGCTTTTATACATATATCCAAATGAAGAAAAGATGAGTCCAACGATTTTGGACTGTGAATTTGATATTGAAAGAAACCCAAAACCTCGCATTGTAAAGTGGATCAAAGATAACAGACTTGTATGTCAGTGGATCTACGGATTTTCTTCAAATTCGACCGTGAGATAAAATGCTACAAATAATCTTAAAATGGGATATAGTTGTAGCTTACTTTTTTTGACAGCCTGAGTTTAAGGACGACATTGAATGCTTTTTTAAAAGCTCTACGGATCGAAACACGTGGTACAGCTCGTTGTCGTTGTCGTTCATTAATCCGACTATAAAAACAACTGGAGATTACACGTGTAGGGTCTTTTACACATCAGATTATTTCGAAAGTCAACAGAGGGTACAGGTTTTCGACCTAAGTAACTACTCGTTGGATCTTTCCCACAAAAAGATCCCCAATGGAACCCAGCTGGAGTGTATCCTGACTGACATGTATCCCAAACCCACCCTGAAAATCCTGTAAATTATTAACTCACATTCGGGTTAACCAGATATATCGACTTACTCTTTTTACCAACAGATCTGACACTGGGGAAGTTATAAAAGAGGAGTCTAACGCACAGGAAAACGAGGACGGCTATTTCAATGCCACCGCGGTTGTGGACGTAAACGAAAATATAACTAAATCCTATGGTTGTCAGGTTTTCTTCGAGGAAGGATTCCAAATTAATTTGTACAGTCTCTAACGTTCGATCCGAAATGGTCTTTTAAAAGAAGATATCTTTTTACAAGTGGAAGAAAAGGGTTTAGCAGCATACGTGTTTTGTATTTACACATTCGCATGGAAGAGTGAAGGCTTTTTCTTTTGTTGATCAACGAGTTGGAACGACTATCTAAGTCTCAACAAAAAAAACTACTTTCGTCATATGTACTCTCAATAAGGTTTAACAAAGCAAAAGTAAATCTGAGCTAAAGTGAAACTCAACGGATCATACCCTCACTTAATACAAAATTCTTTAAAATACTTTTAATTTAAATTTTCCTTTTTATTAATTATAGAAATTTATTCAATCTGTGCCAAACAAATAGCAATGTGCTTTAATTTTATGATTCCCAACGTTTTGACTTTTGTTGGACTTGTTTGTTCATAAAAAAATTTTATAAAGATTGTCATATAACAAAAACTATTAAAACTAAAGGAATTTAAATGATCGTTATTGCCATGGAGAAGCAATGGTTTGAATTTGAAACGTTACAACAGCCCCTTTTCTTTTTGTGAGACACAGAAAATATCGAAAGGTCCTTAAGGAAAGGGTGTCGCCACCCGTCGACAGTGGCATGTCCTGAAGCGGTCAGAGAACTGGACTGTTCCTAGTTGTAGGAGTGGGCCTAAACGAACCGCCAACTGGTTTTCAAATAGTCAACGGCAGCGAGGAGCAGCGGAGAGTATCGAAGCGTAAAGGTTTTCCAACCCCCACACATGCAGGGCTATTTACTGTAGCAGCTGCATAGCGATCTCCCCACAAAACCTAGCCCGAACCCACTAGCACATGTCCACATGATGATTATTCTCCGCGAGAGTCATGCACAAGTGGCACGGGCTATAGCCCCGAGACTACGGGGTTCGGATCGTGTGCCAGAGAGGAAGTGCCGGCATTATCTCGGCAAAATACGAATATGTATAGTTACGCTGGGTGGGTTTTGGCTTATGGCTAATAGCTCTTGGTTCTCGTTTCTCCCGTGGCCAAAAGCATTCAGTTGCTATAGTTATACCATGCAGAGCGGTCGGTAGAGTAAGGATCGCTTCTGAAAGTCTGATCTATTGCGGTGGTATATATGAGGAAGTGTAAATAGACCGTTATGAATCCTCTACTCATTGTCATTCTTGCAATTGGATTATTCCAGAGAGGTACATAAGAAAATATGGAAGTGCGATAAATGTTCGGAATTCGCGAACTAATTTTAAATTAAGAAATGAAATCATTTCAAAAAGCGTATATAAACTTATACGAATACAGCAAGTGTACATCGTACAAACCTTGAGAAAAATAATGACAAATCGGATATCTATAAATACGAACGTATAGCTAAAACAGTTTTGTGTTAACATGTGCCTTAAATCGGAATATAAACAACTGGCTACTGTGATATTCGGATATTCTTTTACTATCAGGCATAAAGGATATTAAGTGAATATATCAAATAACTTAAAGTGATAAAAAGAAAAAAACAAACAAAAGAATTTCAACTTTAACTAAAAAAACAAAAATAAATAAATATATTTTTAAATTTTCAAAACAAAAGTTTCAAACTGTATCTACCTAATGAAATTAACTTAATAAAATACCCATTTGACGAATTTTTCCACGCATTTTGGCACACATGACAAACTACCTAATGAAAAATGTTTAATTCTTTTTTGCTTTTTGTTTGTTATTGCCTTCTATTTTTAAACAAAACGGGCATCTGTTTGAGTTTTTGTTTTTTGTAAATATAAGCTTTCTTGCTGAAATTATATAGATATGAACCTATATATTTGTATACATATTTTGCATATATAATATTCCAAACAATGCTGGGTGTTCTGTAATTTTTAAAACCATGTTTTTCAAAAAGCTTTTTAATGACATTTAACATTTGTTTTTATGTAGATGCGTTATGCTATCCCACAAAAAATGAGTTCGAAGATAAGATTGTAGTCCTTAAAAATGAAGAGATGCTCCCAACGATTTTGGACTGTCCCTATGAAGTCGAGGAGAACCCGACGGGTCTTACCGTGAAGTGGTTCAGAGATGGAAAAACCATGTACCAGTGGCTCTTTGGTCAAATTCCACATGCATTTGTAAGTTCATTAAATAAGTCAATAGCTTCAATCTTAAATCATCATTACTTTCTTATGATAGCCGGATTTCGTAAACGAGATAGATATTTCGTATGAGGGCTCTACGGACCCATACAAGCAGTACAGCTCGCTGGCCCTTATAAATCCCACAATAGGAACTACTGGAAACTACAAGTGTTTGGTTCACACCCAGAAACAAATACAGACCAGTAACCAGAGGGTACAGGTTATCGATGTGAGGAACTACACCTTAGAGCTGAACCACAATAAGATCCACAACGAAACCCAGCTGAAGTGCACCGTGACCAATGTTTATCCCAGACCATCTATCACGATCGTGTAAGGAATTATTCTGTATTAACTAAATTCATTGGTATTTATCGTTATTTTTTTTTACCTGCAGATCAAACGATCAGGACGTTGTGAAGAGGGAGCCCGCCAATGTGGAGGAGAACGAGGAAGGATACTTCAATGGGACGGCGGTTGTGGCAGTGTATGACACAGATGATGATCCCGATGCCTATCAGTGCTTTGTTTCCTTCGAAGGTTACTCTGAGAACCTGACCACAATCGCCACATCCGCATCGGCGGGAGTTAGCCACGTCGACTTCAACCTATGGCTGTTTTGTTTTCTGTACTACTTGCTCTCCAAGTTGGGCATCTTAAATTAAATAAAAACGTTGTTATTTATTGTTACTAAAATTATATTTATTGAATTCTGTTTGCCATTCAACTATCTTTTCTAAGCCCTTTCGGCTTACTTAGCCATTTTGTAAATAAATACGATGACTTCACAAAACCAACTAAGTTAGTTAACTCTGAAACTGTTTATGTTCTTGTATTTCTGTTTTCATTTCGCCTAAGCTTGCTCTGGAAATAGGTGCTTCTAGTTTTAAAATCTACAATTTCCCTTATTGGTTTAACTACTGGTAGCTGTTACATTTTGTAAATGAAATGGTTAAACAAAAGAAAAGATGGGCTGAATTTCGGAAATGTTGAAAATTTCTGTTTATTGATTGTATGTGGGGCTGGAGTCCAGCAGAAGATTGGAACAGCCGTTCAGATAGGCTTTGTGCAGCTTGTTGGCGAACTCCTTATCGTTCTGGATAAGGTACGTGAAGGCCTGGACGAACTGCGTCGAGTTGAGGGGCTGCTGGGGCTCCGGGTTACCATTGTTGGGGGCATCGAACATGGTCGGCGGCATGAGAGCCGGTCCGGGCTTGTCCCCAGCCAGCAATCGCCGTAAGCACTTGCCGGCATCGTCGTTGACCATCAGGGCCGACGAGGTCGGAGCACTGGTTGGAGATGTGGCAGGAGCATAGCTCTTCCCGATCTTTAGCTCACTCAGGAGCTGGGTATTCAACTGCTGGGCCTTCTGGAACGGCGACAGCCGGCTCTCTTGGTTGTCCCTGCCCGCCGAAGGCAGCAGATCCTCGCCAGGAGTGCCTGCGCGCTGCTGCTTCTCCAGCTGGTCCACGGACAGCGGCTGAACACGATGGAACAGAGACTCCGCCGTAGCCTGCTTGGCCGACTCAAAGAACTTGAGCACATTGCCGGCCGTCACGTTCTCCGCCGACGGCGTCTTCGGTTGGCCGCTCACCTGGGCGTTATAGTCCTTTTGCGCCTTGCTCAGCATATTGAATATGCTGGCGTTATCCTGCTTGGGCTGTTGGGGCGCGGGGGCAAGGCGCTGGGCCTGGCCGTTGGATCCCTGGTCCTTGGACTTTAGCAGTCCATTCACCAAGCCGCTGATGCGGTCGCACTCCTCGCTATTGTAGAACCAGAAGCCCCGGATGCGGGAACGCTCGTTGCGGTAGAGCAGGAACGGTGGCTGCGACTGTAGCTCCAGGCTGCCGGTGATCGGCTCCACGAAGGACGTGGTGTTCAGTCGGTTGTTGATGAAGATGCTGTGAAAGGGCTCCGCGTTGCGGTGGTATATAAAGAACGCTCCCTCGACGTCAGTTTTTTCCCACTGCTGCTCAGAGTTAAACGTGTAGAAGGCGACGTGCGAGGACGAGTCCACGATCTCCTTCGCATACGGGTCGATCTTCTTGATGGCCGAGAGGTTCATTCGCGTGATGCTTTCGTCGGCCATGGTATCGCTTTGCAAATTGTCAGGCTACGCTATTGCAATTATTTGTGAATTCAACAATCCCTTACGTATATTTTCAGAGTGACCAAATCACCCAAAACGGAGAATATACCAGAGGGCTTTTAGGAGTAGACCATTGTTTTAAGCGAACCTTAAATATTTTATTTTTATTTATAAAATAAATAAATAAGTTACATATATTTGAAACACGAATTTAAGATCTAACAAATAGTACAAAACGTATGTTTATTAATGATCGGCCGTCGCTAATTTTTATAATTCGATAGTTGTGTGAATATTCTGTATTTGGACTCTTGTCCTCTCAGTTTAAATCACACTTGGTCACACCACATCCAAACTGGCGGGAACCAATTTCTAAATAGCATTGCAATTTATCTTTGTTTGAAAGCCACACGATCATCAAAATGCAAAAATCTATAACGTAAATATTCAACGTTTAAGTGTCTATTAGTCCGCCACATATAATCCTTTTTTCAGCTCCTTTTTTAAGAAGAAATCTGATGCCGGGGACAGCCCTTCGCCACCAAAAAAAGTTCCCAAGTAAGATGTGCCAATATTTTTTTTTTGCGAATTGCATTATTAAAATTCCTAATTTAAGGATTGAGGCCAAAGCGGAACTGCCAGATGAACCCATCATAAAGAGCGAGGATGGGTCCCCGACAATTAAAGCAAAGGTTGAACCGATGTCTGTGGATTCAGGAGAAAACACAAGTCCTTTGAAGGGTGTTAAGAAGGAGCAGGATTCCGAGGGCAAAACAACTGATCGAAAGGTGACAAGCATTGGACTAAACTCCACTTCCGCCAGCAAGGAGGATATGGAAAACTATGACCCGTCCGCCGATTCCTACAATCCACTCAAAAACGCATATTGGAAGGATAAAAAAGTGTGAGTAAAGTGGAACTGTCTACCCTTATAAAGGATCTTTGTAAAAAAAACATTTTCAGAACTCCCTACTTGGCATTGGCTCGCACATTTCAAGTCATCGAGGAGACCAAAGGACGCCTCAAGATGATCGACACGTTAAGCAACTTTTTCAGCTCGGTGATGCTGGTGAGTCCGGAAGATCTGGTGCCCAGCGTATATCTCAGTATCAATCAACTGGCCCCAGCCTACGAAGGACTGGAGCTGGGCGTGGCCGAAACCACCTTGATGAAGGCCATCTGCAAGGCTACGGGTCGCAATTTGGCTCACATCAAGTCACAGACACATCTGATTGGAGATCTGGGCATTGTTGCCGAGCAATCGCGCGTTTCCCAGCGTATGATGTTTCAGCCAGCTCCATTGAATGTAAGGGATGTGTTCAGAAAGTTGCGGGAAATAGCCAAGATATCCGGGCAGTCAAAGATGGATCTAGTGTACAACATGTTTGTAGCCTGTCGATCTTCCGAGGCTCGCTTTTTTATCCGCTCTTTAATTGGCAAGCTTCGGATTGGCATTGCCGAGCAGAGTCTGCTCACCGCCCTGGCCATTGGGCTGGTCAAAAAGAACCATATTGATGACTGCAAAGCCAGCAAGGTACAAGAGGTCTATAAGGATGAAATAGTAGAGACTACTTTGCTGTTGAAGACTGCATACAGGTGGGTGCCAGATATCACACATTTAACTACATATATTAACAAAGCTCTCTTAGTCAATGTCCGAACTACGACGTCATTATTCCGGCAATTCTAAAGTATGATATCAAAGAGCTGCAGGAACGTTGCCCCATGCATCCCGGCATGCCTCTGCGGCCCATGCTCGCTCAACCAACTAAAGGAGTCCACGAGGTGTTTGAAAGATTCGGCGGCATGCAAATTACGTGCGAGTGGAAGTACGATGGGGAGCGAGCCCAAATACACCTCAACGAGAAGGGGGAGATCAGCATATTCTCGCGCAACTCGGAGAACAACACGGCCAAATATCCAGATTTGATTGCCAGGAGCAGTGGACTACTCAAGGGCGAAGTAAAATCCTATATCATTGATAGCGAAATTGTGGCTTGGGATGTCGAGCGAAAGCAGATTCTGCCTTTCCAAGTGCTAAGCACGCGAAAGCGGAAGAACGTAGACATCGAAGAAATCAAGGTACAAGTCTGCGTGTACATATTCGATCTCCTTTACATCAATGGCACTGCTCTGGTGACTAAGAACTTGTCAGAGCGTCGCAAACTGCTGTTGGAGCATTTCCAGGAAGTCGAAGGCGAATGGAAATTTGCTACAGCCTTAGATACGAATGACATAGATGAAGTGCAACAATTTCTAGAGGAATCCATCAAAGGTTTGTTCTATATATTTGCGTATGTAAACAATATTTACTTATACTTCTTCCCCAGGGAATTGCGAGGGTCTTATGGTGAAGACTCTTGACGAGGAGGCCACCTATGAGATTGCCAAGAGATCCAGAAATTGGTTAAAGCTGAAGAAGGATTACATATCCAATGTGGGCGACTCACTGGATCTAGTAGTGATTGGCGGCTACAAAGGAAAGGGTCGACGAACTGGAACCTATGGTGGATTTTTGCTTGCTTGCTATGATACCGAAAACGAGGAGTATCAAAGCATTTGTAAAATTGGAACAGGTACTACAGTGTTTTTGAATTTAAATTCATCCTAACTAATCCCCTATTTATTTAAGGTTTCACCGATGAGGATTTGCAGACGCACTCCGAGTTCTTGGGCAAGCATGTTACGCCAAGCGCCAAGTCCTACTACAGATACGACTCTAGCCTGGAGCCGGATCACTGGTTTGAGCCGGTCCAGGTGTGGGAAGTCAAGTGTGCCGATCTGTCTCTGAGCCCGATTCACCGGGCAGCCATAGGAATTGTGGACGGCGAGCGCGGTATTTCCTTGAGATTCCCCCGATTCATTCGAATCCGCGATGACAAAAACAGCGAAAACGCAACGGACGCCAATCAAGTGGCCCACATGTACCAATCGCAGGACCAGGTTAAGAATAATCAAAAATCGTGTACACAGATGGACATGGAGGACGAGTTCTACTGACCGTACAGCCCCGTGCAAATGTGTAACGTTTATTTAACAATAAAGTCCGTTATCGCTACTTGACCACGTTGGTGGAGTTGGAGTTGTTGCTGCTCTCTGAGGATTTGGAAACGCGTCGAGCTTCCTCCTGTCTCTCTTTAACTTCCTTGGGCTTCGATTTGTTGCGCCGGTTAGAACGTTTGCTCTTCTTAGCGGACTTTTCCTCCACTATAGAAGCCTCCCCATCCGAACCGTCTTTACCTGTACCTTGTGGCAAATCATCCGATCCTATGCGAATACGAGCCTTGGGTTGGTAAATTGCAATCGAGGGACGATCCTATAATAAATAAATGGTATACGTAGGGTGGAGGGAGCGATTCTAAATAACAAACCTTATTACGAATGCGTCGCTCCTCTGAATCTCGGAATCGTGCAGCCTTAATGGCTTCCTCAGCAGTGGTTTCTTGGAAGGTAACTGCACCTTGTGCTTCTGCGAGAGTTTCCCTATCCTTCTGACCTCCACCGGCACAGTGAATAAATTTCTTGACAGCTTCTGGAACCTCACTGTTTTCAGCCTTCGTTTTTTCCTTGAAATCTTCTGCAAGGGCAGCCTTTGAAGTAGTGGGTAATTCCGCACTATCATTTGCCTCAGGTTTGCTGTCCTTTTTAAGAATGACGATGTCCTTGTCTGCCTTTGAAAAATCTTTAGACTTTGTGTTTTTGTTCTGCTTCCCGCCGGATGGTTTGTCTTTTTCGGTTTTAGTCTGGCCTTCTGGTTTTTTCTTATCCCGCTGGGCCAGCTTTCGCTGCTCGTGCTCCTCCCGCCGGCGCTGATCTCGCTCCGTGCGCCGCTTGGAGCGCGAGGTCTTGGCAGCTTCGTTGCCTTGAGCTGCGGATGCCGCGTTATCCTTGCCATCCCTCTTGGCATTGTTGCCGGCAGGCTTCTTGTTGTCACCTCCAGCGCCTCCAGTTTCCTTGGACTTGGTGGCGTCTGATTGCTCTGCAAGACGCACCTGTTTCTGCTCCTCACGCTGCTTGCGCTTCTCCTCGTTCCTCTTGCGAGCCTCCTCCCGGCGTTTCTCCTTCTTGTTGGCCAGGTACTGTAGTAGGGGTGTTGATTTGACCTTCTCGTCCGCTCGCCGGTCAAAGGAAAAGTCGATCTTGACGTCGCTCATGCGACTTGCCTCCTCCCGCTCGTCCGCCAGCCGCTGGATAAACTCCTGGTAGTGGGACTCGCTCTCTATGGTGTTCACCTTGCTGTCGTCGTTCCTGGCTTTATTCTTAAGGAAGCACTGGAAGGGGGCGTACTCCACGATGGCCACGTACTCGACACCCTTGGTGTCCACGAACACGTAGCCGTCAAATCGATCCCGGAACTGCAGGACATCGGCGATGTCCTTCAGGGACATGTCGATGTAGGCGCGGCAGGTAGCTTCCTGGCCCAGGGACCAGTCCGCCGGGCAGTAGTAGTAGGAGTCGTTCTCCGGTAAAGGACCCACCTGGTCCAGGAAGTCCTTTTCTGTCATGGTGGGCGGTAAATGCCGCATCACTATCTGCGTTTTGGGTGGTAAATGGGCATTAAGAAACATCGGGATTTGGGATCAAAGATTTCTGACAATACCTTGATTATCTGGGTGGTCTTGTCCTTCTTGTCCTTTCGCCGGTTTCCCCTAGATTTATCTTTGGGCTTTTCCTCGGCCATTGTTTCTGACATTTTGAATTCCTTTTATTCAACGCAAATCAAAACAAACCAAAATTGCGAGAAAATGAAAACATGATGTGGAACCGCTAGAGATGACATATATGTACGTTCGGAACCAGAAAATGTTTCAAAGTTCTTACATTAGAAATGTTTGCTACTTCTGAAGACTAAAAATTGTTCATGATTGAATACTAATTTATATTTTTTTGCAAAAAAAAAACTAAGCAAACTATATAACTAAAAATGCTTGCCCTCGCGGATTTGAGCCTGTGAACTAGTTCACTGAGATCATATGCAGTGAAGCGCTTTTTACTCACTTTACGGGTAACAACTTTTAAAAGTGTTCGGTTATAAGGTATTTTGAAGTGATCAAATAAGATTAATTAAAGGCACGTTAATAAATGTGTTTGCTAAGGTTTTACTAGTATATTATATAGCATAATACAATAATAACATATGCACATCCTTTGCAGATATTTAACCACTGAAATATGACGACTTCAAATCCTCCATTTCCCTTGAGGTGTTATGTTTGTGTCAATAATGTAGGGCAGATTTGGAACAAAGTAAAACTAACTACTGAACCTAAAAAGATGACAAAGAACCTTCTGAAGCTTCCGAAACTTCTCGAAAAAGCACATGTTAAGGCAAAAGTTATTTGCAGAGGATGCAAAATGCAACAATATTGCAGCGTTCCTCATCTTATAGCTGATCGCCCAGGACATCAACCCCTTTGCCAGGTGCTAAGGGATCTTCAGAAGTTTATGAATATCGAGCATCCGTTGCTCCTACACGGTAGAATCTCCGATCGCAGTAAGCTGCAGTTTGTCATTTCCCAGCTCAAGCTTATCCTGTGGATCAAGTTGGGAAGACCTCTAGCTCCGCGGGAAAATCAACTCATTGGGAATCCAGTTATCTGTGATGTTTGCTTTAGTACTGACGCCCTACAAGCCTGTGAGGGATGTGCCGGAGTGGCCTACTGCTCGGGGCACCTTCATCTAGTCAAGGATATTCACTCTCCAAAGGAGTGCCGAACTCTGGCACTAATTGCCACTCCCTTACGGCAATTGGACTGCTTACAAAACATTACGAAATTCTACGAAGGCAGTTCATTAACAGAGACTCATCTTATTGATGCTTTTTTTAAAGCCACTTCTTTGAATATTAGTGAAAAACCTATTATCGATTTGGAGGAATACCAGCTACTCGCCACCTGTTCATCCTTCAGCGGCATCGCCAGCCTTTGCCTGGCCCTGACGCACATTTTCTGGGTCTCTAGTCCAGATAAAGCTTTCATCGTTTACGTGGTCGGCGCCACCGAGGAGCACCTGCGATACTTTCAAATTATGCATCTACAATTTTTGTTCCTCCATTACCCAAACATTAGACACTTGGAGTTGATGTTCATTGGAAAATCACTTGAGAAGATGGAAGCCATAAAGGGAGTGCTTAGTGTTAATAATCTAAAACGAACCGTGATAAAACGCTTTTATCCTTTAACATTTTCACAATTCTCAAGCATTTACAATGTGGATCCCACTTTGATTTTCATGCTGCAACCAGATTTCATTGGCACTGGAAATATAACCCAGGACTTAGTCAAGGCATTACAAGTACAAACTGAAGAAACAGAGTTCTTTAGCTGGATTGATTGTCTGTCAAGTATTGTTCAATTATTTGGTATCCCCATTTGTTATACGTCGATTTCAAAGGTCCAGGCAAAGTCCGATTTCACAGCCATCAATATGGTGGCCAAAAAAAAAAAAATTGCGGTTAAGCGAGTCTACAACTTAACCGACAATCCGTTCCGTGAAATAATACCATTTCATAATCCTTCACCAGAGAACAATGAAAGGATTGTTTATGAAAATAACTACCTGGAGGTGGTTTTTACAAAAAACAAATAACATTAAGTTTAGTCCCTCAATGACTTTGTTAACTAGATAAGTTGACAGTATACGGAAAAAACCTGAGACTACTTACCGATAAATAGACAAGTGTTCGCTATAACTTTTTTTTTTACAAACATCAAATATAATCACTTTCAAGTTACCGAAGACCAAATACAGTCGAAAATAAGTTGACCTTATTACGAACAGGATTTCGTTTTGAACGCGACTTAGAATTCTCGCACTTTAATTTAAACATATTTATCCATTTACATTTTTGGTAATCGTTTAAGAATAAATTGTTTACCTAATTTATAGCCTACATTTGTAATAAGTATAAATGCTCAGTTTATCAATGCAGCCACTTAACTCTAGGAGGAAAACGGTTACAATTTCTCAAAATGGATTGTGCAGGATCTGGAAGCTTTGTTCTAGAACGTCTTTTTCGAAATGACAACGATTAGGTCGATTAACCAATAAAACGATTGGTGCAGATCTCCTTCGCACAAGTACGGCGCTTTGGTCCAAGACTCCACGCAGAAGCCGCAACTCTCCAGCAGCTCCATGAATCGTGCTGCCTCCTCCTCGAAGGATGCCTGACGTCCGTTGTTTTCGAGGAGCGGACGCAGTGGCAAATGCGATGTGTTTGTCTCTACATAGTGCATATAGGGAAGTACTAAGGCCACCACAGCTCGGCCATTAGGAGCGAGGGCTAGGTTTATGTCCTCTAGCAACTTGAATGAATCGAAGCACCGATCCAACACATTGAGGCACAGAATCAATTCCAAGTTTTGCAGGCCGCCTATCTCGGTGATTACGTTGAAGTTTAGCTTCTTAAGGCGGTCGCGCATTGTCCAGCTGGCCTCAGTGGCGAAAACCCGCAGTCCGGCACTACCACTTAGCTCGGAGACGGTGTTGGCCACTCGCAGCGAGATCTCGCCATCTCCGGCACCGATGTCCAGTAACGTAACCTGAAAAAAGATATTAGGCGGCTAAGTAAGTAGTGGAAAACAGCGGAGGATTCTCGTTATACCGGTTCATCTCCAGAGGCAGGTTGAAAGCCACCAGCGACCAGCAACTTGCGGAACTGGTCTTCGGACAGAATAAACATGGAGCCGCGCTTTAGGAATCCGTTGATGTCAGTTTGGGTCATAAAGAACTGGAGGATGCTTCTGGCCAAAGCATGCCATAAATGTGTCCAGATGTTTGCCGACAGGGCTTTGGTGCGCTCCAGCCAGCTCACCGTGATGGCATCCGGCTCGAGAGGCACAAACTTGGCTTGAAATCTTGGGGGCAGTTCGTGGTTCAAGGAGTACCACTGAAATGCAACCATATTTACATGAATCTGCAACAGATCACGAGATTAAGATCGAGTCCCTTACCTTTCTGGTGTCTATGTCTTCCAGGGAATTGTCGTTGTGAAACTTGGCATGAATAACTCTGGCCAAAGTGCCTCGGGGACGATAAACAGCCATTTTTTTTTGTAATGAAATTCCAATTATTGTTCTATTTACATTTTCCGAACCCTAAACAAATTCAGCATCCCGTTTTCAGTGGTTATTGGCTAATAGGGATGGGTGACCAAAGGTTCTATCGATAAGAAGGCGTGACAACCTGTTAGGCGGTCAAAAAAAAATTAATTTTTCACAAATTAATATTCAATAATAAGGTTATTTATTTAGATTAATTGTTTATTTATGGGTTCTCTAATAGATTCAATTGATACAAAATAAATACTTATATTGATAGATACATTAATTATTATTAAATTAGTAATTGACACAGATTTTATATTATTATTTTATGTATTGTACAACAAAATGTATTTTTCATTTCTTACATATATATATTTTATTTGTACCATCGAATTTCGATACCGACTACTTTGTCGGGTGTTCGATAAAATTGAGGCCTGTTACACGTGCACATTTTATTTATCAGTCGAGTAATGTATACAAAATAAGCGGCGGCTATTTTTTGTTATTTTAATGAAACAGAGTGGATTGCGATGAGCACGAACGTTGTTGTAAGCATAGAGGAGAAGGCGGTGGCCGACGACCTGCCGTACTTCCCGGAGAAGTTTCCGGGCAAGGTGTGCTGTTTATGCAACCTCGGGGAGAAGAGTGCCTTGGGCCAGGGTGAGATTCTGCAGCTGAAGGCGCCCGCGCCCGCTGAAATGAAAGATAAATATCCAACCGATCGGCTGAGGGAGGACGGATGCAGGCAGTTTTATGGCCAAAAACAGGTATCCTTGGCTGCAGGCGAGTGCCACTACGAACTGGACAAAATAGGGCAGCCGGAGGTGGTACATCCAGCTGAGTTTCTAGACGAGGGATTTGTATACGTGCACCGCATGTGCATAATGTGGTCGCTGCGCAAAAGCCTGCTGACCGACGCTGACGCCTTATACTTCGCTAGCCACTTTGCCGAGTTCCTGGAGCAGAAGTGCAACTTTTGCGGCCGCTACGGGGCCTCCATCAACTGCAAGATGAACTGTCGTCAGGTGCACCACTGGCCATGTGCGGCTGCCGCGGGCTGCCTCCTCATCCTGGAGAGCTTCACTGTCTTCTGCACGGAGCATTTGAGCCAAGTCCCTGTGATATGTAAGTGGTTAGTCTATAAACTCCATCAAAAACTAAGCGTTTGACTTGCAGGCAGCGACAATAACGTGGAGTGTCTGACCTGCTCATCGCTAGGGGACCTTTCCAAACTTATAATGTGTAGTACCTGTGGAGACCACTTCCATTCAACCTGCATTGGGCTGGCCAATCTGCCAGGTGAGCCGAAATGACATTTTGGTTAGTGCAATATACATATGCTTCTTCCTTAGACACCCGTTCTGGTTGGAACTGTGCCCGCTGCACCAAGTGCCAGATTTGTCGTCAGCAGGACTCGAACGACACCAAGTACGTCAAGTGTGAGCAGTGCCAGAAGATTTATCATGCCTCTTGCCTGCGACCTGTTATCTCAGCGATTCCCAAATACGGCTGGAAGTGCAATGTATGTATAAAATACTTAAACAATTATGAGTAGATAATAGATATCACACTAATTCCAGCGCTGTCGCGTCTGCACGGATTGTGGATCGAGAACTCCGGGCGGCGGTAGTTCCTCCCGCTGGCACAGCCACTATACAATCTGCGATTCGTGCTATCAGCAGCGAAACAAAGGCTTTTCCTGTCCAATTTGCCAGAAGGCCTATAGAGCTGCCTCCCACAAGGAAATGGTCAAGTGTAGCTGGTGCCACAAGTACGTCTTGCTTGCTTTTGGCTAATTGGTCTCGCATTTCTGATGAATTTCCATGGATTCCTTTCAGATTTGTGCACAGTACGTGTGACGAAGAGGCGGATTTAACGGCTTACCACAAGAAAAAGGAGCAGAACCCTGATTACGATTACGTGTGCCCGAACTGCAAGAGCAATTCATCGGGTCCAGGGCAATCCCAACAGGCAATAGACTCAATCGTGTTGTCCTCGATGGATTCGTCGTCAGAGCAACTTAGCCTCAAAGAAATTGAACTAGATCCACTGGAGGGCAAGCCCACAATTGATCCATCCAGCGATGAACTCCAAAAGCTGCCCACTGGCAAAAAAAAAGTGTGCCTTTCGAATGTTCGCGGCAAGAGCGGCAAGTTTGTCCTGCACCGCATGGGTGTCATGTCTCAAATCAACAAGAAGCGCAGCACGAGGGGCAAAGGACGTCAACTTGTGCTGCCCAGCATTTCCAGCGATCGCTGCATGAATCGTAGCATGGACAATGATTTAACCAGCGACAAGAAGATGCTGCTCTGCTCGGCGCGGGACAAGTTTATTCAGGCCCAAGATATCTGCGTTATGTGCGGATCATTGGGCATTGAGAGCGATTCGGTGATGATCACGTGCGCCCAATGCGGACAATGCTATCATCCATACTGTGCCGGCGTCAAACCTTCACGAGGTATCCTACAAAAGGGATGGCGTTGCCTGGACTGTACAGTGTGCGAGGGATGTGGCAAGAAGAATGACGAGGCGCGCCTTCTTTTGTGCGATGAATGCGACATTTCTTACCATATATACTGTGTGAATCCTCCGTTGGAAACCGTGCCCACCGGGAACTGGAAGTGCTCGTTCTGCTCCCTGTGCCAGAAATGCGGGCGCAATCCTACTGAGAAAAGCGAGTTTGGAGACTCCAACATGCTCGAGTGCCCGTCATGCACAAGCCAATCGTCATGTTCCGTGTGCAAGAACCCTTACAGCAACGGCGAAATGATCATTCAATGCGAGCACTGTGAGCTCTGGTCGCACTTTCTCTGCGACACCATCAACGCCCAACTGACCATCGATCACTACGACAGCAATGTGTACAAGTGCTTAAAGTGCCGCTGCTCGACTAGGAGTAGTTTGTCCCTGATGGATGCGAAGTTTGGTATTGAGGATACGCTGGCCAACGGACCGCAGTCGAGCAAAGCGTTTGTGCATATCACAGCCACATCCGGACCTGGTTTCGATACCAAGAGTGGTCCTGACCGTAGTCACCACACTTTGCCCGGCGATATGCCCGAGCCTGCCCCAGAGGCCATTCATTGGATTGACGGAGTGTGCCTGAGCGAAAGCGGGTTGGGGATGATTAAGTCCCTGTCCACAGAGATCAAACGCAAGCGCAAGATGCGCCAGGCCATCGGCAATGGCAAGGACGGAGCGGCGGATGGTGCCGCTGAAGAGGCGCTGGAGAAGTACAAGGACGGAATGGTTTGGGATGGGACGGAGAACGCCATTCCCGAAGGCTTCACCATCTCTACCAATGACGAGGGGGTGCATATATTACGTAAAAAGCGACAGCGAAATTTGCAAAAGCTGGGAATTGGTGGTTTCTCCGTTCGCAATCGAGGTTTGAAAAAGGATAGCGAGGAGACGACTGCGGTTGATCAGTTAAGTTCCATTATGAACATGGACAAAAAGAAGAAGATCATACGCAAAAAACAAAAGAACAAGCTTATTGAAGCCTATCCTGTGTATCTGCAAGAGGCGTTCTTCGGAAAGCCTTTGCTGGAAGCGGGCGAGTTCGTTATGGCCGAATCGGATTCTTCGGACGAAATTGATGCCTCAATGAAGGTGTACTTCACCCGGCCCGAGGGCAAAAGCCCTGCTAATCAAGAAACCCCGGTGGCAAACAAGAGTCCAGCGAAGACCCTGAAGAAAGTCAAAGCTGAGATTAAAACTGAGAATAAGACGGTTTTTATTGAACAAATGCCCATGGGAATACAGCAAAAAACGCCAATTGCGCCAGTTTCTAACGTGTTTGGTAATTGTTTAATCTTGATTACATTGATTGTAGACTGATTGACCAGGGATTTTCTTTGCAGATCCCTTACATACGGACATTTCAACTACTGTGTTTGCTAACAGGCATCCTTTGGACACTTTGGCCTCACCTAATATTCCGGAACTGGACACAGCAAACTCTATAAATACGGTTCCGTCAGCTGAAATTATTGAAAAGCCAATGCGGTGAGCCTCATTTCTTATATATTTTAATCCTTTTTAAAACATGAGAAATATATATATTTTTTTATAGTGAATCACCTGTGGTCTTGGTCGATAATTATATGGTGCCTAACCAGTTGCCTCCGGATCAAAAGTTTCACAATCAACTATATTTGCCAGGAAATATTGCGATTAACCCCGCTCAACAGCTTCAATTCCGACAGCAGCCCGATCATTTAAAGGCCCAAAATTCTAATAAACAGAATATGCAAACTATAATGGGCCAAGTAGTTTTGCAGACCGAAAAGAGACCAGAGGAGGAGCCAAAGACTGTGGAGCCTGTGGCGGAAAATCTTAACGCTGGCACTCAAAAGACAGCAGAAAAAATGCGGAAGGACGAGGGTAAAAATGGTAATTTTTATAAAATAAAAATCTCTACTCAGCTTGTTTCTTCTTCCAGACCTTGGTCTAATGGCCACCATTTCGGCTGTTTTGTATGCCAATACGGAGCATCCGAACCTAAAGGAGTTGTTCCCCAACTGGAATGATCGCTGCAAACAGATTCTTAAGAGGTGGCGATCGCTGTGCAACGAGAAAAAGGCTCCGTTTTTGCAAAAAGCCAAGGATAATCGCTCGGCATTGCGACAGAGGCGTGAGCAGAACAAAATCCCCATGCCACCGAAACCACAAAAGCAGGAAGAAATGGGAAGAGTATGGAAGCAGCAGCCCAAATTGAAGGAAGACCAGACGAATATGTTTGTAACCTACAGTAAGTTCTGCAGCCAATGTATCGATCGCTTAATATTGTTCGAATTTGTTTTAGATGGAAATGCATATGACATGGCTACCTACGTTGGTGGCCAGGTACAGCCAACGCCCAATAATTCAAACCCGCATCATGTGATGCCAAACGTTAACGACAATTTGGTTATTAAGGCCACGATGCAAAGGACTCAAGTGCATACAACAGCAGCTCCTACTTTGAAAATGACCCCCGTAGACAATCGGCTGGAGCTAAACACGGTATATGGAACTGAACCCATCGGAGATAAAAAGTTGCGGAACCTGCTGCAAAAGAATAGCACGGAACCAATGCTGATGGGAGCGAATTCGGACTTATTCTTACAAAATGATGTTATACGGATGGGCATGATGCAAAATACCCCTATTACACAGAACAATCCAATGTTGAGCATTAGTGGAAAATCTCAGCCATCTGATGGCAGGGCGTTGGAGCAGGAAGTAAAGATGACAGAGCCTCAGGAGGGCACAGCTTCTGCCGTGGAGTTGGAGAACGTTGGATTTAGCGACCTACTGGGAGGACTCGGCGAAGGCGACGACGATGATCTACTCAAATCGCTTACTTCCGAAATGGGAGATGACTTTAATATTCTGGAGTATGCAGACCCAGAACTAGATGTCAATGTTCTCAACGCACTAGATTTTGATGAGAATGAAAAATGTTCTACATAGAAAAGAATCATAGAAATGAAAATAAAGAAAAATGCAATATTTAATACTACCTAAAAATCTTTTTCTTTCTAAAATCTATTTGAGATTCACAATTAATTTAAAACAAGTAAGAGTCAATTCGTGTTAAGTTAAATCTAAAAAATAAAACCAAAATTGTTTTTGGCGCCAAAATCAAATTCTTCATCGATTACTAATACTCCACTAAAAATATCGATCTGTTATCTTACCATTAAAACATATTTTAACGATTTCATAAAATCAACATTGATTCCCCAATAGGATTTATTTGAAATTTGTACTAATATTACCTTTTCACATTCTATAAACAATAAACATAACTATGCCATTGTTCAGTATTTTTCACTCAATATTAATTATTTTCATCTTACAACTTTTATGTAATGGTACCTATTCCAAACTTAATCTAAAATATGCTATTTTAAGGCAAAAACAAGCATCTAAATTACAAAATGACACGTTTGGTATGTATTTAGGAGATACTAATTGGTCGAACCATCTTAATGTATACATCTGTTAAAAAGTCAATCAACAAAGAATCAAATATGATGCTCAGAAAACAATGAGAGTTATTTTCTATAAGAACAATACCAAAACTCTGGAAACATCAGCATATGACGATACCTATGATCTTAATGGATCAGGTTGCTCGGCTTCCGAAAAGTTTGCCATTGTTTTACATGGGTGGATCCAAAGTTGTACAGACGAATGGGCAACATCACTAATTGAACGTAAGAATAAGGCTAAATTTCATGGTTAAAATCATTTATTTTAAATTTTTCAATATTCCAGGGCTCAGCTACTACCGCGGCGGTTGCGTGATATGCATTGACTATAGTGTGGTAGCCAGTTCCTCATATATGCGGTGAGCAAATTATTTAAAAAAATAAAATCCCAATTCTAATCTCTTAACTTTCAAAGGTTATATACGAACTTTAATACCCTGACTGGAGCCATAACTTCCATTATTTTAGCGCTCATTAAGCAGGGATTTGACCCAAAACGAGGCTATTTGTTTGGCTTTAGCTTCGGCGGACAACTAGCTTCAGCAGTGGGAAGAAATTTATATCCTCATCATGTTATCGAAAGCATAGATAGTGAGTATTGTAATGGTTTTTCAAACTCACCTTAACTAATTTTGTATTTTAGCGTGTGACATGGCTGGACCCGGTTTTGATCCCATTGCAGTTGACCACTCGAAGGCCGGAAAACATGTCCAGTGTTTCCATTCGAGTCAGGATAAAGGAACCTTTGTGTACTCCTGCCACCGGAATATAATGCTGGGCAGCTGTGGACTTAAGCAGCCCTCTGTGGCCAGCCAACTTCACTTGGGAAGTCATGGTCTCTGCGTCGACATTTACATTAACACCTTCGACTATCCCTTCTACGCCTTAAACTCCACGCCTCCCGAGTGCTTTACGTGGCATGAGGCAGCCAAGATACCAGATGGCTATACGGTGGGCTACGAGGAAAACTTTGACGGTCAGGTCACTGGCCAAATCTTTGTCCCAACTAGTTTGCATTATCCCTACAACTTATCCAAAAAGCAGCTCATGTTGCTTTCAAAAAACAATGGGTAACCCTACGATAGAATACCTTTTTTTTATTTTGGTTAGTAATGTAAGTAGCCAATTTACTTTCATCTAGTTAAGTTAATTATTTATTACCTCAAAAGATTTAAATTTAAATCAAAGCCAACTGTTTTTAATGCGTTCATGAGTAAGGTAAAATATCCTGTTCAATTTATTAAAGTTCAGCTCATATTCGTTTGTAGTTAAGTTTTAATTCACCAAAAATATATTTCAAATCAAATTTGAATTATGTTATATACATTATATCGGTAAACCAGCCATATCAACTATGCCTACTGGTTCGGACAGTCATTGGGCGACTGTTTCTTGTTACCGGTAGGTTTGTTGTGGCCCTTTGCTGGAGGGGCATCATCGTCATCGTACTCATCCTCTTCGTTCTCGTCAAACTCCTCCTCATCCTCGTCGTCTTCATCATCGACAATGTCGCCAGTGTAGTAAAGCACAGCTTTTGGAATAATTCTGGCCCGCAAGAAGTGACCGATTTCGAAATCGGTTGCCAATATCTGCAATATTATTTGAAAATTAGCAAGAGCCTGCAGATGACTGCTTTAAGGTCAAGTTAACCTGCTGAGATTCGTCATCAATTTCGTCTTTGTCGGTTGGAACCTCTGGTGGGTTGAAGAAATTGAAGAAGGAATCCGTTGGAACCTGCTTGACAATGGTTCGTACTGCGCCACGCTCCTTGTGCTTCTGCTTCTTCCGGATGGTCTTGACGGTCAGGTTCATCTTCTTCTCCCAGTTGATAGTGCATCCCTTTAATTGGTTTTATTTTAAATAAACATCGATTGTGGTTAACGAGTGTTAGCTTACCGTGCACTTGTAAATCTCTGGTCCTTCGAACGCAAACGGATCCTCGGGATCCACTGTCGACTTTAGAACGTACTGTTTTGTAAGGACAGAGTTGTTAAAGTACTCGTTCTTGTCGAAATGGAACTCCAGGGTGTATGAATGCTGTAAAATAGGTGAAGTTAGCATTGCAGGACGACAAGAATAGAACCTGTAACTTACCCCAGTATCGTACTTAATGGATATATCGATCAGCTTTCTAATGGCTGGCTCGTCATGGGGCTGCACCATCTCGGAGAGAATGGCCGTGTTGCGAAACACCGTCAGCCAGAAGCCGGGAATGCCCTTGGCATCCTGGGGAATACTTTCATAACTCTTCACCGAATCGCGGAAGGCCTCGATATCGCCCCCATTGTCCGTCAGCGGCTCCGGCTCCTTCCAGTTGGGCTTCTCCGCTTCGGGATCCACCTTACCCTCGACGACCTCCTTGCGCTTGTCAAACAGCGGCTGGTATTTGATCTGGTACTTCTGTTCCAGCTTATAGACCTCTTCGAAGAACTCGGCCTCGATTTTCAGGTGCTCTAATTGCAGGTTTTTCAAGAACACAATTCGATTTTGCACCGAAGCGGGCAGCGACTTTACCATTTCTTGCAAAAATTGCCGTCTCAGAACTGAGTTCATGTAGGCCGGCCTGCGGGAATACAATGGGTTTGGATTAAATGACCTAAATTCAGTGCCAAAATGTCGTCACTACTCACATCGACTGGCAGTCGGAGCCAGACTTCTCATCCTCGAGTTCATTGGAGGACTCGGTGGTGTCAACGTTTCCCTCTGGTGGAGCGTCCATTCTTCAATAAATGCTAATTTCACTGAAAGATTAAGGACTCCCTTAGTTATTTCTTGCTTTTTTGGATTCGCCTTTGCAAATAATGTACAGACTGATGTACACATGTGCAAATACATTTGTACATACATTTAAATTCATAGACATACAGAAAATTGCAACTGTGACGGAATCCCAGACTGAATGCACATGCAAAACTTGAACTACATATTTATTTGTGCAACTAAATATTATAGAAGTTAGCATTCGCACACATCGAAGGGCGTTTTAAAAACTAATACGCCATTCGGTCGGCAGGCAGAAATATATGTATGTGTGCATGTGCGATTCAATCAAATTACCACACATTGCGTTCTTTGAAAACACGTGGTGAAGCAAATGGGTCTCGTTTTAAGGGGAATTTCTTGGTTACTGATCACTTCGATCATAGGTGATTTCACTCATTAAAAGCGCAAACTAACTAATCCTCAATTAGCCAATAATCATACATTAATTAATGCAAACTTACCTTTAGTTTGAACAGACACACGAAAAGCACCGAAACGACGCCGAATTGAAAAAGAAATGGCACAAGTTTCGCGCAAACCACAGGGTGATTCGAGTAAGCTCTGCAAACAGCATACCGATCTTTTGGTTAGTGCTATCGATTAATTTTTTCAAGGCGGTTATATTAAATTTATAAAACTAACTACCAACAAGTTTTTAATTCGTATAAAGCTTTCAAATTATAAAAAAAATTAAACTAGTAAAACGCTTAAAGAGAGCTCATATATTGTTTTTAAATGACTATCGATACTATCGGAAGACCAACAACAAAACAGCTGTGGCTTAATTTTAAAATTTTAATTCAACTATTTAAAATTAATTATGCAATTTAGTACAAATAGAAAAATATGTAAAAGGTCGATACCAGTTAAGAAAATGTTAGCCAACTGTTTTAAAATGTTTCTTGGAACTATCGTTCAGGCCCCGCAGCTCTATGTAAATAAATAAAGTCTCTACATAGCGCATTTTAAAGTGTTTTGCTTATTAAAAACAATGTCTTAATTTTTATTCCATTGTAATTTCCCCAGATTTTTTAAGTGCCAGCATAAAAACGTCAAAATATGCAGACAAAATATACATATGTAAATAAATAACTGTGCAATATGGCAATTTTATATCGAAATGCACAATTCTGTATTTAAATTTAAGAATTTGATTTGATGTGCACAAGACAAAAATCCATCCATACACACCCACATCGTATACATTTATTATTAGGCGGTTTTTAACTGCCTTATAAACTTTGCCCAGAATCAGTAATTTTCTGCGTTCACAAATGGCGAGAATGAAATTATCATAAGATGGTATCATGGGTATTTAGGGTGCTAATTGCAATAAATATATCACTGGCAGACTTTTTTCCAAAATACAATCGGTATTCATATTCATGCGTCCCCTATGCGTTACATTTGATTTCAATTAGACTTTTCATTAATACAACAGTTTCCCCCAACTCGCGATTCCAAAGTATATACAGTGGAAAATCATTTTGTATTACTCATGCGCCTTTAATATGATAGTTTTATTTTATTCGTACAATTGAAAAGTTCACTAAATAATAAGCAGGAGAAGAGGCGGAACAATAAACAAAATAAAACCCGAGAAAGGACGTTAGTTAGCATAAGTGGATCGTCGGTGAAATAGCGAGTTCAAAAGGCGCTTGCTCAAGTAAATGGAATAAAATTTCGCTGCGCGTAAACATTACATTTTCCCCCGTACCACAAGCATTCCCGATGTATTCCCAATCCAATCCGTATGTATGGCTGATTGTTCAGTGCTGGACGAAGTGATTTGGCTATATCCGCGGATCGAACCCTTTTTGTTTTATAGATGTTAGATAATAAGCGCTTTTCCAGCCAGTTTTTGGTTCTGGTACATATGTATGTATATACATACCTACATATAGATTTATATGGAAATATGAATGTATCTGCATGCACTTCTTTGTGTCCCAGTATTTACGTTAATCTATATCTATGGAACGATTTCGTGTGTATGCGGGGTGCAGAGTGAACCCCAATCGATGGGAACAGATTTATGCACTTATCAATGAACTAGACCCCCTTTTTGGCCATCTGTTTTGCCCGTTTTCGACCCGAAATCGAGATGAGACCTGATCTTGATAAGCTGCGAGAGCTTATACATATGTATATGTACATATATACGGATTGACACGGTGTATCTTGGACTGATAGTAGAAATAATTTTCGAATTTCCCCCAAATTCGCTGGCAGTGCATAACTATTTGTTGTTTATTTTTCCTTTATCAGTCTAGGCTAAAATTACAGTGGCTTCAAATATTTTATGCACGCTCAAGGAACAGCTATCGCATTATTCATTTTTTCAAAATTTTACCACCTGAACCAAGTCATTATATAACTTTCAACTGTTTGAATTGTCGAATCCCATCTTGGGCAGAAACCAAGTCATATCTTATATAACGAAACCCGTGACATAACACCAGAGAACCGAACTAAATAGCCGTTATCTTATGTTCACAGCAAGAGTGTAAACCGATTAGCGCAAACAGATCGAAAACAACTTTTTATCTGACCTCAAAAGTGGAGCACAAATCGGAGGTGCAATTTTTATTGTTTAGTCATCTACTAATTTCTATAGTCATGTGATAGCAAACTAATATTATGCAAATAATGTGATGTTGCCTTCCGCAGCTTAATATACCTTCGATCACGGGTTATTATAGTTATTTAAGGTGCGGCAGAAATAAAAAAAAAATAGATTACCTGTCCTTAAAGTTTATTGGCTTTCAGGTTTGTGTAAATTCGGAACCAACCAAAATAGAAACATTATCGGTGGAAAGTTAATTCCCGGACTTAAAAGTTTATTAGTGAGTTTATGTGAATACGGAACCAACCTAGTGGAATTATGATCGTCGGGAATGCTTTTGATATGGGATTTTTCCTTTAGCTTGTGATAATTTTTTTATTGATATAACTCTTTGGTTTTAGAGTGCCTTACATCTAGAAATATGCCAGATAGATTTCAAGTTACAAAAGCAGATGAAGACACCGCATTGGACTATAACCAGGATGAATCTGCGAGTGGAAAACTACTTGGAGACATCCACGATGAAACCCTAGGTGAGAACTATGGGTCCTATGCCGGTAAGGATGTTTTTATTTTATTTGTGTATTATATAAAAGGTAATTTCTAAGAGCTACTACTTTTTCTTCATCTGATTAACTAAATCAAACTAATTGTTAATGAAATAAATCCATGGTGGAAATTGAGAGCTTAAGAAAAACGTTGATAAGAATAGAATGTAAATAATTTGTTTTATGGAATAATACTTTGAAAGGAAAACCTTTTGTGATGTTTAAAACCAATAGCATTTATTAAAGTTTTATCTTACACAAGGATAATAATAATAAGTAGTTTCGAGATTTGATCTCATTTTTGAGTATGTGTATTTAAAGAATATGAATTTCCTTGCCCTCGAATGCCCACTGTATCCCCAGATAGAGCTTACGAGCCTGCAATCCTATCCTGCGCTGCCCCAATTGCCCAAGTCCAGGATGTCCTGCTGACACATTTCGTCGCAGCTGTAAGCCAAAGCTCATTGTACCTGTGGAAAGCTCTGAAAGAGAGCCGCCCAGGCGGTGCAGCTTTTCCCTTGGATTTCCCTTCCAGCGGATGCTGGGCGAGAGTGGATGGGTGTATTGGATGGTCTGGATGGTTGGATGCTTGCTCCTGGCCAAGTGGGCTGTAGGCCAAGAAATGTACACCTGCAATGGCGCTCTCCGCTCTTTTCAGCATCGCTCTCGCTCTCGAAGAAGAGTGTGTGTATTAAAAATGTGTGTAGACAAAAGCTTTCGATTTCATCTCAATTGAACGCTCAGGGTCCTGGGCAACATAATTTTTATTCGGCCGAATACCAACAGTTTTCTTAGTTTTTCTATTAATCCAAACGAAAAGTAGCATACATCTGAGCGTTTTCGCTCGCCTAAAATAATTTTAGAAAGAACCTTCTTTCAAATAATAAAAAAAAAAAATAAAAGAAACATGAAAAACCAGTTCTTTTTGAGCACCTTTAACAAATAACATACTTTTAACAATCGACGAAATTCTAACAATAATCAAATACGTGAATAAAAGTGCGTTCAATTACAAAGTGTGTGCCCTTTTAGAGACTGCAAAATCCGAGGGCTCGGAGTTCGAGCTCAAGAATTTCCCCTGCATTCCCATATAAAAGCGCCAAGCTATTCATTTCGTAACAATTTTCAGCAGCATTCGTTTTTTATGCACTTTATGTCAGCTTGAGAGCCGCATTACAGTGAAAAAGGAAGACTATGGCATTTATTTACCGCCCCACGATGACGGCCTGAAAATCCTTGACCTAAATTTATCGGTTACATATTTTTTGTCTGAGCTGGCACAATTTTCGTAGCTGCGAATGCACAGCATCCCTCTTTTCCCCATTGAATTTTAAATCCGCACTCACCTCCGAAGGCCCCTGGGGCATTTCCCGATTAGGAACTCCTTTCCGAAATCCCAAGTCCTGAGTATATAAGCACACGTCCTTAGACATGTGAATATATACACCGAATATCGGCCACGCCTTTCGGTTATATAATGCCGATGTGTAGGGCTCCCCTTAAGCTATACCCATTTAATTCGCGTCCGCATTCTAGTGTTACCTAATTTTAAGTGAAAAAAGTGCAATCTAGAGCAAGGGCTTGAGGCCAACCTTATCGTTAACATGCAAAGTAACAGTGCAAAAGATGATTCGGATGAAATGGAAATAATACCATCCGAACACAATGGTACAGTTCACGACACAAAAAATGAAGGTATGTCCGGGACCAGCCAATAAATTAGTTTTATATATCTGTGATAAATAAGTTAGGATGTAGAATTTTAAGAATTGCATAATATCATAGATGGCAGCATTACTATCTTAAACTTTTTCGTTTTTCTTACAGACTCAGGTGATATCCACAGGGCTGAAGAAAACCAGAAGTCCAATATCGACCCAAATCTATATCTATACGATGATGATTTGGAAACCAGGCCCCATATATCAACATTCATTTCATCAATTGCCAATTATGAAAACACGATACCAGCGGCCACCGATCCCGATGCAAAGCCGGCAGCTCCATCGGCTCGAATGGGTATGTTCGCCACGAATTAATTAACTTACTTGTTCTCATATTGAAAGGCACACGATTCAGACAATGGAACTGCAATGCTCGCAGCCCGACAAAGCTGTGAAAGAATGATTACTTTAATCCTCTTAAAGTGTTTTAACCTTGGCTTTGCATCACAACATAGATGTTTAAAATATTGATTTTTTTTTAAGTAATCATTCACATATGAATAGTTTTTGCACCTCTATTAACTAATGGTTAACTAACAATGGTCCTTCAATGTTTAAACCTAAAGGTACCCTAATTGGAGTGTTCTTGCCATGCATTCAAAACATCTTTGGTGTCATATTGTTCATTCGATTAACATGGGTTGTTGGAACGGCTGGCGCCGTGTGTGGATTCTTAATTGTGTTGACCTGCTGCTGTGTGGTAAGGAGATTCTAAA